CATTTTAATAGCACCGACCGAAAAAAAAACTCATTTGAGAACACATCTAATTATAGAGTTTAAACGGATCTTAAGCATGAAATGTCGAACCTCCAATTATTGGCATTCAGCATAGCCAAAAGTCTTGTTGACTTACTAAAAATATTATTCACATGTCATAGAGATGATCGGCTTCATTTTGAAATCAAGAGGATGATGATGATATTTTAAATATAGACGAGAAATATAAAAAAATATATATTGAGGAACACTTTGTGTCAAAATTGAAACAAGCAATGCATTTGAAAAGTTACACAAGAAAATCCATCAAGCACACATGAGACAGGCAGAAAGAAGGGTTACTGAATACGTACATCAATTATGTGAGAGGAACAGAATAAAAAAAATTACATTTCCTTTGACAAATTTCATATGTTCACTGACTGAGTCTGTTTGCTCATTCGAAATCAATTAGGTTATCTTAAAAGTCGGATCAACTCGACACAAATGAGTACGTAAATGATTCAGTTAACAATAATTTGTCACTTTATTACAAATATCATTTGCGCTTTGCTTGAACGTAGTCAGGAACTGCTTTTAATAGAAAAAAAAAGAAATTTGTTCGACCGAACGCCACACATTTTATAATAATAATATATTTTTTAATGTTCATCGCTTGCGTCTTGCCGCTAACAGCAAAAGTTTATTAAAGAAATGGCTTTTAAATGGCCACAAGAATTCTTTTACTTAATACACAAAGATTATCGTCGTTAAATTTATGCGCGCATATAACTTAAAGTAATGAGTAATGAATATGTAGTGGAAGGATGGAAGATTTTTGTTAATACTTATGCATTGTTTAATTTTATGATGGATTGGTGATTCTTTATTTTGCAGTTTTATAGCTGCTCTGGGAAGGTTTTACACTCATTGAAAAATTGGATCAAATTAAATGTTTGTGATCGTTAAATTAAATTTTATGGAGATGCTATTGTGTTCTGTTAAGTTGTTGTGGGGATATTGATGTGAATTCCTTATTAAGGAACTCACAAATTGATGTTTTAGATGTTAGGTTATTGCTGACTCAAGTCCTTTATAAAGAATCAATTACTTTGTTGAAATCAAGTAAGTATCCCAACAATTTGTGTCTAGTGCTATTCAAATCAGAGTTATTACGATTTCTAATTCTAATTGACAAATTTTAACACTTCATTAGCTGGTGATTCAAATTAATCCAGTTCAGATAAAGTTCAAATGTCAGAGAAATGAAAAATTGTACTTCAGAGTACCAAAATCAGTGTTCGAATCCTAAGTATTAAAAATACAAAAGAGAATTAATTCACAGTCTTCTCTCTCAAGCAATCCTTTTGTTAAAGAAAATGTAAACTATTGATTTTCAAACCACAGATTCCAAAATCTAAAGTCTCAGCAAATTTTCATCTTCAAATAAAATGTCCAATGGAGAACCTGCCAATCCAAAGATCTTAATACATTTCCACACATTTTACTTATCGCATTTTTAAAAATTATCTTAATACACAACACGAACTAGTGTATATCACATGTGTGCACATATAACAGCAACAATCATAAAGTGACTGATTCTACATTAATCAAACAGTGGGAGAGAGATAGAAATGAAAATTATTATTTTATAGTTTCGTAATGTCTTTTCATTCTGCTTAAGTATTTAAATCCATCAGATGATTGAGATGTCAGTAATATGGATATGAGAATGAGAAGAGAGGAGATGTAAAGTGAAAAAAAGGCGACTTGTGGTTCTGTTAAAGATTACTGACTTCTTTTGATCATATAATTTTCATCCATTATCATTCAATGCCTTCATTTTATACTTTTTTTTCTCCAGACAATACGAAAAGGTATCATCTGGATATGAAAAGATTACTGCTGTGTAGCTCATATCTGTGTCTGTGTGATTTTAAATTAAACATCAACAGCATCGATAAATCGATTGGTCTCAGATATGAAATAAAGCACCGCCAAATAACTCGCGGAATGTCTCAAAAGAAATAATTTTTCTATCACGTCTCAAAAAATCCGCATGAAATCATCTCGCACAATAAATGATTGCATTGTTATCGAAAGAAATTTTCATATATGATATCCAGTAGTTTAAATTGCTCAATTAATAAAGAACGTAACCTCTAATCAGTCTCAATCGATTCTCATTTAATTTGAAAAATGAAAATTGCACATACGTTGTGTAATTAAAGGCAATTAATGAATTTTGATTGAGATCAACTCACATTTGATTTAAGTCTTTATTGCTTGTGGGCAAATTACTTTCCTCCACCATAATGAGTGATATTAAGGTGTGAGTGGGAAGGTGAAAGAGATATGTATGTGCAAAAAAATTTATTAATGAGGAGGATTGAGGCTTATATGCTCGATTAGATTATTATTGGCATTTTAATTTACTTCTGTTCCCGAATGTCAAATTCTTAAAAGTCGTTAAAATTTTAAAACATCAATAAATCTCGTAAAAATTAAAATTTGAATCTCAAAAAGCAGTTTAACATTTGAATTTTAAAAAGCCGTTAAAAAGATTAAAAAATTAATCCAATAAGTTATTAATAAAACTCTTATCTCACTCATCAAACATTACTACTGCAAATTTTAATTTTTCATATACCTCTTCTAGCCTGACTGCACACTACATAACCCATTCAAGCATTTACAGTCAGCACAAGCAAATCATATCCCCATTGAAAGTGAAACAGCCTTGAAAATTTCATTCATTCATTCATTCTCGTCCTCAACGTCTACGTCTCTATCCATTTCGAAATTCATTCACATTAGACTTAATCCATTTTAATCCTTAACAATAATATAAATAAATTATAAATCAACAGAAACGGAGAAAGAAGGAGAAGCACTAATGCGAAAAATATTGCATGTTGTCCCTGCATTATTAAGATTTTTTTTTCAGTTCTGACTATTTGTAAAATGTATCAATGGATAGTTGCCTGCCAAAGTCTCAAAAAGAAAAAAAAAATTAAGGCATGGGCATATGTATAATAATCCGGAAATCAATAAAGCTCAATGCATTTTTGTTTTGGTTTTCTTAACTATAATCCAACATAAATATTATTTTAGGGTTCGTTTAAGAGCAACAGCAGCAGCATGGACAGAAAAAAATAATCGAGTCGCCTTTCCATTGAGCCCTTTTGTTTCTTATGTGTTTGTATTTTGTGGTGACAAACATTAAAATACGATTATTGGACTGAAAACAAAAAACTTGTTGCAAACTTGCTTTTTTCTACTCGATTTACTCTAAAAGAAGGAATTTGGCGCATTAGACGTAGCATAAGAAAGGTAAAAATACTAATGGTGACGATTAGGGAGGATGTTTACAGTAATGTTAAAGATTAAAGTAATTAATATTTTTTTTCATTCATTCATTCATTTCTTGTGCATCGGTCTATAGCTTGTGAATAAGAAAAGAAAAACAGAAAAAAGAAGGAACAAAAAAAAATCTCGTTCCAAATTCAAGTCTAATCTTTAACTAATGATTTTTAAATACATCAACTATTGTAACACTTTGGGAAAAAGAAATGTTTTTTTTTATACATGTTCTGCATTGGACACATTTATGAATGCTCATTAGTGTGACGACTTTATATGCTGGAAAAATAAATCTAGCCGAAGTGTTGAAGTAATTATGTGAAAAAGAAGAAATAATAATTTCGATGCAATTAACCCACATCCTTTTATATAGAAAAATATAAATGTATACAGCATTGATTTGTCAGACATATCAGAACCTTTCAAAGAAAGTGAGTTTTATACGGTGTTGTAAGAAATCTTCATTAATTGGAACCGGTCGATGGAATTATGATATTGAATTGTTGATGACTTTCTTTAGTGATTTTTTGAATCGATCTAGCCATTCTAAGCTTTAATGTGGTTTGATTCGATTTTGTCTGGTGCAAAGAAAATCAAGATCTCCAAAATCTTCTTTAACTTTCCCATCCGAAACCCTCCCTGGCTCCTGAATGACATTCAATACTCCAATACAAGATCTTAGTGACTTTTTTTAATTAAAATACTTTTAAGCACCCCCTTCCCCCAGCTACGTTCCTAATGTGTTATCTTTAGTCATAAGACCCGCATCTAATGCTCTTCTGTTCCCCAATTTTTGATGCACGAATGATTGTTGATTCTCAAAACGTCTTAAAGAGGCAACGCTATAGCAAGTTATAGTTCTCATGCAGCTTTAAATTTGAAGTGCAATCAGCCACAACTCAACAAATATGAGCCAAATTTCTGCAATATCCCACCTTTAAAATATTTTTATACAATTTTTAATGACACTTGAAAATCCACAAAGGTGTAAACTGCACAGAAAAAAATTATTATTATATTTTTTTTTTCATCTTCTGACTGCAACGTCTCTATATCACAATTTACTGTATCTACTTATCTATTATATATTTTCTTTTTACAATAATAACAATAATCAAGAGCAGTATGTGGTCCATACAAAAAAAAGTTGTGTATAAGACACTCAGAATTTCATGAGTTAAGAGAAAATACAGAACAAAAGGAATCATCAAATAACAACAAAATGTCCAAACAAAAGGATGAAAATAGAGCCATAGTGAATAGAAAAAAAGAGTTTTTTTTTGGTTTGAAACCGCAATTTTCACCCGTTGATGAAATAATAATGAAGCAAACCCGATCGATTATTAATACATCATGAGAATGATGTTAAGAATGAATAGAAGCAGTTGATGCCTCAATAATTAATCAATGAGATGAGAAGAAAGATGTTCTTACACATCTCACATTTTGTAGTTTGCAAGATGAAACAAGACCGCAGCTTTTCTTATGTAATTATACGCCAAACTAATTAATTATTATTTTATTTTCTTTGCGTACTCATAATACACACACATGTGCTGGTTGGCGGCATTTGTAGGTAATTGAGATATTGAGAAATAAAATAAAATCGCGCAATGAATAGTTGATGAGCCATTAAAGGAAATAAAAGCGCTTACCTGTTCTTTGCGGCTGCTGCACGATCACGCTGTCTTCGATTTTTAAACCAATTGCCAACTTGTGTCGGTGTTAAGCCAGTCGCAGATGCCAATTCCCGTTTCTTTGTTGGATTTGGATAAGGATCTTGCAAGTACCATTCACGTAATAAACTTCGTGTGCGCTCTTTAAAGCAATGCGTTTTCTGTTCACCATCCCATATTGTACGTGGCAGTGGGAACTTCTTTCTCACGCGATATTTGTCGACAGGACCTGTAGGATTAACATCATCATTTTAATTATAAAGCTATTCTATGTGTTGATGACACTTTATGAATTTATTATTATTTACCTAGAGGTCGTCCTCGTAATTTTTCAGCTTCATGATAATGTGCTTCTAACCACATTGCTTGCAGTTTTCCATGCGAACTCTTTGTGAATTTATGTCGTTCTAGTATTGCATATAGTTCTCTGGAATGAAATTTTTAAGTGTTTAATGAGAATTTTTGGAAATTTTCTTTTTTTCATTCAAAATTTATTTTAATTGATTTTAAAAAATTTACGATCATTTAAAGCTTAAAAATTTATTTAACGTCTTATTTTGATTTACGGAAATGATTTGATGAAGAAAATGAAATATTTGATCGAAACCGTTAATTAACATTTGAGAGTATTGTAGCAAAATGTTTAAAAGAATTTAATTTGAATCACATGATTAATTAGAAAAGTTGTAAAATCATTCATTGTGAATGAAAATAAAATTTCTAATTCCGCAATATTTTTTAATGTTAAACTTTTTCATTTATTAAACTGGCTAAATGTAATTATTTTACAATTTTTAATTAAATTTGTTTTGATTTGATAACTGGTTATAAAATTGCATTATGCAAAACTTAAATCATTTTGAATTTGAATATCTTTTAAAGTTGAAGAACTATAATAATTTTCAAAATATTAAAATTTAAAGATAATTTTAACATAACATTAAAATTTATTCCAAATTTTTGAAGGTTAAGATTCTGAATAATTTTAAAAAAACTGAATCTTATAAATATCTTAGTTTGTATATTTTAATAAAATCTTTTAAAATTAATCAATGTTGTTTAAGTTTCAAGAAAAACTTATTTAAAGGTTGCAACAAATTTACAACAATTTCTTAAATTATTTTCAAGGCGTAGAAACTATCCCAAATATCCCATTTATCTCATATATCCCAAAAATATTCGACCTGTTTCACTAAAGTGGATTATCCTCGATTTCGGATTATCCACTTCAGTTTTTTGGAAATAACTCCAGACGCTTAAGGTTATTAAGAGATCTAATGTGTGATCTGGTTTGAGTACTTTGCTACTTAAATTAACATATACTTAGAATTTTTATATCTTCATTAGTTTGAGAATTATAGCAAAAATCGAAGTTAATCTACTAGATTTGGCTAGAAAATTGAATAATTAATACTTCTTAACGAAAAGTAAAAGTTTAAAGTATACAGAAATTTCAGGCATAGTTCACTCTATTATAATCCAAAATTAGAAATACCACACCTCGCATAAAGTTTAAGATATTTACAAAAAACTGATTTCGAATAATCCGAAATCGAGGATAATCCACTTTAGTGAAACAGGCCGATTGAAAATAATCCCTGTATGCATTAGAATTGAGATATCCCGTCATAACCTGAAATTACACGTCCAACACACTAAGGATACGTTGGGATATCTTTATTATCGTGCATTAATGAATGTGAATGTATATATATATATATATATATAAGATTGGCGTTAATAAACTAAACTAAACTAATGCTCAGGAATTTTTTGAATATTTTTGGGATATGTGGGAGAAATATGATATTTGGGATAGCTTCCACGCCTTGATTATTTTGCACAAAATTTTTTATTCTTAATTCAAATGAATTTAAAAAATTTAAATGTAATCCTTTCATCATAGTTTATGCAAATCACAGCAGTTTGTCTGCTTTAATAGTCTGAATCTTAAACTTTAATTCAATAACTTTGAATTTAATGTTTATTGGTTATTTTTTTTTATTTATTTAAAGCTGAAACATATTGCCAATCAATTGAGAAAAAGGAACCAAATCCAAATCTAGTACAATTTTGAATCATCTTCTGCATTTCACTAAACTTCACAAAATCTTCCAAACAAATTCCAAAAAAAAAGGAAATTCAGAAGCCAAAAAAAAATTAAAGCTCATTAGGCCACTTAAATTTACTTCTGTATATATACACATAAAAATACAGAATCATAAAAAAATCTGTGGTAAATAACAAGATAATGATGGCTTACGTTTTCATCATCATCACAATACGCACACATCACTCCTTATTGAATTTCAAAAATGAGAATCTTCCTCGAAAAAATAACAAAATTATGGAAATTAATATAATCATCAAAAAAAAGAAGAAATTTTAAATTTTTTTCTCATCTTCATTGCGAGTTGTGGATTTAAGACAGTGAGCAACAACCATTTGGAAAAACAATTATGATCCATTTAGCATTTAATTTGTGGCAATTTGATTCAATTAATTCTTTTATAAAAAGTCTAGAGATGAATTTATGAATATTTTTTTTTTGAATTGTAAATTAAGTAAAAGCAGAAGCAAACAGCAGAAAGATGAATAATCGGATTAGATTGGGTTCAAGTTTAAGTGAATTTAGAATTTTTTCTTTTTATCATTTGATGATTTTTTAAGGTAAACTGAGCAATTTTCTGTAATTACACAATCTTGAACTTAAGGAACCAATTTAAGTTAAGTTGTTTAGCAAAATGAGTGCGATCAGGACACAACTTCTAGATTATTTTAACTTTAAAACACAAAACTGAAGAATCAGCCATAAAAAATGTATTACAAGTCTACAGTTCAAACTCAAAGCTTGAAATTGACTTATATTTTGAATCAAAAAGGACAGTTGACTCAATTTGACTTTATATAAATAGTTGTGTTCACTTAAAGCTTTAGTAACACTTAACTCTAGTTCAATCACTGAAAATTATTGCTAATCCTAATAAAGGAATAAGCTTTCAAATTCTCAATTTTAATCTTATAAAATTAATTCTAATTTTGCAATTTTCCAACTTCAAACTCAAATTTTTGATTCATAAAAAACTTTCATTTCATAAAATTCACTTTAAAGATTCTTCACAATTATCAACACCAGCATGATTTCACTTTCTCTTAATTGATTTCCAAACGCAATTTAATAAAAAATCATTTCAGAAAATTAAAGTTTGTCAATTACCTAAAGTGTCCCGTGTGATAAGCAACAACAGCACGAGCTCTTAGTACAGCTTCTGATCGATCTAATTCACTAATATTCTGTAATAATTTGTACAGGATATATCCAGGATTGCCAATAAATGAATTAATTATATTATTATTATGTCTATCTATTACCGGATGTGCGACGGGAAGGCTCCAAAGAAATCTAGCTAAGCGTTCAATATCACCCGATTCCTCTAACGTTTCACAAACAGTCGCAACTTGCGATGCTGTAAAATTTAACGTAGGTAAGGCGAATAAGGGACTAGGTGCTAAAATTGGATGATGCGGGTGACTGTGAAAGTGATGCGGCTGATGATGATGTCCGTAATGTGGATGCATTTGAGGTGAATTTGCTATTAAATTATTATTATTCGCACTAGGTATATTATTATTATCATTATTATTATTGTTATTGCCACTATTATTATGTCCACCACTCAAATTCACTGAAACAATATGAGGCGGTGGTGATACGGATGAGCTTGGCGACGTTGAATTTAATAATGTCACCGATTCCTGAATAATTGATGATTGTGGCGATATTGATCGTCTTATTGCAGTCGGAATGACGATCGCGTTATTTGGGCCAACCACGGCCATTTGAATAAGTACTTTTGAGTTCGGAGCAATTTTTTAAAAATTTAAATTCAAATTTATTTTTTTTAAAAAAAATTCTTAATGTCAAAAAAGTTGTTTCAAGTTCCACTTCAATTGAACTGAGATAAAAACTCAAAAAATAAATCACAAAAATTCCGTCTCTTCATTTGACGTGGTTCAATAACTGTACTGATGAGGTCACTAGAAGAAGCTCTTCAACTAATTGTCATATTAGTTATGCAAATGAATCACTGTGTGCTCCTTAATATTTAATTACACAACATATTTAATTATTTATTCGTACATATCACTTACACATGGACTCTATGTGTACGGATACTTATCATATATTATAATTATTTGTTATAGCTAATGCCAATTGGCAATGTAACTGAAGAGTATTATTTGAATTATTCACGCTTATTAACAAATTAAGCTTCTTTAATATATTTTTTTATATATTTCCACAATCTTTCTCGAGTACGCAAACTTCCGAAGGAAATGAAATTTAAACTAAAGAGAAATTATCGCGGATCCACCGAAATTTTACACAACAAAAAAAGAAATGAATATTTTTTTACGAGATAATATATAATATTTTTTTTTTCACGAGAGAGCGACACCGAGCACTGACTTAGCGGAAGGGTATTTTTCTACTGAACTTCTTTTCTCTTTTTTTGTTTATTTACTTTTGCCTGCGATACGAAAAGAAGTAATAATAACAATACTAATACGACAGTAGCTTACAACAACAATTCATCCTACTTTACTTTTCTTCCATTTATAACCGCCTCCTTCTTTGTGCTGCTCATACACAGTGAAATATTTAAAAAAAAAATCATACAAAAGCAAAAGAAAATTTATTAGCTTCGAAGCAAAATGAGAACGCCAATCACCATTTTGAGGGGTGTTGCCTTTAACTTGCTTCAACTCTATCTCATTGGTTCGCTCAATAATGTGCTATCTCTTACACAACACAAAAAAAATATTATTTTGTAATGTATATACGTCAGACTATGTGTATGCTATGATATGTTTCACTCATTTTTCTTATACTCCATGTCAGGGATTAGTAACTTCGCTTACTCATTATTTTAAGACTTTCTTTTGTTTTGTTTTTTTTTTTTGAGATATCTAAGGCTTTTTTGTGCCTGTAAAACAAAAATTCCCTGATCCCCCAAAAAAAATTATTTTGACTTCTGAAAAGTACATAAAATGAACATCCTTATTTACCCTGAAATTATCCTCTAAGAAAAATAAACACTGACAAAAAACGAAGCTACACACAAAAGAAAAGAAAAAAAAAAAAAAAACTCTCGGGTATCATTGAGTTGATATTCTGTGGAAGGTATAATGTTCGAAGTTAGAGATATACCGCCGTCTCACTTGCACACATTTAAAGTGATATGGGCAAAAATTATACTTTGTTGATCACAATTCGTTATGTACCCGGAGAGAAATAAAAATGTTCTTCTTCTTCATCCTCTCGCTTACTCGCCTGAGATGTGTATATACAAAGTCTTTTTTTATTTCCATCATCATCATCATCAACAATATTGGGGTATGTATATAAACTCAAAATGTTGTATGGATGGATAGATATATCTGATGATGAGATATAAAAAAAGCTTTTTTTTCTTCTTTTCACTGAAAAGAGATCTCTCTACTCTATCTCTATATAATATGTTATATTATTACTCACTCACTCGCTTGCTGTATGTATCAACAGCATATCGTTTTTCGTTTCGTTTCCATTTCGATATGATGATGTTATTATTTTTAGGCGTCAAACAGGAATTATGTCATCAGTATTTTTACGTATATATATTTTTAATGGGATTGTATACCTTTAAATTGAACATATATTGTTACTCTTGTTATTTCCTTCTTTTTCATTATTACTTCTCTCATTCTTTGTTGAGTTGATAATGCCATCATTTATTTGTACATATACTCAAATATATTCTTTTTTTGATTCTCTCTCGAATGTAGATTAATAGATAGCTATAGATAGATGTGATGAAATTGAAAAAGGTGAGTTTCAATAAGTTTTCATTACACTCTATATTTTATTTCTGTTTGCGTAAATTGAGATGTATCGAATGTTTGTTTTTTTTGGCAATGTTTGAAAATCTTTGAGGATAGTTGGGATGTATATTGGGGGTGATGATGGTTGTTCCTTTTATAGATTGAATAGAAATCTTAACTATTTTATATGTTTTGCGTCTTAAACTTTGATATGAACTGACTGAATTACATAAAATCTATAATTGGAATCAGTGTTGCATTCTGGCCATTTGTTTGGATCAGATAAATTCTGAGACAGAAATTTCTTCATAAAGATCGATTCTACATGAAGATAGAAAATCTAATCTACACAAAGATTATTTCTACATAAAGAATCTGTCTACATAAAGATTCGATGTAGATGTCTACAATTCTACATTCTTCTCTGATGTAGACCTGGAAAAAATTTAAAATTGTAGACATCTACATCGAATCTTTAGACAAAAACTATTGAAGAATCTACATTCTTCATCTAGTGTAGACATCTACATTTGCAACACTGATTGGAATAAATTTTTATATAAAGAATTCTGAGTTTTTATAAATAACATTAGATTGAGGTTTATTAAAGATAATTAATATTCAATCTTAGACTAAGGATTAAATTGAATAAAATCAAGCATATTCTATTAACTATAGTACACAATTCAATCTAACTTGGTATTTCTCGTATTTCTTATAATATCTAGCTTATTCAGTTTTAAACAAATGAATGGAATTTATCAACTTACATTTGATTATTTTTGATGATTGTGCTTATAATCATCTTTTGATCACTTTTTCACACTGTGTTTTATATTTGATATTTATGAATTACTGTAAACAAATACATCTTTATGATAAAATGTGAGATTTTCAACTGATTTTATTCAGCTTTATGATTGCTGAAATCATTTATTTTAAACTTTCAATAATTTTCTGATCATTTTGATCAGTTTTGAATTCTTGTTCTTAAAATGATCAAGGCAATCATCGAATAATAATTAATAAAAATCAGTTGAAAATCTGGACTCAATCTTAAACATAACACGTAAGTTGAAATAAAAATATATAAATATTGAAAGAAATAAGACAGGTCTGAATCCCAGAATAGCCTTGAATCTATACCATTTTAACAATTCTTCGAATAGTATTCAACATTTTGCATAATTGAGATGGTTTATATTAAAAGAAGATTTGCAATATTGCAATAGCTAGTTTTACATTAGTTCAAGTAGTTTCTATACAATCACCAGGTAGAATGTGATTGAATTCGCAATTTAATTAGCAAAAATGATCAAATATCCAAAGTCTTCTTAACCATCATTCATAAATGACCTACATATTCATAATAACATCACAATTTATTAAACTAGTACTTAGCATCCATATCCCAACTTACAAAACTTGTCTAATCTAGCCTCAATAATGATCCGTGGTAAAACTTTAACTCGAACTTCGAACCACAAGAAAAAAGAAAAACTTTATGTTCAGTTATATATTTAATAATGAAGGGTAAACGAAAGAGTATATACATCGACATTAAAGTTAAAACAGTACAAGATGAAGAAAAGTTTTTAACTCAATTAAAAATTCACAAGCGCTAAATAATGTTTACAAAAGAGCTATAGAAGAGCTTTTAGAAGCGAGTATAAAAATATTTCATACCCTGACGATGACGAAAAGTTCTCAATAGTACATATACTAAGTTTGGAACTCTTTTTACTCCCATCTCATCATACTCATTTAAATATTGTTTCGAAATAAATGACAATAATCATATAATCTTGAATTTGAGATACTTGACGATTGTGATGATGAAGAACTTCACATCAGCTCATGAAAATAATAAATTTGAATGCTCAGTTTCTTATAAGAACAAAATAGAATGGTAGAAACCTCTAATCACACTCACAAGAAAAAAAAAAGAAATCATGAAATTTGAAAATAACACATCAATCAGAAAATTATCATCTAGCTCACTCACTCGTTATACTCATTCTGTATAATATCGCTAGAATTCAAGAAAAAGCCAATTTATCGATAAGTAATAATTTCTTGAGCGTTGAATGGAAACAGCCAATTGATGCCTTTTCAAAAAAAAATAAATAAATTTGGGATTGTTGTGTGTATACATATCTATCATAATTCCATGGCATCAAAACATAGTCTTGTTCTGTTTTGTTATCTGATTATATTTGATGGGATTTGATGTTGGTCCTTAATTTGGCATATTGTCCTTATAAATGTTTGTTGATCAAAGAAACCACTCTTAAATGTGCAAGCTAAGAGCCTTGCCTAGACTATATATGTTAATTCCTAGTACTTACTTATTAATTTCGATGGTCCTACAATATCCATAGTACATGGATTTTAGTCTTAAGCAGTGTTGCCTAAACTGTGTGTCACGGCACATTGGTATGTCGTGGAATTTTTTCGGAAATAACGCGAGCTGCATGCTGTGTGCGACTTTTGTCATGGCTTAGCCCTAAGGTGTGCCGTGACTCAATAAGTTTGGACAACACTGATCTAAAGCAAGACTTTGTTCTTGCATAAGATACAGAAAAATAATCTTAGATGCGCTCAGACCTCTACTCAACATCCAGTCACCAACAATAAATTCCAACTCATTTTCTTCTCTTCTTTTGATGCCTTTATTTTCTGTTAAATCATTCTGTTAATTTCTCGATGTTTATTTTGTATGTTGTGAGGCTCTTTTGTGTATTTTCAATTATCTAAAACCTCAAAACAATTTAATTATACATACTTTAATTTTTTTTACTATTTCTATTCCATATGAGCGATGTGATGTCTTGAAAACAGAAATGAAATGAAATAAAGAAAAAGAAACTGAATATGATAGATTAAGATTAAGTGGGATTAAGTTATATTTTGAAATGTAAAAAGGCTAATGGATAATGGTCAATGATATGATGAAAATGGAAATGTGAGAGAATTTGTAGTAGAAAAATTAATTAAGCATAAATTGTTTTGGGTTCAACGGTGAGTAAATATCGAAGCTATGAAATTGGAGGTGTGTATGTTTTGTCCTTATTAATAACCAATTATGAGATTTAAGCTGTATAACTATCACAATGTAATGGATGTGTTGATTATAGAGTAGATGGACAAGTAGTTTAGATGTAGAAATTAGGAACGATTGAAAGTGATTGATTTATGTAAGCCTTTAAAATCAAAAATTGATAACTTCAAATAGAAGCAATTACTGATTTGAGTTTATTAAGTCTTTTGATTTATGGCATGGGACTTTTCTGAAACGTTCAATTAGCTCCAATTTTTTTGCATTTAATTTATTGAATTTTTTTTTGCGATTTGGTGGGAATTTTTGCTGACTTCAAGGATTTATTTGGAGTATCTATTGACAGACATAAATTTTGAATTTGAACTAGTTTTGCTGAAGAATTTAATTAAATTTCAGAAGTGAACGTGATTTTGCTCAGTCATACAGTTCGGAGCTAATGCTTACTGAAGTCTTATAAGAGAATCTTTCGTAAATTTTTGAATAAATCTTATTTACGTCACTATTAACAAAATTATGACAAATTACAGAATTGTCCACACATTTTCGAACATTTTCTAATTTATAGACACCGACTTTTTGAATTTTGAACCCTCAGCACTTTTCCAACCCTAGCAATAATCTTACATTACTTACTCTTGTTACGCAACAGTACATATTTGACTAGTTACATCAGAAATATTTTCGCATTCAAAATAAGCCCCTAAAATAAACTTACAACATTCGCTCTTAATACTTAAAATTCTTACACCACATGTCCTTATATGTAGCTACAAAGCTATGAACACTTCTTCCAAGAAGGAATAATAAAACATGGAAAACTCTCTCAGTAGGACAGGAATGCACTTGAGACTACAAAATATAAGGAAAATAACCTTATCTCAAATCAGCTCAAGTCAGCTTCATCCAAACTTCATAAATTGATATTCAAGTATTCAAAGAAGGTCTAAAATAAATTTTCTTAAGAACTTGTTCATATTAGCCTCAAAAATTCTAAAAAAATTCATTCCTAATTAGAATGACTACATAGACATCCATCAACATAATAAAATTCTCAAAAGTGAGGATTTCTGAATGGAAAATAAAGTTTCTATTCGTCCGATGTGTGTTTACCAATTAAGTTGTTTGATATGCATAAGAAATTGAAATGTTAACTAATAATAACTTAATGCCTGTTTCACATACCCCATCATCGTCTTGAACAACAACGCGTTCATTGTGGGCATGTTATAGACATAGACACAAGGAAACTAAATGAAATTTCATTTCTACAAAGTCATGTTTCAAGTAGAACATTGAGCTCTTAGATTTCAAAATTGATATAACATACAATACATAAAGTTTATAGAGTTTGTTTTGAAAACAGGCAGAACATTAAACAATCGAATCAAGTAAAATAGACATCAACAATTTTCAAGGGAATCATACAGAGAAAAAAAAAATCAGATAGAAAAATCATCTAATAACTTTTTTTTATACATTTACTTCGTTTCCATTGTTCATCGTAATATTTTGACAGATGCTAAGAATACAAAACTTTTTACTTCTTTCTTTTTTACTCGTGTTATTCATGACTGACCATTAAAAAAAATTGAGAATGATTGTAAAGAAATAAAACATATATAATATGAAATGATAATTGAATATACACAGCACATACAAAAACCCATCAACTCAAACGGCTACTGAATTGAAGCTTTTTAATACATTGTTGGATATTTTTCAATTTCTAAAATCATCTGAATAACTTCGAATTTAATAGTTCTTTCTTGATTGAATGCCTTAATTGACATTTTGAAGTATTTTAGAAGAATTTTCTGACTCTACAAATTAAATGATAGTATCGCAAAAATTAAATGTATACGAGTTCTCATTGTGCTTCGTATTTTAAGATGCCAATAGATGAGATGTGTTAGGAATGCTTGTAGACTTTTGGATTTCAACTACTTCAATTTGAGATTTTTCAATTTGAATAAATTTAGTTTATTCTTAAATGATATCTGATCTTTTGATAAATATTTAATGATTCTATCTCGGGATTCAATGTCTTAGGTATCGTTTGTAAGTTGCAGTAAAAGAACCAATTGAACCTGACTTGACATTCTTTAGGACTATATCTAGAGTAAAGGAGGCTTTGACAAACTATGACCTTAATCCATATGATATCTTTGAAGACCCTTTGACATCGTTAGAGACAGATTCAGATAACACAAATTTTCGACAGTCCAGGTAAATGAATGACGTGTAAATGATTAAATGATAGAAAGTCTTTGTAAATAAGCGTAGCTCCAGATCCATCCTTTATTTATTTTTTCTCGTGCTGTGACTCATTTTCTCTTTTAATTTTAAAGCGCAACACTATTAACTGCTTCCCTTCATGAGAGGTTTAGATTCCAGATCCCTTCAATCACACTAAATCCAAACCATCATAACTGAATGATCAACCACTGAGTATTCTACCCTTAACATCTACAAAACTTTAAGATTTTCCATTTTAAAACCACACTCGGAATCTAAAATTTCTAATTCAATATCCATCCAACCTTAATACGGAGAAGGAAAGCCAAGTGTGCGTGTATATATAGGAAAGGAATAAAAGAAAATAAAAATATATTTAAGATAAGTAACTTTTGTAAAGTAAGAGAGTTGTTGGATAAAAAATTGAATTCGAAGATGACTGACTTATAAGATAAAGAAAAGAAAAGAGAGAAATAAGAAATGCTTTTAAGAATAATCCATGTATTTTTTTTACTGAAGAAAGAAGATTTGTGCATTACCGTATTTTGAATTTATTTAATGGATTTCTTTTTTTATTGATGAAGAACATTGGAACCGACGGTTGTTGCAAAAAAAAAAACAATTAAAATAGTAAGCTAGGAAAGTAGCTTGTAATCAAATTAGATTGTTACACATGCTTACAATAATATTATATTAAATGATTTATTTTAAATACATTTTGAACATATAAAAAATTAGAAGAATTTTATCATTCTTCCTCATCCACACGCTCGAGTCTTTCAGCAAGCATTTCATCCTTCATCTTCCAAAATGCATAAATATGGAGAGAACTAAGAATGATATATACAAGCAGCAATATTGATATCCCAAATAGACCAAGTACAACTTTACAAATCACTTCGATAGTTGCTAAAATAACAGCCACAATGTTGATAATGCAATATAGCTTGAGAAATGGAGGAATTTCCTGCGAATATTGAAAATTTTATTATGACTTTACATTCAAGTATAGAGAAAGAGAATTTTGATTACCGTAGGGTCAATAATAAGCGAAGAGCAAATATAATAATTTGAAATTGAAGCCACAATGTAAAAAATAAAACTTACAATTGTGAGCATAACTGTAGCGGAAACTGCAAAGAAAATTTATCAGTATTGAGATTGATTAACGCCAGCTACTAAAACTTGTATATAAGAACATTAAAGGCACATGACTACTTACTAAAATTATCAAAATCATCAGATAATTTATCCGGCGATTCTTCTCTTAGACTTTTTGTTTGTTTATTTGTAACGATGATATCAATCAATCCAAGGAATATGTTAAAAGTGCCCATGAAAGGCGCAATATAGGACACAACATGTGATGTATCCATTGAAGAAAAATTCTTTGGATTTACAAAAATATGAAATCAAGAGATTATCTGTTTTTATTGACTTTATTCAGTTGATTCTGATCAGTTTTCTCTAATTCACTTACCCAAAAAAGAATTGTTGAACCTTGATTATTATTATTAAGGATTTAATTAATTAATTTAAACTTTGTTTACAAAATCACAACAAAATGTTTGGAACTACCACAATTATCCTTATCAAAGATCAAGCTGGATATTTCTCACCATTTTATTTTGTAAACAAACTTTGTTTTGATCATTTGCTGTAAATGTATTAAAGACAAGATTATTGATGAGATTTTGCATAAGAGTATTGTAAAGCAAACACGCGCCGAGTGGCGCCTAGATTTGTTATTTTAAGCATCTCATGAGAAAGTTAAATAGAAGAAATTGAGGACTCTAAATAAACAAATGTCTTATGTCATATTTTTTGAGGATCTATTAAGAAATGTATTTTAAAATTCTCAAAAATTTCCGTCACCTTTCACATAAAAGACACAACAAAAAAAAAATAAAACCCAGAAATTCGATATGCTAAAAAGTCATGATCTGACGGGGATCTTATTTTCTTTTCATAGAAATAAATCCACTATGCATTAATAACCTGAAACCACATATACATTAACGCTTCCTACTTATTTCCATCCATCCCTCAAAAATTAATCCCTATAGCTTTTAAATGAGGAAAAGTATATACAGCAAAATATAAAATAAAATCTGTTCCTTCATAATAATGTTCCCATCACCATCATCATCGTTATAATCATTGTTAGATACTGCTGGGTTCAAGTTATGGACTGTTGAATTTTGGATGGGATAATTTTGGCTTATTAAATGAGTTGAGGGACTAGGTTCATGGCTGCACTAGCTATAATAGTATGTAATGAGCCATATATAGTCGTATCTGGGAAAATAAGACCCATTCCATACCTAAAATAATAAGAAACTCTCCAAAAATGATATTTTGAAGTTACTTCAAAACTATTCGACATTTCCGTTCCTTGGATCTCATAGGAAAGTATTTAAGAATTTATGTCAAAAGGGCATATGAAACAAATGGATGTTTATGTTGTATTTTGAATCAATCTCATTAAACATAACACATTTTTTATACATCAATACACAAAATATTATGTAAAGTTATGGGGTTCGTCTATCAATTGATACGTCTACACAATAAAAAATTACATCTAATGTTTTTTTTATTTACTTTATTTTATCCTTTATTTCGCATTATAATACGATTATTTGATACAGTTTTACATTTAAATTCATAAGAGTGCAATTTTCTCAATAAAATATGTGTGAGTGTGTATGTTTGTGAATGTCAATGAATGAAGGATAAAATATTTTCATATAATATTCTGATTTCTAATGAATTTTTATTAATTCTGTCAATGTGGCTTGTTGTGGTTTGGAAAACTTCCGAAATTTCTGTACAGTTATTGGTTAAAATTAAATCTCAAGAAAAAAAATATCATCCTGACAGAGTACATATGTATTTAGGTTAGGTTTTGGTACTACAGTTTAACAGTTTACTGTTCAAATATGTTATCCAGTTGTATATGAATTTCTATTATATAACTCTTACGGAACTGACTTTGTTATAGTAAATTATCTTGGTTTTATGATGCTTATCTAGTTGTTCTTGCTCTGATGTGTTCAAAACTAAGATGGTATTAGTTTTTTGAATGACTAAGGTCTTAATCTATTTAATTTGAGATTCGTTCATTGTTTAAAATTTAAGCCCAATTTTTGGCGCCAAAATTTATCTTAAATTCATTTTGATTCTAATTTGGATAATTAAACAATAAGGATCAAGAATTCAACTAGAATTAGTTCCACCAATGCATCCTAGATAGTTAAATTTACTAAAGTCAGCGATCAAATTTTTATCCTTCAAATTTTGTGATTATTAATTTCTTAAAGTCTTTATCTATCGCAATACTTTTGTTTTTCAATATTTCAATTTTCATTAACTGATTTTTTTCTTCTTACTATTAGAAATAAAGAATTAAAATTAGATTGTATTTTAACTTTAAGACTCGTTATTAAAAAAAATGTCACAATAAAATAGTTTCAATATATCATTGAACTCTAGCTGTAGGAGTAAAAACTTCTTTTTTCAACACCTATAAGTTTCATCATGTTTTCTTTAATAACTTTTTGTCTATTAAAAATTACATAAAAGTTTTTTTTTATATCCTCATATATGTATAAATAAATACTTTTTCATTTTTAAATATATTTTTTTATTATATAATATCCTCACAAAAGAATGATATGATACGATATTAGTTAAAGTTAACCGAGCTTTTTTTGTTGTCTTTAAATTAGCTAAAAGCTGCTGTTAAAACTAAAGATTTGAAAAAATTTTTTTGTCTTCACATTCGATTCTGTATTTGCATTTGATTATGACCGATTCAATCTTTAAGTCTGTTTTACAAATTATAGAAGGTACATTTTAAAATATTCTGCGTATATTGCTTTATATTGAAGTATTTTTGGATACTGATAACTTATTTCTTTATTTATTTTTTTGAAAATTCTTTGTGCCAATTTAGATCTTGGGAAAGCGAAATATCTAATTTTTTTTTACCGTTTGTTGCTATTTTTATCTTCTTACTTAAAATTTCTTCATCTGAACTTATCTACTTTTTATTTTTTTTAGATTCTTTTTTTTAAATATCATTATAACACGTTACAATAGTTTTTTTTGCTTTATTTTAGTTATTTTCATTTAATCTTTTGTTTATTTCAAGGCGTGGAAACTCAGGATTAATCCTGAAAATCCCAAAAAATCCTTGAGTCAATAAATATGGAAATGTGAAATCCCTCTTAAATTTCTGATGCATTTGATGAATAACTTCGGGATTCAAAAGGGATTTAACATTTCCATGTTTATTGGCTCAGGGATTTTTTTAAGGATTTTTCAGGATTAATCCTGAGTTTTTACGCCTTGGTTTATTATTAGAAATCAACAGAATTTCTTAAAGGTTCATTAATGTATGAATAGGTAGGGTAGAAATTGTCTAAAGGGTCTTTGAAGTTAATGTTTTTAATGTGGAAATATTCTTAACTAAGATTGTATAATGATATATAAAGGGTCCTCGATTAACTTTCGGATAGAATACTGTGTACAACCTAATTGCAAAACAAGTTGGATTTGATCGAAATCGAACTTGCGACCTCAAAAGAGGTTATCTCCGATTACTTAGTCAAAATTCCCTGCCATTGAGCCACCGAGTTACATATCTCACTACGACTATCTATCATATACATACCGCGAGCCCAGAGGCAAATCTAGACTTTCCATATCTTCAAAAACAAACCAGATAATTATTATTCAAATCATAGACCCTCAACTATCTTCTAAACTTAATAAAAATCATCGAAAAAACAATCTTCATGTGAATCAATAATCATGTGATATTAACAAACCAAACTATGACGTCATTCCCTCAAATGGCAGCAAAATTCAACATAAGAGTGTTCAATATTCAACAAATAAAAAATGATTGATTAACAGGATAATCCATAAAACCCAAAGAGCCTTCAGACAATTTTTGTTCATAGAAATATTTTAGAATTTAAAGAGCATACGAACCAATCATGAGAAAAAGAAAAAGAGAGCATTTTTACCTTAAATATCATAGAGATCAAGCTATTAAACCTTTTTTGTTGCTATTTTTGCGATTTAATAATTGCTTCCATAACCATTTGATGGCTGCTGTTGTTGTTGTTGAGCAAATGGATTTGATTGTCCTGGCACTCCTAGATTTCCACCAACTGTCGAGTATGTTCCATATGATTCATTTTGTTGATTTGTTCCCATATCGTTTAGACGAGAACTCGAAAGTGCTCCTAAAAATACATAAATGATAATGTTTTAGTAAAATGTCAAGAAAGAGAATCTTAAAAAAGATAGGAAGAATGAAAATTTTACTTGGAATCGGATTTGATGGGACGCCATGTGGAGCTAAGTGACTTGTCTCCTCAGCAACCTTAAATTAAAGACAATCAGAATTAATTAATGAATTTAATTGATGCTAATTGAAAAATTACTTGATGAGGATCTTCTGTTGTGGGTATATCAGAAATAAAGCCTGTGTCTTTACGATAAAAGTTAATAAATACGAAGGCGACCAGCACAAATAAGCAAAATATTCCATATCCTCTGAATGTTTGTTTCGAGCCGAAGTATGTCACAAATAAGCCTGTTATAAACAATTGTATTTTCAATTATTACGTCTACTTTATCGTGTCATGAATTAATTTGAATTTTACCTCCAATAACAGCACCACAACCTCTTCCAAAGCCATGATGTAAGCCTTGTAATACACCTTGAGCACTTGTTCTGTAATTAAAGCGATATGTATAATTATTTTTAAAAGTTTAAGTAATGTGTATGTGTCAATCATACCTTAAATGAGGTGGTGTGTTGTGTGAGATATATGAACAGCATGCAGCCCAACATGCAGCATGTGTTATTCCTTGCATCAATTCGAACGGTAGAACCCACCATGGATTTCTATTAGAATTGATTCAATTTAATTAATTTACAACTTTAAAGGAATAGATGAACTTTCAACGAACCTGACCCAAGAGATGTACAAGAATCTGATGCAATTTCCAAACAATCCCAAGCACAAGACCTTTTGTGAGAAAATAAAAAATATTTAATTTAATTTGCGAACATGAAAAGACGACAAAAAATTTTCATTACTTTTACGTGACCAATTTGTGTAATAAGTCGGAAACTGAAGAAGTATGCAAATATTTCACTCAAGTGGTTAATAACTGATGCGACGCCAAATAATGTCGGTGAACCGCCATAGTCTTGCAAGTGCCAGAAGAGGAATGTAAATATTAAGCCAATACCAAAGCCCATGAGCCATGCAACAAACAAGAATGATGCACACTTGAGATCCTTAAATTGCGTAAATACTAAGATCCATTCAGGTGTTTGTGTGGTCAATCGCTGTGCAAACATTTTTGTCTGAGCTCCCAATGTAGGTGGTGGTGCTTTTTGTTGTGGCAATGATACACCGCCTCCTGTAGCTAATGATGGGATTCCTAATTGTGTTGCCAATTGATTTTGCATTTCATCCTCTTTTGTCAACACTTCTGCTGGTTTCTCTTGGAATTCCATTTCTTCTGGATGTTCTGGATATTTAAAGTTTATTTGTGTGGCAGCGAGTAATGCAGCAGTCATCGATACTGCGAATGTCGCAAAACAGATTGTATAATTTTTCTCTTGCTTATTTGGTCCACATGGATGATCTGGAAATGAAGTTGAATGATCCAGGGCAATACCAACAAAGAACATAGCAACACCCCATCCTAATGATCCAAACATTCGTTGATGTCCATATCGATCAGAATCCTCACCGAGAAGAGTTATGACAGCTGAATCAGCAAGTGTTATAGCTGGTGCTGAGAAGAATTCACCAATGACAACAAGTAACATAAGAAGGAAGAATGCTTTCTGGATATCGTCTGTTTGATACACAATACTGCTAAAAAGTGGTGATACCCAATTTCTTTGCTTTGAATCATCATAATTATTGGCATAGCTAACACTCAATGGAGAAACTCCAGCTTCAGAAAGTGGACGAACTGCACGTCGTGAACGTATGTGAACTTCATTGTTAATCGGATCATCAATAAGCTCTCGTAAATTGTCAACACTTCTCTTTAAAAGTCGTGGAGCTTCTGGTGTTCTAAGTTCATAGTAAGAGTCATTATATTGCGTTATACATGAGGTCGCTGGTGGTTGAATAAATCCAAGAGGCAGTGTAAATACAATCCATGCTGAAAGGGATGCAAGCAGAAGAACTTTACCCTTCTTCGATTTGTCTGCGTAGCTTCCCCAAAATGGAGCTGATAAAAATTCCACAAACGGACGTGATCCAACTAATAATCCACACTGCAATGGATTCATACCCATTTGTTTGAAATAGACACCCATTAATGGAAATAATGATCCAAAAGCTGAATAGAAGAAGAAGTAAAATGTTTTTACGGTCAGCAGTTCCTGATCCACAGATCCACAAAGCATTTCAATAATGTCATATCGTCCACGAATTTTGTGTGTCGATTCTTTGGGTTGTGGATATCTGGAAAATTGGGAAATGATTAATGGAAAATCCGTTGAGCAAGGCAATCAATCAAACTTACAGATTGGGATCTACTTCACCTTCAGCCTCAGGATCAACCATGGGACGGACGACTCCACCATAACCTGATGGTGGTCCACGCTGACTTTCGTCATACCCAAATTGATTATCTTCTTCATATCCACCAGAATATTGCGTATATTGTGCCATTTTTTTTTAATTTTAATTATTTAGCTACTTAACAATTAAAAAGGTTCTCAGCTGATATTCACAATGAATTCTCAGACTATTTAATTATCTTAGAAGGTCCTTCTACTTTTAACTTCCTATACCTTTCCCGATGTGCAAAAAATTATATAATTTTTTTAACGTTTAGTTGCCTTAACTAAATTGATGCCATTTTTGACACGAATTTTTCGTCAATTACGTGAAAATAACACTTATAATCCAATCAGCGACTATCACAATTTAATTTTATCAATTTTGTAAGAGTTTAAAAGCTTTAAAAATTTATCAAATTATAGATTTTCTTACTGAAAAAATTCACTTTTTACGAATCCTTCCAGTAATTGATTTTTTTGGTCTTCTATTGATATCAACGTTTCTGCTTCTATACTGCTGTATGAAACGTAAAGAGAATTAGGATACAAATTTTCTCATGAGTGGCAACACTAAAGCAGATTGAATGGCGCAAGTGCAAAGAGGAAAGAAACTTCCAACGAAAGGAAAATGTGAAAATTTATGAAGAGAGAAGAAACTTCCATTATTACATTTAAAAGCACGTGCGATTCTATTGGAAGTAGGATAATATTATTTTTTAGATCATTTAATTTTGTTTTTCATTTTTATACTGGAGATTTGCTAATTGCTGCCTTGTTGTCTCAAGTCGTTCGAGTAGTGCAGCCTTATCCGTTTCACATTGTGCATTTGCCTTCTCGGCATCGCGCAATACATTTTTTAATTGATATTTTTCCTCTTCATTAGGCACAATTGAACGATATTCTGCATAGCATGTGGATAGCTCTTTCTTTATATTTGCATTATATTGGATGACGGTATTGATGAAATTATGTGACGTACAATTATTGCCCGATAGAAATAGGAATCTCAATTGCGGAAGCTTGTCAAGGAGGATTGTCGAGAATGCAGAAATTTTGTTATTATTTAAATTTATTCCCTTGAGATTGAGATTGTTGACGAGCAAGCTCAATGAGATAATTTTAATCTCATTACGATCCAGCCAAATCCAGGTCAAGGCCTTCAACGGCTCAAACGTTTGTTCATCAATTATCGATATTCTATTATCAATCAAACTCAATTCCTTTAATTTGTTCAAGCCCTTAAATGCCTCAACATTAATATTCGCTATTTTATTATGTGAGAGGTCGAGATACTCCAATTTAATAGCTTCAACAAATGTGTAGGCGTCAAGTGTAGTTATTTTATTTTCATACGCATGAAATACACGCAAATTCGAGGCATGTTGAAATGATTGTGTAAAAATATTTCTCAATCCCACCTGATTCATCTCTAGGACTTCCAAATTTGTAAATGTAAAGAACATATTCGGAACTGTCTCAACATTTGACTCAATAAATGTAATTTTAAGCTTGTTGTATGCAATGTCATTTGTTGAATTTGAAAATTTCAATCCTTTCCCGGATATGTAATTAATGTTCGTCAATACGCATGTTGTAAATTTATCCTCAAATTGAGAGAATGTTGTGTTATGTCTCACTGTACACTCATACTCTTGCTCATTCGCTCCACTTATTAAACCAATTGAACACCAAAGGATTAATAAACTTTTTAATCTACAGGAAGGAACAAGAGAACATTAATTGTAATTAATTTTTTGTTGCATCCTAAAACAGTCAATTGTCGTTTGAAAAAATCAATAATATCTCACAATTCCATATTTATAAATGTAATAATACAGCCAACTATTTTTTTTAAACTTTACTATCTTAGGTCTTATCACGTCAGCGTTTCAAACAGAACTGAATATGGATTCTTCCGAATATTTAATTTAGTCTGATAAGAATTTTTTGTATTTGTAACAATTGAAATGACCCTAAAGCATAATTAAATTCAAACTACTACTCTTAGTTCCGTCGCAACTTCTTTTCATAGATTCTATGTGTGTGATGACTTAAAAACAACACTATTTAAAAAACAGGGTGACAACGATTGAGATTCTATGATGACAGGGTGACTCAATGTGATACTATTTGTGTAGGGTGACCAAAAACATTGGTTTGAAATTCAGTCAAGCTGTTCTCAGGAGACTCAATGAGAGCTATCATATTATGCAATTGTGCTTGACATTATTATTTAATTCAGTTATACTTCCTTTGCGGGGAAATTTTGTCGGAATTTCTACTAATAATTTGATATTGGCAGTTCGAGTGATTTGAAGGTTAATCAAAAAATGGACCAAAGTTTTTATGCTGGAATGTGTTATCGAAATTCCAAAACTTTAATCTTGCACCCACTCATTCATAAATCACGAAAAACAATTCACAACTTCCACAATTCTTTAAATTAAGTTATCTCATCACATTACCTGCTACTAATAAGCATGTCGCTCAATGAACTTCTTTATAGTAAACAATCAAATTCAAAACTGACACAGAGTGAATCTCATTCTAAACAAAATAATCTACACATGCTAAAATGTCGTACTTTCTATTCCACATTACACGTTTTTATCATTTTCATTCTTACTCCTCATAACTATTTAAATAAGATTAATGCGGTGCAAATCTTCTACTAGATTAGGGTTACTGGAGCTGCTCGTGGTCGTGGGATGTTTGGAATTACAGTTGCTTATGTGGCTACTTAAAAAATGTTACTATGTGAAGGTTAAGTTGAAATAGTAAGGGACTGCAGCTAGTCGTCATCAAGCTGTTATCTAGTCATTAAAAATTCTATGTCCACAGCTTGAAATGACATTCATGTTCCGCAGCATGTAGCTTTTGGAAGCTTTATAAATAAACGAACCAAATATGTTTTTGCATCATATTGCCTTCCCCCTCCTCCCTTACCAGCCTTAAAATTAAGCATTCGAAGCTATCAGCGTCATATCTTCTCAGTTCTGTTATATCATTCCACATCATCCCCTAAAGTCATCCAGTCACATGTAAATCTATCATGTCTAATACCAATATTAGAGTCTTATGCCGTACAAATTTGTTTGATGATGAGACGGGATGATTTATATGGATTTAAATTTGCAATGTGCATCATCAAATTGCTCCTTCAAAACTATAAAAGCTACTCACATCTGACCGTGAAACTAGTTTGATTAAAGTGATTCCGAGAGCGAGATAAAAAAAAATATGAGTAAAGCAGGTGCAACATTAGTGGATGTTAGCGGTGAATTTATTAACCAGCACATCCTGCAAAGTGATAATAACAAGGATGACGATGTAGTTGATGTCAATCAAATTCCAGAATGGTTGAATAAAAGTTTATTAGAGGATGTGCTGCATAAGCATTTTAAGACTAAGGATGTACGAGTCAAGTTCTTAAAAGTCATGCACTGCGGCGGTAAAGGTGAAAATTTTGCATCTGTTATGTATCGTGTTGGAACTTACTATTTCCATCAAAAGAGTCCTGAAAAGATTGAATTAATTTCGTGCATCTTAAAGACGCTTCCACAAACTGATATGGCGCTTGATAAGCTCGGAAGTGGAAACTACAACGTACAAAATAAGGAAATGATTTTCTACCAAAAAATCATTCCTGAATTTGAAGAAATTCTCAGGAAAATCGGGGAGAACGGAAAGACATTTCCAGGTGTTATGGCTGTTTATCTCGATTTAAGTCTTATTGTTCTTGAGGATTTAAACGTGAGAAATTTCGTTATGGCTAATCGACTTACAGGATTGGACATGAATCACGTCAAACTCAGTTTAAAATGCTTAGCTCGAATGCATGCAGCTTCAGCTGTTTTACATGCAAAGGATAAGAATGTCTTTAAGGATTTTGATACTGGATTTTATACAAGAAGAACTGACGCGTTTCATGTGTTTTTCAAGTCAGGCTTAGAAGTTGTAGCTAAAGAGGTCGAAAGTTGGACTGATTGGAATGAATCAGCATATTACGCTAAGAAATTGAAGGCATTAGTTCCAAACTTAATAGAAAATGGACGTAAAGCATTTGACTGTGAGGACGGAGACTTTAATTGCCTCAATCAAGGTGATTTATGGACGAACAATGTAATGTTTCAATATAACACCCCAAACAGCCCATCAAAAGCAGTGATTTTGGACTTCCAATTCTTCTTTTACGGTTCAGCAGCACTTGACTTGCATGTAAGCTTACAATTCATATCTAATCACACACCCAAAACTTATCTTTTAATTGCTTATTATTTTACAGTATTTTCTTTTCACGTCTGTACATGATAGCATGCGATTAGAGAATATGGACGAGATGGTACAATTCTACTATTACGAAGTCAAGGAACTACTCAGTAGACTCAATTATGATATGAAAAAATTCCCAACACTACAAAACTTTCAAGTTCAGGTGCTGAAAAAATATTTCTATGGTAATGACCTTATTTCTGTTATCTATGTCAGATTAAATCAGCTGTTGCTCTCAATTTTATTCCCAGCATTTTCCTCTTGCATGATTACATTCCCAATTCACATTTGTGAGGATGAAGAGGCTGATTTTGAAGCACTGATGAGTACAGATGCTCGTTCTATTGGATTTAAATCACGTGTTTACGCAAATCCACGATTTAAACAAGTTGCTATGAAGATGTTACCGATTTTTGACAGCAAAGGCGTTCTGGATGAACTCTAAAGCTGATTACTATGTTTATATATGTCACAAAATTAATTTATTGCACTGGAGTCTTAATCTATTAATTAATCATGGTTGAGGGGTAATTATAGCAATAAATTATGGGGTCTTTCCAAAAATAAGTATAAGTATTTGTACATCACAACTGAATGACCTTTTTATTCTGGCCAAGCATAAGTTTCGTCTCAAAGTTTCTTTTAGAAATTAAATTTTATTTTACATAACTTTTTTCTCCTATTTACAATACAAGTCGCAACACATGACTAGTTATGACACAAAATGGTAAAAAGCAACAATAACATCGTATATTTAATAATAAGGTGGCTCGAAATGTTTATCTCAAATATTTAAAAAAAAACTTCCGTTCTCGCAATACTGATGAATCATTGATGAAGCTTATTAGGCTGAATTTTGTCTAGTCTGATAAGTTAAAGCATTCTTTAAAGAAGTGCTCGAGTGAATGGTATAAATGGGGACGAACTCCGGCTAGTGAATGATCTTCATCGGGATATGTCTGTGAATTTATTCAACAAATGACTTTTAGGTCCACAAATAATAATCAAAAGTTCTACTTACAATTTCTTTGAACTGAATATCACTGCGCTCCAAAACTCTGGCAAGAACCATACCTTGCTGGAAATGAACATTATCGTCTAAAGTTCCATGCACCAACATGTACATTTTATTGTGCTTTGTTATGTTTTCAACAAAATTTGTCATGCGAGACGCATTATAAGCTGTTGGATTTAGCTCGGGTGTCAGCATGTATCGTTCTGTATAAATTGAATCTGAAATATCCAAAATGCATTAAATATGAAACTTAAAGAATCTTCAAAAAACTTACCATAAAGTTCCCAGTCAGTAACAGGCGCTACACTTGTTGCACATTTGTAGACCTTGTTATCTCTCATTAAACTCATTCCAGACACATAGCCTCCGTACGACCAACCTACATAATTAAATTTTCTATTTAAAATATTATTTTAATTAAACTGAAGTCAAGCCTCACCCCAAATTCCAGTTCTTGTTGAATCTAAGTACGGATATTTTTCATGCAACTTCTCAGCAGTTCTAACTTGATCTTCGACTTCAACTGTTCCTAAATTCTTGTACAATGCATGCAAATGCTTATCACTCTTTAGTCCACTTCCTCTACCATCAATCTTTACATAAATTATGTCTAAACTTGATGCTAGATAAGTTCCCCATTCAATTGAATAACGATTTGTGACACTTGATGAATCTGGACCTCCATAAACTTCAACAAGCATTGGATACTTTTTACTTTCATCTAAATCACTAGGAACTATCATCATTATAGACGCGTCTGTCTCATCATCTAATTCAATGCTATCGTAAATCTTTCTTGGGACTTTTTTCTTATAAACAAGATTCTTAAAGTCATCGTTTTTCTCAACTTCCATATGATCTGCTAACACAATTTTATCTCCTTCTATTTTTAGTGTATATAAATCCGCACGAGGTACATCAGGTCCTCCACTATTAATAATTAAATAGCTTCCACCTTCTGACACTTCCGCACTGTAATATGATTGTCCCTCATATAATTTACATGTCAAACACATTGGCAGTGCTCCATTCACATTTTTAATTGCATATACATGTTGTGCCTTAATGTCTTCTTCAGTATTTGCGGTATAAATTATCACGTTGTTATCCTTATTGAACTTTAATATTTCCGTAATAATATACTTTCCAGATGTTCTATTTGATACAGTTCGATTGTTTAAATTCAATACTTTGATGTGACGATAGCCATCAGTCGATCCGATAAATATCATTTCAGTTCCATCACCATTGAATAACGGTGCAGTGAAGAATTCAATCCATCCTTCAGTTGTGTCTAAAGTTAAAAGATCGACACAATTATTATTGGAAGTGCACTTAAGGATAAGTCCACGATTTTGAACACGGTCCATCCAGACTGAAATTAACTCGTTTTCATTTGCCCATCCAACAGAAGTGATAATATACTCATCAGCTATTAAGCTTACTGGTTTTGGAATTTCTGGCAAGCTGTCAGGATTTACACCATTTAAAGTAACATAAAACAGCTTGACTAATGGATTTTTTGCTCCAGCTTTTGGATAGCTAACAGGTATCATCTCTGGGTATTTGTACTGTCCTGGAAGTCCATAAATAGGCAATGTTATGGTTGGAACATTACTATCCACAAATTGAATAAAGGCAATTTTCTTTCCGTCTTTTGAGAACCAAGTTGCAGAATTTGACGAGAAAACTTCTTCCTCATAAACCCAATCAGGCACACCATTAACAATTTTATGTGAACTCGACAAATCTCCATCTTTAGTGATTTGAATAGACTCAGCAGTTGGTGATGGTTTGTAGTAAATATTAAACTTATCAACAATAATTAACGATGAATCTGGTCCAAATTTGACTAATCGATAGATAAAACTGTCATCTTCCTCCGTGATTTTCACATCTGTTATTGTTTCTGCTGCGATATCAAATATCCTCCAATTAGCAAAGAATGAATGACGATAAAGCTTAATTATGTTTGTTGTAAGAAGGATGTACTTCTTATCTGGCGAGAATTCAAAGCTATTTGACGTCACAAAGCGCTCATAAATGGTGGAATTTGTTCTGACTCTTATTTCTCGAGTTTTGGAATCGGCATTGTAGATGATGAAATCGCCCTGAAAATAAAGTAGTACTTATTTTAATAATAGAGCACAGCAATAAACATTAATTCGAGTTATCAGCAATTTCTAGTAAATGTTGAGACATATTAGTGTAATATAAATAAATAATAATGATTACATTAACATCGAAATAGTGAAACGATTTGTCATCAATCCAAGTTCCATTAAACCTTCTAGGCTGCAATTTTCCTTTAATGATGTCATCTAAAACTATTTCATCCAGTTTATCTTCGGCAGATTTGTTTACAAGAAAGACAGATAAGACAATAGCAAGAATTACAGCTATGGCAAGTATGCATAATCCACCGAGTACAAGAAACTGCCTCTTACGTTTTGCCGATCCAATGAGCTCCTAAAATTAGATAACATTCTTAATAAAGCTGTATAAAGCCTGTAATCATATCGGTTGATTGTCTTCCACTTTCGATTGGGTTATATACTGATTAATAATTATCAAGCAATGAAAATGAATTACAGTAAAAACAAGTTTTGGATCTTCCGAAATAGCTATTCATCAAGCTTGGTACTTTTTTGCTATCAAAACGAACATCCAGTTTATACAATTCAAACATCCAATTATGTATATTTTTTTTTTCCTAATTGTATTATAAAGCTAACCACATTCATTATAATAATACAAGCTGTAACTCATACCCAACATATAAATTAGATTGCAGAAAGCTTGATATGAAAGTGAAAGCAATTGAGCCGTGAAAAGAATTTTTTAATAATTTTAATTTGAATATGTGTGGTAAGTACATTTGTGAAGCAATATCTCTGCACCATCGCATTAATTTTCTTTTATATTGACGCACTAGACTATTTACGATAATTGTTAACACTTAAAACACGGATAAATCTACTAAAATTAATAAAATTGTTAAAACCACGATTATTGTTGCTATTTATAATTTAACAGAATTTTGGATTTTGAATTTTATAGCAACTATTACAATTTTTTTATAGCAAAACCCTACAAATGTCAAATTTGTATGGTTTTGTAATTTATTTAAATTTTTCAATTTCGTTAATTGATTTAAATATAAAGATTCCATAAACTCAATTTGCATGATATGTTCACTAGAAAATAGAATTAAAAATTCCAACATTCCAAATTATTAACGCTCAATAATTCTGTTGAATTCAACATTTTAAATGATTTTTTCAAGAGTCCCATAAAGCATTTTCCCGTTCCTATCAAATTCTATTTCAAGAGTTGATAATTGTACTGAATTGTACCTATGTACTGATACTGAAACAACCGAATTCTTATTCATCAGATTTTAACAAAAGAGCTTTATCGAGATATTTCTGTACTTTAATTAATTTCTATTTTTGTAAAGAATTGAAGTAAATTATTTATGCAGCATAGCAAAATTGTCAGTTAAAAACTAAGCGAGATCTATTATTAATTTGAATAAATTTTCATAAATAATTTCTTGATGCATTTAAAAATAGCTCCCAATATTAATTACACACAAGATCACTTGCATTATTTGTTGATCCGATACTTTATTGCCATGAAGACTATCCGAATGGATGAAAATAATTTTTTTAAGTACCTGATCGCTCTGTCGCATTGTTTCAAGCGAATTGGAAGTAGTCATGCTGCCAGTATTTAAATTATTTGTTCTAAGCTATTAAATAACTTTGAAGATCACTATTTATCCTAGAAATAATAACAATAGCTTAGTTATTATCGGGAAAAAAGAAGCGACACTATTGTTATATATATCCACTAAGTACAATTACAAAGCACTAGTCATTCACATGACAGTCGACAAATGACTAACAAAAGCATCATGAATGAAAAGCAGTGAATATCGCAGCATTATTTTCGATTATTGTACTCTCACTCTCTCACATTTATCTCCTACCTGGCCAAGAGTAAGTTCGGAGCGTACACAGTAAATTTATTATTCTCTCACATCTCATCACACACATTGTATTTTCCAGTGTACACTTTACTCTACATTGTGAGGGATACCCATTTATTATTATAAGAGACTAATTTGTTGGAGAAAAAAAAAATATTTACACGAAATATTAAATTCAGAGTCGATATGTGTGTACACAATAATTAAAGTTGACATAATCACTCATTGGAGGAACTACGAAGAAAGAGTTAAAAGAGAATTTACATCGACAATGAAATTGATGAAAGTCATAGGAAGATGATTAATCATGTTCTCAAAGTGAGCAACTGTGATTTATTAGTCATGTTTTTGGTTCTTCATGAGAGGAATAATATACTTCTTGGTCAGTTGGGTTTTGAAATCAATTTAACGGCTCTTAATTGTTTTGAAATCCTGTTGTATGGTTTTTAAAAGCTCTTGAAAAACATTTGAATTTTATCTTTTATATGGTTCTAGCACATGTTTTCTATTGCTGTTGTATGGTTTTTAACGTGATTTTGTACAGTTTTTAAACACATTGTTGTTATATGGTTCTTGTACGGTGTCTCAAATAACTTGAATGGTTCTCAAACATTGCTTTTATGAGGTTCTAAAATATTGAAATTTCAGTTTTAACATTTAAACTTTGAAAGACATTTTCGTTCAGCAACAAAAAAAAAAATCGAACAAATCCAGTTATTAATTATTCCACTCACTGATCTTCATTAATTCAAAGAATATGCTTTATCACTGCTGCGTAAAAAATTCGCACATGACCACCGCGAGTAGAAAAAAATATAACAGAATATCCAATAGAAACACAACTGATTGTTTAATAAACACGTCAAAAATGAATTAAGATGTGATAAAAGCTTGATTTCTTTTAAAAATTAACTCTTCCTGTACCGTGATGATTTTCAAAACATTATTAACTTTATATAACACATGTATGTTTGCGGCGCAATCAAACTTCCGAATATATTAAGAATGTTTAACTTTACTTTCTCTCTCGAACAAAATAACAAGCCAAACAATTCAAATTGTGAACGTAAATCAAGCCACGTGATAAAATTATTATTTCTGGTCAATAGACCTTCACACGTTCGAGTCTATAAATTTGTTATCAATTAAATAACTCACCTCGTAAGACTCGGCAGCAGCATCAAATCCATCGATTCTTACCATTTTAATACGTTTTCGCTTTCGTCTTGATCTTCTTGGGCTATTTCTGATTTTATTTAATGCTAGATCCAATGAATCTTCTGATTCATCTGAGCTCAACGACGAACTAAAATCATTTTCATTTTCATCTACTTGTGGCTCTTGTGAAAGTATTTTATACGACGACGTTGAAGCTTGAAACATTACTTATATATATTTGTGTAAATAAATTGTTAAATCATGATTTTTCAAAAAAGTTTTATGTGTATGCGCGGCTGATTGAAATTATAGGCTATAAAATTCACTTATCCATAAAGTTTAATAACTTTTACTTTATAGTCTTAACTTTCACACTTTAAACGATCATCAGAACTAATTTTTAACAATTTAAAGCTTCTAAATACCGACTTTAAAATTTATTATCAAGCTAGTGAAGAACTTGCAATACTCGTTCTTTTTTTTTGTGAACATCCACTCACATTTATGGATCTCTCTCAGTTTTACGTTCAAAGCTATAAGCTGACAGATTCATGATTTTTCTCACAAAAAAAAAAATATATACACAAAGAAATACAAGCGAAAGGAAAGAAACAAAATAAAAAAAAACTTTCACTAAAAATCTCTCAATTCATACTTGACCTCTACAATATTATATCTTTTATGCTCGATAGAGTAAATCTTCAATCTTCAAAAACGTGATTTATGAATGACTATAAATTATATTGTATTTTTTATTACATATAAAATAAGATATTTTAATTTTAATTAATTTGATTATGATCCATTAGATGTCTCATTATCATTCCGACTCATGCTGCCGCTGTCTTCCTCTTTAATCGACACTTCTCGCTCAAAACTGACTTTCTTATCAATACTGGATGTTGAAATTTTCCGTCCTTCACTGGCTCGTCTCTCAGTTTCCTGCTGGGAATCAGCTACTAAGCTTGCATTGCTTATGATGACAGACACCTGATCTGAAGTTGGTAGACTGACGATAATTAAATCCTCTTTACTGTAGCTATTTGTTACTAGGAGCTGCTCTAATCGCATAAATGAGCCTATTATATTATTCTGTTGAGAGATACATATAAATAAATTAGTATAAATGACATAATTATACAATTTGGGGAAGTTTTAATGACTACTTACTCTTATCGGCCTGAATAAAATAAACTCTGTATCTTTATTGGACAAATATAATTGCATGGAACGTTGAATGGATGAAAGTTTGCTTTTAATATTACGTATCGATTCTTGAATGAATGGACTAATTTGTTGTGGCGATGCCCATGGTGTTTGTCTCAATACCATATTCGATGCCGGCTGTTGCGATGAGGCTTGTTTTAATAAATTCTGTGCATTTTCTATAAATGTTATTATTGGTCCAACAAGTTGCTTCGTTGCATCTTTAATGAACTGCTCGCATGATATTTTTAACTGTCTATCAACGTCTTTGCGGGAGTCTAATAAGTGCTCTAGATGAGAAATAAATTAAATGGCTATTAAAGCACGTGACGAGTTAATTTTCTAACGGAAATATTTAATTTGGATTTTCTATCATTGTGTTAGTGTGTTTACAAAAATATATAAATTTAATTCTGCTAATTTTAAGATTATAAATGACTTTTAGGGGTAAGTGACTGCTGAAAGTGCTAATTTATTTGTCATTCTTGGTCATCAAGTGATAATATGACTTAATTTACCTCTAATTACTTGATAAAATTTTAAATAATAATAATTCACACTAATACTAATGCAACATGAATATCCAGCAAACATCCAAATTGTATCGAATTAAGTTTTTATTACCTTTCACTTGTGGTGTGCCTTCAAGTAGAAATTCTAACAAGGCATTAGTAGTGCCAAGTGCAAATAGTTGCTTCCTCTTTTGTAAAAGTTCATAAGCTGCAGTTTTCATTTTGCTAAAATCCAAGCTTGTTTCCTTCATCGTAAAGTCAACACGAAACGGTGCTATTTGCTCGCGAAGAATCAACAAATGCTTAATTTCAAACAATTTACCGTCAATGCTTGATTTATTAGTTGAAATGGATAATGAAGCAGTCGCAAGACTTTGTATGCAATATGAAAGTGCTTCCTGACTTAAACCTTGAAAAATTGGACGATCGACACAACGATAAAGACGTGATAAACATACTAAAGTTCGTCTAACAGTTGGATACCACATTCCATGTAAATCAGCGGGTGAATTTCCTGTACGCGATTTAAAATGCTGTTCTACTTCAGTTGATGTAATTGACAGCATTGAACTTCTCGAGTCTGCCCTTTTCAATGGCTGTTGATGCTCTTGTAAAGACAATGCAATACTTTCCATCATTTCAAGTTTCTCTGGATATGCAAGATCACCTGCTGATGGATTATATTGTAAAATGTCAGATTGCAGATAAAGATGTGCTCTAAAGATTAATCGTTCCTGCACATCTTCCAACATTTGCTGTATTAATTGACCAAAAGCTTCGAGTGCCTCCGGATTGTGTGCTACGTGTTCATCAAGCATTTCTACTCGTAGAATACTGCAAATTTCAGCTAGTGTCTCTAAATGATTAATATGTACGATGAATGGTCTAATAGAGTCATATAATATTGTACACAGTCCTTCCATATATGAAGTAAGCTGTGCACTCTGTACGGAAAAGAATTGATAAAATAATCTATATTCATCTTGACAGATGTGAACTAAGAAGGTGCATGAAGCTCGAAATAAAGCACAGTGATCGCCTTTATGTTTAGCACATAAATCTTTGATTGCACTGTCAACTCCAGAACTCATTATTATTGCACGCTGTGACAAATAGAACTGATGCAATTCGCTTAGTAAATTCTCGTACTCGATGTTCCTTTCGAATCGTTTCTCAACAAGATTTATGACTTTTTTGACTTTTAACGATGACGCTTGAAACTTTCCATAATACAAGGCAAACACTGCTTCAGATGTCTTATCTGTAATCTTGAGTTGTTCTTTCACGGACGAACCTGCTTTGGGATTCAACACCTGTTCAGTTGCTGTCAGCAGAATGTGCGTGACATAAGATTTTATCATTTGAATTGCTTTTAGTAGACACTGTCTATATTTAACTAAATAAGTAGCACTTTCTTTGTACGATGGCTTAAAATAAAATTATTTTTGAATTATTTAGGTTTAAGGATGATTGATGAAAAACTTACATGTTCCTTTAAATATTCCATGCTATCGTCAATATTGACAATTATTTCGGAAAACTGTGGACTTGCTGGTGAAAATGTTGGATTCTGTAATCGCTGAATTAGATGTTCAACTTGTGTAAAATGCTTTAGTCGTGTCTTAATATCATCACTAATTTGACTTAGATGTCGTTGCTCTCTTATTAGGTTTTCGCTTGCATCATTTAATGATGACGTTTTTGTATTAACAAAGTTATATTCTGTAATTAGCTTGTCTAGTCCAGCTATGCTTGTGTCAATCTTTTAATTATAGTTATTATTCAATTATATGGATTATGAGAAAGTAAATTAATTACTCACTTCATTTAATAATGCATCACATTGCTTCGTCTGATCTTCTAAATGTCTATAGTACTTATGGTACACATCATCACTTCTGTCATCGTTTATTTCCTCTGTTTTGTCGAACCATACTAGGAATTTTGGTATTGATTCAATGACTGGAATTTCCGTTGTCTCATCAGTAGATTCAATTGCAACATTCTCTCCCTGCATGAATAATTAATGAGTGACCGGAAGAATTAAAAAGATTTTTAAAGGAAATACCTTGATTTTCAATGAATTTGAATTTATTTCTTCAATCTGATTGATAATGCTTAGCTGGAAGTCATCTAGCTTAGCCAGTGGATCTGTCTTATCATCCCATTTCTTTACTTTTGCATGCAACACCTTCATATTCTCCATAACTCTAATTAATTAAATTAATATTTATTTCACAAATATTTTTGACTTGTTTTCACTCTAGTCTCAAGCCCCACCGACATTTTAAATACTTTTTATCCGTTATTTTACATTATTTTTTTTTTTACTTTTTTTGCTGTCAGTAAGCTACTTAAGTCATCAGATATCATATGAATACTAGGTTTGGATTAAGATCATTATGAATTAAACATTAAAACACCATTATTGACAGTAATAAGCAATAAATTTCCTTTCAATATTGTAACGTTTAAAATATTTTTACTTTTTGAAGCAGGGGATTAACAACGATAGGACAGGGGGATGTAAAACAATAAAAACGGTGAAAATTAGAGAATTGAAAAGATGGCTTAAAAAAATTGTAAATTCTAGTGTAATTAAGCTATATATAATCAATTATTTGTTTTAAAAGCAATTAAGTCACCTTTAAGTATGATTTAGTGTTGGAGGTGTTGATGCAAAGTGTGGATAAATAACCAAATTAATGGACGACACATAAAAGTTAATTTCATTGCTTCAAAAACTTTATCCGGTTTTTATTAAGTTAAAAAATCAATAAAAAAAGATCCGTGCGTGAATTTCTCAAATATCATCGTCACATTTTAACTATTTATAAGCATAATCAATTAGTATTTGGATATGGTGCGTTTTATATCGAAAATATAGTGTTGAAAAAAAATTGAAATTGAAAAAAAAAATGTTCATGAATGCCATATTATAGAAGAGCAGGCAGGCAGCTACTTAAAAAATGAGAGAGAAAAAATTGCACATAAAATATAATTTTGAGGCACCTTGAAAATTTTTCAAGAAATTTGATGGATAAGGCACTTTTTATGACTTAATGTACAGCTTTCTGTGTGGAAATTGACGAAAAATGGATGACAGGGAAAGTTGAAAAGTGATGTAATATATTAAAAATCAACAAGACGGGGGTGCATGATTTTTCAAGTATATTCATACCATACGTACAGTCGATAAAAAGTGGGAATGTTCGCTCATACGAAACAACCCAAGTTGGATGTTTTATTATTTATTTTATTTTTTGAGGAACTGATGAAGTCATGTAGTCATTTTAAAAAGTAAACACTTCCTTGACTTTCCATATTTTTATTTATCATGACAATATTTGCGCATTACAACATAGAAAAATTGGATCTAGATAGCGATTCCAAGAAATTAGCTAGACTTCCAGCAGTTCTGGAATATCCTTAGAAAAATAGCATTCAAAATTTTAAAAACATTCTTCAAACATATAGAACATTTGTTCTTAATAGAATGAATAAAATTAGCACGGAAAGTAGTTTTTAAGAAGCGCTAGAGAAGTTTGTTGCAAGAAAGAAAAAAAAATTATATGAATCATCATCAGAAATCCACAGTTTACGTAGAAAAAATATATACATAAGTAATATGAGTGTGCAGGCAATAATGAAACCGTTAATTAGATATTGTCCATAACTCAACAGATTCATTTCTTCAAAATAAATGTTAATATTGAATTAATCTGAATTACGCTGATTACACTTAATAATCTTTGATTTTTCCCTTATCCTCAAAATTATATTTTTATTGTGGTGTTTTAAAAGCAAATATTTATTTTTTCTCTCTCGATTTTTAAATTTGCTCGTGAAGTGATAACAAATTTATATATTTTTTTGATTACAGCTACATATAGATTACGACTACTCCATTGCTTAATTGTTAATCATTTTTTTGGTGTAAAATAAAATAAGTTCGTGAAATAAAAAAGAGAAAAGACAGGCAAGAAAAAAAAAAGTATAAGATTTAAGAAAAAGAAACAATCGTGGTGTGTTGAAAAAAAGGAAATTGCAAATACCGAGAAGTAAAGCAACGAAAAGAAGTTTTTTTAAAACTAGAAAGAAACAATTTTTAAGAGAACACAGAAGAGAATAATACATACGAAATATATAATATAATACAAGAGTAAAAGAGTGATGATGACGAATGAACACTAAAAAAACTAACATGAGGCTCTTATTGGCTTCTACCATAAAAATTCTTCATCAAAATTGAGAAACGAAAACAGCAAAAGTAATAGTGTGGAAAACAAGAAGAAAATCTGGAATTTCGATTCTCAATTTTTCAACTTCTTATTCTTTATTTCGCTAGATTTAACGTGAAAAAATATAATAAAACAAAAATTAACAAATTGGTCTTATTTTGACGACAGCCTTTTTTTCGCTAGTTCGTGCTCAGTAAGTTTGAACCAAGGCGAAAAAGAGAGACAAAATTTTACATCTGGATTTGGATTCATACTATGCAACGAAGAGATCAACGTGACATGTCTCGACAACAGCAACCAGCAAGGTAAAAGAAAAATATGCATTTTTTTCGCAATTTGTCTCTGCACACTGCAGAATATTGTGACGTTAACTTATGACTGTGAGTGTATGCTCGATACTATAATTTTCGTTGTCAACGATAAAGAGAGAAATCATATGAATTAATCGCTATAATTTACGTCACTTTAGTACTTATGTATATAATTTATTATTATGTGTAATGCTTATAGCCCAATCCCAATCAAATTTCGTCAGATGGTTGCAACTCGAGATGGCTAGAATCTCTTGAAACGTCTTAGATTGTTTGCATTCTCATTCATTCATTCCAAAATAAATACAAAAGACATTAGGGTAGTAAGAATAAGAGCGAGAAAAGGGGGAAGGAACAAAATAAAGCATGAATGAGACATGTCTCCTAAAACTGAGACAAAAATATGTTCAAATCAGTTTTAAAAATAGGAATTGATAATTACACAATTTTTAATATAACATCAGTGAGTTGAGCTCCTCTCATCTATTTTGCTTTTCTTTTCGTTTCACGCTATATTACTTACATACTCATTTCTTTTCTCTTGACCATGTTCGTAATGACGTCATTCTTCAATTCTGGTATAGTAAGTGGAATTGATTGGAAAGTTCAATGTGAAAAGAGATATAATAACGTGCATTTAATCGCCTAGTAATGTTTTTGTGAGAAGAAGCTTAAGACTTTTTGTTTTTTTAAACTATATCTATATGAAAAAAAGAGTGAACAAATATTGATTAATCATAAAAAATTGGAAGTTTAAATATAAAGGCATGAAGAAATATATAAATGCATATCAATCATTTTCATAGAAAAATATAAAAATCCCTTATCATCGTTGTTTACGAAAAAGAAGAATAAAAGAGACTTTGTCAGTGGCTGTTTGTGAATAGATTACCCAACGTTTTGAGTAATTTAAGTCTATGCTAGTGTATAATATATCTACTATGTTTATTTACAAGTAGAATCATTCAGAATCTGATGTTTACCACGCCTTTACAGACGTGTGTTTTGCATGACTTGAATAAAATTGCATAAATTTTTTTATGCTTCTTTTTTTTACCTCTCTGCGAGTGCTTATTTGAATTTGTGGTCAGTTTTATGTGTGCTGAGAAACTATTGACCTCAAGATAATATGTTCTACATTTTTATTTGTACTTGTTTGAATCATCAGCCATGAATTCATGCTATTCGTCACATGCTGTATCATGTGAGCAGTTTGCGAAATTCTAGTCATATATAGTGGAATCTGAATCAGAACTTACTCTGGTTCGTCATTTATGCCTTCCATCAAAATCTAAGCTTTTAGACCTCGCCTCGCCTAAATTCTATACTGCTTCTCAACATCACTAGTTTTACTCGAGATAGAATGGTCAGGATGTTGGGAAAATAAAAATTATATTCTCAATTTCCTTTATCTATTGACGATACTGTTGTCTGCTGTTATTATTTTCCACTACTTTAATTAAGTGAATGTAAATTTAATCAAAGCACAGCACAGCAGAGCATTAGTGACTGTGTGAATACAAATAAAAGCGATTAAAAACAACCTTATTAAATATATAAGACATAGATATTTTTACTCGATATCGTCCTCACACGTGCTTTTAAGCGAATGGAATTTACTTAATTATTTTTTTCTGTCTATCGTGCATGCATGCTTACGTCAAAAGTTGTATTGTGTTCGAAGCCTCAAAGTTTTTCCTTCATTTGTTTATTTAATTTCTCTATGTACACTAAGTATCGTGTAGTTTCCATTTATATATTTATTTATTTTATTGACTGACCATACATACATGCATGCTTTTACGACATAGTAAGAAAAATCACGTTTTTTGTCGCGACTTTGTGCGTAATATAAACACATCTTTAAAGCATAAAGAATGAAAGTTCAAGGTCAATTGTTTGTTATCACATCACTTCAATTAAGGCAAGAGTGAATCTCATTTCCCCCAAAAAATAGAATTTGTGAATAAACATGATAAAAGTAACTTTAAGTACGAGAACATTTTTTATATCTTCGATGCTTGCTTATTATTTATGTGATTTATATACATAAAAAATAAATAAATAAATGTAAAATTTTATGAAGTACGAATAGTCGTCGAGAGTCAATTAAGTTTTGTGTTTCGTGAAAACATTTCTAGCGAATATTTTCTCAGTTGATATATTTCCTTGAAAGGAAACAGTTCTACAGTTAAATAAAAGAGGAAGTTTTGCGTGCGCCTAGACTAGAATCAAAGAAATTCGTGTATTAACAATAAAAAGAGAAATAAGACTTGTGAAATGAAAGTGAAAATTTTGTTGTTAACAGCCACAAATCGATAATTAAAATTTTAAATGCGTTTCAATCTATGGTGGGTTTTTGTTTTGGTCGACAACAACAACAAAAATTCAATTAATTAAATTAACCCAAAACTCTAATAGTGAAATTAACAGTAAATGAAATGAAAAGTAGACGCAGAAGTGTGTGATAACTGTAATATAAATATACACATTGTTGTCCTTCATCTTCATTACATATTCGCGCTGAATTTATATCTATTACAGGCCTGAGGAAGTTTCCAATTTTTCTCATTTTTTATATCATCGCTAAAGTGAACTAAAGGCGTTCAATGAATATGAAAGATGCTCGTTTTATAGTCATTCGTTAACTATGTTATATACTCAAATATATATGCGAGAGAGATGAGATGTGAATAAAAGAAATATATATTTCAATTGCTTATGCTCAAGGCTAATGTTCTGATATACTTCAAAAAAAAAGAAGCAAAATATTGTTGTGCATACACTCACAGACTTTTCTTTTGTTTTCATACTTTTTTATTTGCAATAAATTGTATATAAATTGAGAATATCATTAAATAAATTTGACAATATTATGTTGTTGTTATTTTTTCAGTGGTGCAAGCGGCTCAGGAGCACAAACAGGAGCTGCACAACGTGGCGGATCATCAAACATGTATTCAGCTCGACACTCAGTGAGTTCGACAAGTGGTGTCCTTATGGTGGGCCCAAATTTTCGTGTAGGGAAAAAAATTGGTTGCGGTAATTTCGGTGAATTAAGATTGGGTGAGTGAACTTTTATATCCATATTCGATTTTTGTTTTGTGTTTGTCATAAAATATTTAGTTCGTGGAGGAAGCTTGTTTAGGAATGTACAAAAATAAATCAATACTTTGATGTGTTATGTTTAAGGAAACAAGAGAAAAAAGAAGGAAAGAGTCATTTGTGATGTTACGTCGATGCAATTATCATTATTATTGTTGCTACTATTTGCTGCAGCTATGTTTTTTTTTTAATAGACAGTTTTCATATCAAAGAAGACTTTCTCTCGTAAGTGCACTTTTATGTTGCAGTCACTAACGATAACTCGTTTTGTAATATTAAAAGAAATATGAAAACTATATAAAATGGCAATGTAAAAGACAATTTGCTTACAGTTTCTATTAAACAGTGCAAAAATCATGGTCGTCTTTCAAGATTTACCCCAGAATCGTATAACGGACATCCTCGATAAAGCATTTCATATAAAAAATAATTTTTTTGATGCCGGTAATGGCTGTATTTTGCCCCAAAAATATCGTGATATAAGTGAGAAAGTGAAAAATCTTAAGATTCGTGATGATGACGTCTTCTTATGCTCATTTCCTCGCACTGGATCAACATGGATGCAAGAGATTCTATGGCTCTTGGGAAATGATTTGGATTTTAAAAAGGCCGAAAGCACACTTCAGCAGGTCTTGCAATAATTTTTGAAAATGTCAAGTATATGACTATAATGTACTTCCTTATCATATTATCGTTTAGATACGAAGTCCTTTAATGGAGCTGTCAGCAATTTTTTCGGACAATAAGGATCATGTTGAGTGGCTAAAGTAAATATTCTCTTGCCTGCTCACTCTCGATAATAAAAATAAATGTAAATTATTACACCCCCTTACAGACAATATTTGGATGGAAATTCTGTCGATTATGTTGATGAAATGGAAGGACGTCGATTTATTAAATCACACATGCCATGGCATCTTTTGCCAGACGCTTTAAAGTCAAACAAAAATGCAAAGATTGTTTACACAATGCGTAATCCAAAAGATCTGGCCATATCATTCTATCACTATTGCGTATTAGCACATCGAGTCAATTGCTCATTGGAGGAGTTTTTGGAAGTATTTTTGGAAAATAATTGGCCTTATGGCAACGTCAGTAAACATATGATTGAGTTTTATAAGCGTCGAAATGAGCCAAATGTGTTAGTCATAAAGTATGAGGATATGAAGAGAGACTTGCCATCCGTCATAAGAAAATGTGCCGAGCATTTGGAAATTAGACGTACAATAACAGATGATGACATTGATAAAATATGCGATTATGTAAAATTTGAGAAGATGGAGAAGAATTCGAGCGTAAATTTGGAATCGGTAATATTTAAAGATCCGATGATGCGCGAGAATGTCGACATGAATGTATACAATAAAGTTAAGTTCATCAGAAAAGGTCAAATTGGTGATTGGCGAAACTTTTTAACACCCGAAATGAACGGAAAATTCGATAAGTGGATTGCAGATAATTTTGATGGAACTGACATGAGTTTTGAATATGTCTAAGGCAATATTGCCGTTAATATTATGTTGTTCATGTTAATAGCTATTATGATAATGTATGCAATGCAAGTATATAGAGTTTCATGTTAAACATAAAGCAGTGAGTGCTGTATTATATGAAAATTTGCTGTCGACACGGATATGCAAATTTTCATTCCTTTTTAGCGCATTTTCCTTTGATGGAAATTTCTCTTGTCTACCTGTCTTTCAGTCTGATTCCATTCATTTTGACTCAATTAATAATCTCTTAGTTTTGTGAATTTTATGCCTGGAAAGTGCGCTTTAGCTGATAACAGGTGACCACGCCTGTGCTGTTTTCTCCTAACGGGCTGTTCACGAATGACGTCTATCCAAAAACAAGATTTTTAGAACTTATTTCACTAGTCACAAAATTTGTATGAAGAAAATTTTCTTTTGTTTGAACTGTCACGAAACTTCATACTCTCTTCAATGTTAGACGTCATTTATGAACGCCTGCATTATGTTTATCTATGGTAACAAGTGTATTGATCAAAAAAAATAACTGAGAACTAGTTAAAATAAAAGCATTTTTATATATTCATCATTATGGATTACGGAACTGAAAGAGAAAAGTAAACGAAATGAAATGAGGTCAATCCATAATGAATGCCTGATTTTTCGCTCCTCACATTCTAATAAAGATTCTTATTACTTTGAGTTTGACCCCATTTGACTCTTCCATTTTTTTTTTTTTTCTTTTCGTCTTGTGATAAATTAATTTTAATATTTTCAGCTAATTTATGCTTCCTCCGAAAATTAAAACAATAATCATTTATGTATGCCGAATAATTTAATTTAAAAATATATTTTTCTTTCTTTTTGTTCTAATTTTTCTCATCATACAGGAAAGAATCTATACAACAATGAACACGTAGCAATAAAAATGGAACCAATGAAATCAAAAGCACCGCAATTACATTTAGAGTATAGATTTTACAAACTTTTAGGATCACATGGTATGTTTTAGTCATAGTTATTTTCCATAAAAAGAAAAACTTTTAATTTTACAGGATATGACTTCTCGAAACTGTCCAAAATGAAAAAAGTTTTGAGAAAAAAAAAACAAAAGAAAAACAATTAAGCATTTCATTTTTAATTATTATAAAAAAAAGTAATAATAATATAAAGTTTGAGGAGATTTAATTAAAAGAAGTAGAAAAATTAATAAACTTTTCCACATTTCCGTTCCATCAGAGGGAGTCCCGCGAGTATATCATTTAGGTACTTGCGGTGGACGATACAATGCTATGGTTTTAGAATTATTGGGACCATCACTTGAAGATTTATTTACAAGTTGTGGACGAAAATTCTCATTGAAGACTGTTATCATGATTGCTAAACAACTCGTAAGTGCCAAAAACAAACTCATAACCAAAAACATTTTTTTTTTAAATAATCTTAAGAACCAAAAAAACCAATTAATTAAGGAGCTGTGCATTTTTTTAGTATAAAAGTTTTGTTATAAATTAGTTGAATTGTGCGTTTTTTGATTATTATTCTTCGATTGACAGTACATATATGATAAAAAACATTGATATGAAGTTGGTTTGAATGAAAATTCGGGTCGGCATTTTTATGAATGTCTACAACACAACAACCAGTAGATTTTACTTTTTTTTTTATTGAGTTTTGTGTTTCGCTCTAAAAATAAGTTTGTTAATTTGAGAGAGAGAGAGAGAAAAACGAGTGTTCTTATTAATTTTTTATAGTTTTTTTTTCTTTGCTGTCGATTTTGTTTTGTTCCCCAAAGTATTGTTAACACAACTCTTGTTTTTATTGGACAGAAAACTATATGGGCAAATCAGTGTCAGAAATTCATGAAATTTTTATTGACAACTTACAACTTTTTTCAATTAATGATTTTCCTGAAGTTTCTTTTTTTGTAGAACTTTTTGAATTAAACTTCAAAATTCAACAATTTTAGAAAAACAACGACTTTTTCAAATTCAAATATTTCATTGGAAACTGGAATTGTTTCCAATGGAAATTTAACGTTTTTAAAACATTCAAAATTCAAATGTAAATTGTATGAATATGCGAATATTTCCAGTAAAATTCTAATTGGAACCATTGGAATATTTAAAATTTTTCCAAGATAATATAATCATTCAAATATTAAAGCTTTTAAAGTCAAAATATCTTTTAAAATGTCTTGTTTTATTTGCTTTCATGCGTAGTTTAGTGTTTATTTGCAAGATATATTTCCAATCATTAGATTACACAATCTTATCAGTTAATTTGTCTAAATTAAGGTGTAATTAAAGGGAAATTTATAAAAAATACCAAATATTTCTGGGTGTGACATCGACTCAATGAAGTCTATTATTGATTTTTGAATTGTTCAAAATTTCATGACATTCTCGCCAAATCAGATTTGTCCATATTTGATTATTATAATTTTTATAACTGTAAAAAAAAATTAAAGCTTTTATTATCAAAATATATGAAAAAATAACTCTTAACAGTATATATGAGTATGTATTATAATAACAGTAATTTGCATGGATTGTCAATGGTCGTTTAATTTGTTGTTTAATTTTGATTTATTTTTTATTTCTCTTTAATTAACTTTACTGTAACAATAAATAAAAAGTTTTTATCCTTTAATGCCAAAAACAAACAAAAATGATATAAACTCAAAGAAAGAATTGATTAAAAGTTTAAATGAGTGCAAATCGATATTATTCTACCTACAGTCCACAAAAAATATATAAAAAATTTAATTGAAACTTTTCTTTTGAATGAATTATATACAGTTTTATTAAAAATTCAACATGCATACTATTATATATCTTATACTTAGCCCATATTAATCGTAGCCGACCCGTAGCGTAGGCATCGTCGATAAGCTAGTAATTACAACTAATTTTTTTTGTTTAATTTCGCTTTGTTCAACCATATTGACAATAGTACCGAATAAAAATGTCAACCAAATGTTAAAAAGAAACGTTTTAAAGCTACATCTCTAAACAGTTGTTTAGTAACCATGACAAAAATCTTCAAGAGGACCAAAAATTCTGTAATGAGAGAATCGACGAGTAAATTGAGATTTTTTTATAATGAATGAAATGACTGCTGAATACATTTTTTTTGTTTCTTTTCCTGTAGATGATTTCTTTTATAATCTTATAACTTTTTTTTTCTTTTATTTTTGATTATTTTCATTTTTTTTAATACATATTTTTTGTTGACATATATCCTTCACATGATATAATAAAAATGTGTATAAACAGAGGGAATTCCAGATATTTACTATTTTGGTCCATGTGGTAAATACAATGCACTCGTAATGGAATTACTCGGTCCATCGCTTGAAGATTTATTTGACATGTGTGGAAGAAGATTTGGGTTGAAAACTGTTATCATGATAGCAATACAATTAGTAAGTAAATTCGCCACAATTTTTTCATGGCAAATTAATGCTTATATTACACAACACCAAAAAATCAATTAATTAAGTTAATTAAGTAATAATATTTCCATTCATCGTACTAGATATGATTTTCTTCCTATAAACTATCTCAAAATTATTTTATATATTCCTTCTAATTATGCTACATAAAATATATATGATTTTTTTTAATTCATGTCACTCTATTTTTGCACTTTAATATTGTCATATAACAAAAAGATTATTTAATTCAATTAAACAATAAGATATGGCTTAAAAACTTATGTTTCTCATAATACAACAACAAAAAAAATATTACACTATAACTCACTTAAAATTAAACAACAAAGAAACATCACAAAAACAATATTAATAACATAACTCATTAATCTTGTGGTACTGTAGGTAAAACAGCTATTTAACATCCTCTTTATTATCCTCCCACCTTCATCATCTTATCTCTCTCCTTTGTCATTCATTGTTACTCCCTGTTTGACGCATATCTGATAATAATCTAGTGATTGCACGCACATCATCAAACTTAGATAATAAACTTATTGTAGAAATTATCCTTAATTTTTAATTATGATTAAAAATAGATTTTAGTTTTTGCGATGGTTTTTAGATTAGATTTTGGATGTTGCTTTAGTCTGTGAATAATTATTGTTATTATTTACCCCTTTATTCTAGGCTCAGACACTTTCTGGACAGTGATTCTATGCTCAATCTCTAGAAATCTTAATTAACTTAATATTGAACTTAAACTGTCTTATATTTTGTGATAGATCTATGACTATTGAGAGTATCTGAGCCTCGATTCTTCATCTAATTTTTCATACAATACAAACATCTAATAAATTGACTTTTTATATTATCATGACTAATTCTTATTTATTTCTCTTTTCCGTATTGCAGCTTCATAGGATCGAGTATGTGCATAGTCGACATTTAATTTATAGAGATGTTAAGCCAGAAAATTTTCTAATCGGTAGAAGTTCAAATAAACGTGATAAAATAATACATATAATAGGTAAGATTCATAATTAACTAATCTATTATGAGCTCTGATTACAATTATATAATTTTTCTTTTATTTTTTCATGTTCATTTATCATCTGCTATTGATCTGGTGCTGCTGACAGATTTCGGTTTGGCCAAAGAATACATTGACTTAGACACAAATAAACATATTCCATATCGGGAACATAAATCGTTAACAGGAACAGCTCGATATATGTCAATCAACACTCACATGGGTAAAGAGCAGTCAAGACGTGATGATTTAGAAGCACTTGGACACATGTTTATGTACTTTCTACGTGGTTCACTCCCGTGGCAAGGCTTAAAAGCCGATACATTAAAAGAACGATATCAGAAGATTGGTGAAACCAAGCGAGCAACTCCAATTGAAGTAAGAATCAAGTAAAATAATTTTGAACTTTAGTCTTCAAGGTTAAATGAAGAGATTAAAGCCTCTGTAATATTTAATTTTGATTTTTTGCAAATTGGATTATACGCAAATCCTCGAGCTTATCAAAAAAAAAAAAAAAATCACTAGAAGTTGATGTTGTCGTCATCGAAGCCATACTAATAAAATTATTTATCACTTTAAAATAGGTATTATGTGAAAACCATCCAGAAGAGTTTGCGACATATTTACGATATGTCAGGAGATTAGACTTCTTCGAGACTCCGGATTATGACTATTTGAGAAAGCTTTTCCAAGATCTCTTCGAACGAAAAGGCTATGTCGATGATGGAGAATTTGACTGGACGGGAAAGACAATGGTGAGTTTTAAATGCAAAATTTGGCTATTAAATACGCTATAACATAAAACATTAATTCAAAACTTAGGAAATTGAAAAGAAAATATTGCAATTGTCGACATGATATTCAAGATCTAATCAAAATAATAATAATTTCCAAGAAATGCTATTAATTAATCCAAGAGAATTATTCATGAAATGTTTAAAGAAATAAAGAATATAATCTTTAACAAATTTTTAATCCTTTCTCTTCATCCATCCAACCAACGCACGAAAATAATATTAAAAGCCAAAGAACTTTGAAGCTCTGAAAATTTTACGAAACGCTCCACCGAGTAACATTTTAAAAACGAAATCTCAAAAGGTGAAAAAAAAAACAGCCACAAAATATATAGTATTTTTGTATCGATTAATCGTAGGCTTGTGTTTCTTTATATTCTAAAAATACAATATAAAGAATTTCCCTTGTACTTGTGGTTAGAAGCCTTTGAATTCGCCTCCTATTGTTGTTGAACTTTTATTACATATTTATAGCCAAAGTTATTACCTTAACACTCTGTAAATTTTCTTGTCACTAATCAAGAAATCATTTGTTTATTGTGGTTCTATTTTCTTCTATGTTATAATACATAATAATATTGTATATCCTTGCATCCACGCAAACACACTCACACACACACATCGATGCCTCGCAGTCAACGCCAGTTGGTTCACTACAAACGGGACATGAGGTCGTTGTATCACCGAATCGTGATAAACATACACCCGCAAATAAGGTAAAAACATCATTCTTTAGTAGATTTCTTACATGTTCATTTAGAAATTAAGTAGAATTTATTTTTGATTGATTGGATTGAACTATAAAGTTATATTATATTCCTACGAATTAAAAACTTGTGAATTAATAATAATAAATAATGATAATTAAAAGCTATAATCAGAAAGAGAACTGATAAGACAACAAACGGATAAATCTTAAGAAAAAAATAATCATTTCATTGCAAATGTTTAGAATTTCTTATTATTTTAATATAATTCATTACTTTAATAATATAGCATATTACTGTTTCTGTATTGTTTTTCCTTTCTTTATTGATTTGCATAATTCAATTTTCTTTTATGTTAGTCCAAACTGCTATTAATTTAATTAAAGCATGTTTTTATTTCGACTATATTAACGAATTTCTTTCTTCTTTACATTTTTTTTGTTTTTGCGTTTGTTGTTACATACAATAATACAAAATATTTGAGTATATTCTAATGCTTATAGAACATGCGATACATTTTCTCGAGTGATTGAAGTTAGTTGAAAGCGATTAACCGCAAAACTGCAAATTAGCCTCTTTTTTTGGTGGGAATTTTCTTCTGACTTTTAATTGCTCAGATTTGGAATCTTTCAATTTTGCTAATTGCTTTTGGTTAAAGTGAAATGAATTTTGTTTTCTAACGGTTTTTATATATTCAAATTTTATGCTTTTTAAACGTTTCTTTAAATTCAAATTTTTATATTCAATTTCCAATTAAAAACTCAAATCAGAAATTACCGTTAAAAACTGAAAACCCTACTACAGTTTTACTAATTTATCAGTCCCAAGTTTAATAGCTTTCGGATGACCTCAATCACTATAACACACTTTTTTGTATGACAATCCCCTTTCTCTCTCGTTCTTGAGAGATTTATTTCCCTTATTTTTATGTATTTGCTGTGAATGAGAATAAAATAAAGCAAACAAACAAGCATACAGACAGAGATTATTATGATCCTTGTGTCTGTCTTGAAAACGTTAACATAATTAAATGTTTATCGCTTCATTATCGAGTCCACTTAATAATTAAATAAGCTACATAATCAAAAAGAAAATTAATTTTTTTTTGTGCATTTATTGAAATCCAATATTAACACATAGGAAGGTGAATTTTTCGATTATAATGATGATGACATATACGAAATGGAAGATACAGTTTACATTCTGAAGGTTTGAGTTCTATCCAAAGCTACAAAATATTCTCGGCTAGCTTTACAGACATAAAATATCCTTGCTAGTAAAAATTTCATTTTCTTTTTTCATTTTTATGCCCATCAAAAATATATTTTTTGTTTGTTTCATTTCATTGTGCAAATTATTCAAAACACCTTTCTTAGAAGTGAAAGAGTAAAAGAAAGCAATAATATATTAGAATACATCACGCTTGCTAGCGACACAAAATGAGTCTACTTCCTTATGAATAATTCATTTTAATAAATTCTATAATGGATGAATAGTAGCTATTTTCGTGATGCTCGTCGAGACTGTAGCGACTTTTATTTCTGACTCGCGTGTATTTTGCGAATGTAACAAGCTTATAACAAGAATGCTCTAAATATGACAATGTTGCTACTGCTCATGACATTGTGATTTCTAATAAAATTAGTGGCAACAAGCATGACTCAATTTTTGGGATAATTGAGTTAGTGAAGTTTCAAAAGAGATTCACAGAATTTGGGCTTCAAAATGATTTACAGTTTCGCATCGAGAATCGTAAACTTTGTTATCCAAATGGGACATGTTTTAGTCTGGAAATGGATTTTAATGGTTCCGGGCGTATTGAGTCATATGTAGGCACATCTGCCAGTATGAGGGTTAAGCTACACTCTTTTGTAAGGACGTAGATTAAGATTCCCATGATATTACAGAATGTAGGGCAAGAGGTCGTTCACAAATGATGTATTTCATATAAGAGGGTTCTGAAATCATATCTTCGATGCACATCATGTTTGAATGACATTAGAAGTTACAATTGAGTCCACAACTGATCACCAAGAAGCTACTAAAATTAAACTGCAGTTTCAGTTACTCAGCATCCAATTTTCAGACCAATAACATCTTATATGTAGCAAACTCAACTTATTTAACGTAGAAACTCATCATCAGAGTAATTTGTAGTTCACTTAAATTTAAAGCTTAGAGACAGAAACGAAGACATATTAATTATAATATATATTTTGTTATTTATGTATAGAGATTGTTGATTATTATTAGTAAACATTAGTTATTACAACATTAAATTAATATTAATACATATATGACTTGAAAATATATTTATACACTCTCTTCTTTTATTTCTCTTCTTCTTCTTTTGCGCATATTAAAAAAATCTCACTTACGATTTTGATTGTTGTGAAAATGAAAAAAAAAAATAAATCCTTATATTTTTGCATTGTGCGACTATATTTATGACCAATTATTTCCAATGAATCTTTAATACTATAAAAATATATAACGCATATGGACACATTCATCATCTTTTTATTCCTATGATATCATGAAATACTTCTCATATCGTACCGCGCAATGTGTCACTTAAAAACCCAAAACATTAAATGCTTAAAAAATTGCCGATCATGATGAATTTGATAAAATATGAAAATACAGACAAATAAGGGAGGTGTTGCATGGCCCGATGTGCCAGCGAGTAAAGGAACCTTGGGTAATCTGACGCCTGCTGAGCGGTTAGGCGGAAGTGTGCAGGTACGTTCATAAATGTCCTCACAACTCACTTTTTATATCTACTCCTGTCTATTTTCTCTTCTGTTTTATTTTTTATATGTTTTTTATACTACATACTTTCTACCCACCCGTCTACTTACTGTTCTTATGTTTCCTTGTGTTTCTTTCATTAATTTTTCAAACAACATTTCATTACATTCCTTTTTGTGTTCTGTTCTGTTCTGTTTCTGTTTCACGTGTGTGAGAATAAAAATTCATCCACAACACCTTTTTAAGAATCTAATTGAATCCACTTCTAATTGATTCCATTTGTTGGAAGCTTTATCATTTTCCTTTCTTAAAAATTCTTCTCTTTCTGTCCTTGTTTTTTTTCTGCACAAACATCTGATCTTCAGTTCTTTACATCATTTTCACGATTTTTGGACTGAACGACATGAAGCTAGTGCCCTAATGACACTGAAAATAATTTCATTCGTGACTTTTGTGTCTAGAAAGGATGTCAAGTGACACTCAAAACTAGCTTTATGTTGTTCGGGCTTACATTCTACTTTGGTTATTAGAAAGTGACTCATCCATTCATTGACATTGTTGTTTGTTTCCTAGCGTTTTGTGATGGAAAACAAGAAAACAGCGAATTCATACACATTTATACATAATATTGTTGGGGCTTTCAAGTTTTGTGGTTGCTGGATATAGTTGAAGAAGTAGTCTGTAAAGAGTCAATTTTACCGGATTTTTAGAGTTTGAAATTTAACGGTTTTCGTATATGTTAAAAAACATGGTAATACTGGAACTTTCCAGTGGAATTTATTAAACATCATTCCAAATTTAACGATTTTTTAGATTTGAAAAATAACAGATTACCAAAAATTTTAATTATTGGAAGACTGGAACTTTCCAGTCAAAAATCATTTAAAATTTAACGATTTTTTTACAAATTTCCAGTGAAAATTGAAAATTTATTTCAATGACTCCCGATTTTGGAAGCCCCATCAAATACAAATTTACATACATCCCATATATAATATAATATAATTTGTTGTTATGTTACTTACACTGAAAAACAGACACTTGACATAAAGGAAACTTTATTACTTACAATTGTCATTCATTATTATGTACTTTACCCTTTAAATTGTATGCTAACCCTTTCTCTTGACAAACAATATTCCTACTACTATCTATCTATCATTGACAATGAGTGCAGCTGACTATATTATTTTTGGTCTGTTATGTTCTACTATTTTGCCTTGATATGTTCTACATATTAATTTCAAGGTACTTTGTGTGTTCTTTTTTGGGTAAACTAATAGTCAATTGCTCCTTAGCGAGGAGCTTATTTTATTAGAAAACAATTTGTATTTTTAAACAGCAAAAAAAAAAACCAAACAATTTTTTTAGAGCTATAGACATAGCATTGCTACCATTAGACGATAGAATTTATGTTTTAATTTTCTGTACTTTTTTAAACCTAGAATATTTTTTCTTAAAAATCAAACTAGAAAACAATGGAATGTGAATTGTTTTTGCCTTTGGCTTAGACTAGTGACTTGCCTTGCTGTACATATATTACAAATTGAAAATAAAATCATACAAGAATGTAAAAATAAATTAAGCATGAATCAGAAATATGCATAGAAAGTACCAGATTGAAGGCTAGCATAGTTTATAGACTGCTTCTTACAAATAATAACGCATATAGGGCATGAAATTCCTTTTTTTACTGCTTTACTCTTTGTCTCTTTCTCCTTCCTTTATTTCATGTTTATTTATTAATTCTCAATATGCTTTTATTGCTAAATAATGTTTTTTAACACGATTATAAAGTTCATTCATTAGGAAATAAAGAAGAATAATCGAATCATGGTGAAAAGCATTGAGTTGGAAAAAATGATTTTCCTCATTAATTATTAAAACTTTTATTCTTTCTCATCATCAATATTAAGTTATCCTATGATTTTAATTTTAATTCTTAATTAGACGACGATTTATTTGTCACACGGAATTGATATCTGACACACAAAACACAGATTATTGACAACTAAAATTAATTTTGGTTCAAGGATTTATGTTACTTTTAATTTTAGTTCTATGTTGATTCCATTAAGTTCTTCTTTTGAAAGAGTGGAAAAATTAAATCTGTTGTTTTGCGGATGTTGAAAATGAATTTTTTCTTTCTTCTCTTTAAATTCTACATTTTTGCATGACATATATTCCAAAATAATATTTTCTTCATGATGAGAAAATTTATTTGTATTATGCGACTAAAATTTGGAATTTTTTTTCTATGTGAAATGATGTGGAATGGAGGAAATTGAGGATTATTTAACACGAAACAATGTTGCTGTGGAAATTTTCTGTTAAATCTGAGCATTTTCATGTTTTCTGTTAATAATTTGTCAGTTTTTATGTGTGGCTTAAGGTCTTAAGATTTTCTGTAAAGGATAGCTCGCAAATTTGGTTATTTTAAGCTAGTTTATGCAAGTTCAGTTTGAAACTTAAAACATTTCAAAGTGATCGAAAATCCTACAAAATTGTAATTTTTAAGCTTATATAAAGTTGCAAACCAACATTAATTCTCGTATTAAAGAATAAAATAGCAATTTCAACATCCGTAGCGCAGTAATTAAATGTGGTGTGAAGGAAAGAGGCTCATACTTTATCATGAAAATACACATATAATAATATAAATATAAGCTTAAGCAAACAATAAAACGATGAATATAAACCTACATCCTTTAAAATTATTAATATTTATTTTTTTTTAAATATTAAACTCAACAATTTTAAGTGTTAGAATCGTCTACCGTCTTTTTTTAGAAATTAATAAACCTAATATCACCAAAATAATAATAATATGAAAGAATAAATTTGTGCTGGCTTTATTAAATTCTTTATGTACGAAATAATTCACAGGTGGTAAGCTCAACAAATGGAGAATTGAATGCTGATGATCCAACAGCTGGTCATTCAAATACACCAATAACACAGCAACAAGAAGTCGAAATGGTCGACGACACAAAGTAAGTTGAATAATATAAAGTTTTGTTATTTTTAGAACCTGACTTAATGCTTTATGAATTCTAAATTGTAGATGTTGCTGCTTCTTTAAACGGAAGAAGAAGAAGTCACCAAGAACAAAGTGACTAGAGCAAAAGAGTCCCGATCGCGATCAAGCTGTAACCCTATTGAAAGCAGCATCGCACTCAAATTCGCGTCAGTCATGCCTCAATCCTAGTCAGGATTTTATTCAAGCATCACAGCATACAATTCGATATCCATCGGCATCTGTTTTAACATCAACACCAACCAACACACCTACACTTCCAATATAAATTATTGATGATGAACGACATAATATTGAAAAGTTTAAAACAAAAAAAAACAATTATTTAAAAATAATTATAATAATATTACAATTTATTCAGTTTTCCTCCCTTTCTGCTTCTTTTTCTTTTTGATTTTAAATAAACAAACAACAACAAATGAGATAAATCGTCAAATTTTAAGTAACATAAAAAAAAATGAAAAAATTTACTAAAAAGAATGATGAATGTAAAAAAATATGTAATTGTGGACAGAGCTTTTTGTGCGACACGAGAGCTTTTAATGAAAGCTTTAAAAAAATCTTTGTTTACATAATTAAGTCTATTATTTTGATCTTTCTGTTATTTATGACTCTAAAAGACCTTTGTTCGTTAAAAAAGCTTCTAAATGTACATAAGTTATGATTTTCTTAGTGCACTAATGTGAAGTGTGTCTAAATTTTATACTAGAAATAAGCTCAACGGCTCTGTCCATAGTTAACATGCATGAAAAAAAAAAAATCAATATGATGATCAAGATACACGTAAACAATATATTTTTTAATTTAATTGTATTAAAGCTAGTGATTATAGGCAAGATAACAAAAACAAAAAAAAATACTATCAAGTCAACAGGGGGTCGTTCATAAATGACGTCTATTATAAGACGCTAAGATTTTGTGAGACTTTAAACAAAAGTAGAATCTAGTAAGAGTTCTGATTGACGTCACTGATGAGCGACTCCAAAACATGAATGCGAAATTTATTCAACAATGAAGGCAGCGTTTAATAGCGTGAGCTTTTAGAGAAAAAAAGCTTCCTTATTGCAAGATTTAAATCTACAGTGTGTGCTCGTGTGTGAAAGTTACAATTTTATTTTAATTCAATTCCTCATTTTCTTGTTTAATTTAATTAAAAGTGAAAAGAAAGATGAAAGAACTCAGTAAGAAATACTTTATTGCTCCACATTCTTGTAATAATCCTTTAAACAGCCATTTAATGCATTTAAACAGTTATCATTTTCATTTTTATAGACGCAAAGATAATTCTGGCTGCATTAATAATATAAAATTTATTGTAAAAATCACACATAAAAATATTTATTCCTGATGTTCAGGTTTAAAACAATTTTTTTTAAAAAAACAAAAAAAAATATTAATTTCAATTTTAAATGTGTAAAAAAACAACAGCAAAAACTATAATTATATATATTTTAATTTTTCAAATTAAAATCAATCAATACTTAAGCCACAAGCTCATGAGTTATTTTTTAAATAAATTATCATTATAACTATTATTCATTAATATCAATTGATTATTCATTATTTTATGTTCAACTCTTCATAATATTGTTGAGAAACTCATTTGAAATGTTAAGAGAAAAAAATACGCTGATATTTTTTTAAAAAAATTACTTTTTTTATTTTATTACAATAAAATATATATGAATTATATGAGGCAACACAAAAAATGACGAAATCTTGATAAACAATTTGTAGCTAGACATTTTTTGATGTAAATAATTGAATAAAAAAAAAACACATAGTAAATGCTGAGTAATAAAATGAGAAATAAACCTTTTCAATAGTTTATAAGACAAAATTCATTTGACAAGAATGAAGGAATTTCCAATAGCATGTTTTAAAGATTCAACAAAAGATCACTGATACATTTTAAAATAATCCGATTGACAAAACCTTTAAAACAGAATTTTGAATTTATGCTTAAAAACCTCACAAATGATGTCAATATTAACATTTGTATGGGTTTCAATTCAAATTTTGATTTAACGGTTTTTTAATATATTTTTTAAGAAATTCTGAAAACTTTAGTCTTAATAAATTTTCCATTTTCCTCATTGTTTATCCATACAAAACGAGAACTTGCATGCTTTCATGAACAAAAGAATATTCGTTTACACTCAGTCCATTTCGCTGATTAAGTTAATTCATTGAACAACGTTTAAATTTATTTTTCCTCAAAATTCAAAGAAAGTTATATGGATATGCCAAATATTGCATAAAGAATAATTTGTTTCGGTTATTATAGAAATTGTACGATAGGCACACGAGGATGATAAAATTGTTGTTTCTTTTTATTTCAATATATTAAGAACAGTGATGAGTTCATTTTTTTTGAAGATGATTTTTCAAAGAAAAGCGTTATTTTGAATATTAATTAAAGTAAAAAAGAATATAAAATTTAATAGTTTAATTGACTGCGCTTTTCCCCAAAAGTACTTTAAGTAAAACAAAAATAATAATGAGATGAAAAGGAAAAAGTTGTAGTAAAAAACATTCTTTTTTAAGTTGTTCAATTTTTTTTTGCATACGATTTAATTTAATTATTATCAAGATAAAGTTGATAAAAAAATGAAAATTAATCATTAAGATGAAATGAAAAAATAAAAAAAAATAAAAATTACAGTTTAAATTCATAACTTCCTTTTGTGTCCTTCATTTTCAGAACATTTAAAATTAAGCTTTTGTAACGGTTTTCAAAAATTCATAATTTATGTTTTTGTAACATTTTTCAAAATTTCAAATTTCAAAGCTTTTATAACGGATATTTAATCAAAATGCGTCCTGAAAACGTTGTTCTCAGCACATCAAATCCAGGAAATTTTCTTTCTTGACTAATTAATGCCTTTTTAAAACTTTATGCTCTCAAAAAAATCCAAAAATTTGTTTCTCTTTTGAATTCCTCTTACTCTCAAAATATCGTAGGTCAGTTTCATCTAATCAAGAAACCTAAACTCAAAAATAATTAAGCTCAGTCTAAAAATGTTGATTACAAAAGTCGGTCAAGTTTTGATAGTTTGTTCTTTAATAAACTTTATTGCTGCCAACAATTATAGATGCTTCTATCAGCATGTCTTTGCACATTATTTTGGAAAGAAGGTAATTTCGTGTGACTTTGTCAAGGTAAATTATGGTAAAGACGAGTCATTTAATGCTGTTCCGCCAATCGAAGCTAAATGGAACTGGACAGAGGGTAAGTATAGATATTAATTACATTGGGGTCGTTTAAAGGCTTTTGAAAATTCAAAATTTAACGGTTCAAAATTCAATTAAAAAATCATCCAATTTATGCTTAACGTCATTTCTGAAAAAAAAACCCCAACAAAACAATGTAAACATTTTACAACTTCCGTTTGCAGTCTACGATTATGACGACTTTGAGAATTCAGTGGTTCAAGTAAGCTTTATCAATTCGTGGCTTCACAATGTCCCAAATACAATATTTTCAACATTCAAAAATCTTCAAGCATTTAATGGATCACACATGGCATTAAAGGAACTGACTTCTCTGTCATTCAACAAGGCTGATTATCTACAATACATATTCCTTCAAAACAATCACTTGACTGTCATTAGGGATCACGTTTTTGTGCATTGTAAAAATCTAAAAAGTCTCGACTTGTCAAAAAATCGAATAAAGTCGATCAGCAAGAATGCCTTCAACTCATTGGAATATTTGGAACAGCTGAACTTGTCAGGAAATAAAATTAGAAAAATTGATCATGACATATTTCAGTCATTAATCAGCATGCAATATATTTGGCTGAGTTATAATCAGTTACAGGAAATGCCATCGAATTATTTTAAGGAACAGAATCAAAAGCTAGTATCGATTTATTTAAATAACAATAAATTGACGGCTATTTCTCCTTATGCATTTGAGAAGCTTACTCATCTAAAGTTTCTATTCTTGACAGGAAACAAATGCGTTAATGCTGATTTTATGAATTATGAAATATCCAACAATGTTGGAGTCAAGTATGAACTTAAGCACTGTATCAAGGCATTCCGGAAGACACATCCTGATGAAGAAAAACGTTTTAATATTACAGCTAAGATTAGTGATATCAAAGAAAAGATGGAGCTATGTAAAACCTCAAATGATAAGTTACTGGATGAAGAAAAGTCAATGTTAGATTCTATCCAAAAACTTAATGAAACTGAATAAAATTGTGTGTCAAACTTCCTATCATTATTGATGTTTTGTTTCTTTTTTAATAGATAGTCATGCTTAATGCTTAACTGTTGGTATGTGTCTGTATTTTTTTAAACGGTTTTCAAAAATTTGAATGGGTTCGGGAGTTTTGGCGCGAAAAAAAATAAACAATAATTTCAGTGAATTTATAACTTTTTAATTAATTCTAAGTCAAATCTATGAATTTCATGTAGTTAAACAGACAAGACAGTTGTATAAATAATTAATAATTAAGAAAAAGAAGCAGCCATAAAATGACGATGTCAAAAATAGTCAAAATTATCATAAACAAGTTCGGTGAATGTAACGGAGAAATTAACTTGAAGGATTGTACGTTAATTAACTGTGTTTATCTAAATTCTAAAGGTACTGCTTAAGTTTATTTAATTAAGTAATAAACTAATGTTCTTGTGTATGTCTTATTTTCATAGAAATTAATAAAATTACTAATGTCCTGAAGTTTATGTTTTCTAATGAAGACACCAGCGATTTGGAGGAACTACAGCTTGCAGACATAAGTGATGATGCTGAATGGTATGTATTAGTGATTAATCTATTGAATTGATAGAGAGTAAAAAATACAATGAATTTTAATATGGCAAAAACTTACAATTAATATAACTACAAATTCCTTATTGCAGCCCATTCGTCCAGGCACACATTAGAACAGTCACAGATGACATTTGCATCCTGAAAAAGTCGTACAACAATGGAGTATTCATTTATGAAGTAGATGGAACTGAATCGACACATCATGCTTTCCAAGTAAAACTACAGGAACACAAATGTCTGTTCACATTTACAACTTACCTTTCTCCAAAAACCATTGAATCTCTTATGAATCTTAATGACACATCACGTATAAATTTAATAGAAAGCATCTGCGGCAATTCTGAACTGAAAATGCGATATAATCAGCACAAGACGAAAATGGGGGAACTAGAAATCTCAATGAAGATGCTAAATGAGCACAAGAAGGAATTTTTCTCAGAAAAGAAGCAAGAAAAGCTAAGAATTGAAAATTCCAAGAAAATTAAGAAAGCAACAACTGAGTTTGAGAAGGCATTCGAGCAGTTCTCACTAATGAGACTTTACCACAATGAGAAGAGAATGAACGAATCTATTCCTGAAGAAATGAATGCATTAATTGTCAACTTGAATGACGTTATTGCTGAATATAAAATTAATTATTTAAAATTTAAAGAAAGTTTAAGGAAGAAAGTTGACATTGAAAAGGATGTCTGTGAATCAGACATAAATCTTAACAAATTATTCTACAATCTAATTGCTTATAAAAAGAATCTTTTGACTTACAATGATGAGCTTGAATCTATTGACCTTCAAAAGAATTTTGCAGATCTTATCGATCATGAATGTGCTAAATATAAGACTCAAGTCGAAGAATCGTCTGAAAAGCTTCAATATTTAGATAATGCTCACGTAAATTATATTGACAGCATAAATGAATATTCAGAACTAAGGAACAAGTTCTTTGAATCAAATTATGACTATATGCTGTATATATCTACAAAAAGACAAATTGATCAGCTCCAAATGAGCAAGGATAAAGCTGAGAAGAATAAAATGATTGTTAAATGTCTGCTTAATGAAAATACAATGTTTAAGGAACAACTGAAGGTTTTAGAGACAAATGAAAAGGAATTAGTTAAAGAACTCAATATTTCAAATGGTTTGATTAGTAAGCTAAAGCCTGAATTATTGGAAACTGAGAAATTCATAGAGAAAGCAAAAAAGACAATTACTGATAAATTGATACACAACAGCTATGATTTAATTGACATCAAAAGAATTGAGCAGAGACTTCGTGACAAATTTTCAGACTCAATTATTGGAATTTTATCAGAACTGTTTGATGTCAAAGAGTTCAATGGAATGACTGTCACAAAAACACAGATTCAAAGCTGCTTAGGCAAGTTCTCAAATGCTATTGTCGTTGAAAGCCCAACAATTTTAAAGGAAGTCAGTAAATATTTAAGAATGCAACAGAATGAACAAATTTCCATAATTTTAATGCCTCAAAAATATTACAAACCAGTAAATCCAATTAATTTAAGGAACAAGGCACTTCCAAATATCAAAATGACTCCAATTGAAAGTTTCTTTGATCAAACTTCCGATGAGATTAAAACAATTTTAATGCATATTTTGGAACCGACAATTGTTTGTGACTCAAAAACGCACGATGCTGTCCATAAAGTCTTTAATCATCTGGGAAAAAGTGTCAAAGTTGCTTCTTTCGTCGCTTCCGTTTCTTACATTCCAGCAAAATTAATTAATGCTCATTCGACACTTATTAATGATGTAAATGTTGTGGATCTAGCTAGAAATGTCAATGAATATAGAATAAAAGCTATTGACTTAAAATCTGATCTTCAGGTTGAGAATCACAAGTTCTTATTATCTGTAGGACGTTTAAGCAGCATAAAGTTAATGATAAAATTTATGAAGGAAGTAATGGCACGCAACACAAACTGTATTAATGTTTTGAATAAGAAAACTGAGAAACTTGAAGAACTTATCAAAATGCTTGACGACGATAATCATGCTAAAGTTGTGAAAAGATTCGTCGAACTTCGTGCTAAATTCAAACCTTTGTTGGATAATCATTATCGTCAGTTTCGTAACAAGCATAAAATACCGAATATTGAGGAATATGAAGCATTAGCACCAAAACTCTTTCATTTTGCCAGTAGTCGTAAAGCTTTGCAATACGAAATTACAATTTTAAATAATCAGATTGAAACTCTCTCAAAAATGCAGTCAGATAAGGATTTTTATGTCAATGAGAAGGCACAACTTGTAATGACTGTCGAAAATACTAAATTGGAAATAGAAAGAGCAAGAATACAGCTGGACGAAGCAAAAACTTTATGCCAAGGAAAATACACAAAATGGATGGAGAAAATTATCAAAATTGTAACTGAAAAAGAAAAGAGCACTAAAATTAACGATAATTTGAAGGCTATGCTGCTGAAAATCTGCAGTGATATGAATGAGAAACGGATGTTGCTGAGTGAAAATTATAAGCTGTTGAATCATGTTTTTGCAAATTTTGAAAGGATATCGATACAAGATGGAACCTTACTGTCACAACTAATTTTTAACAATGACACCAATGAAAGCTTTGATTTAATTACATATCATCTTCAGCAGTAAGTTGCTATAAAATTATAACATATTTTAAAATTTGAATTTTACCGGTTTTTTGAGATTCGAAAGTTGTTTCTTCGTTGAGTTTTTTTGATTTTTAAAAAGCCGTTAAGTTTTGTCTTGCTACTAAAATCAATACTTACATGCTTATAATATTAATCTTCCACAGAATCCAACCAAATTATGACGTCTTAAATGATGATTTGAAAGACATTAATAATTTTAAGAAAGCCTCTTTTGATCTGCAAATGACAATGAGCACCTTAAAGAAAGCCTTGAATGATTTCCCTCTAGATTTTGGAGGAAATGAAAATGAGCTGGCGTCAATTACCGTGAAAATGAACAACTTGTCAATTGAAATTAAAAACACAAATAATGAGTGTCAAAAAGTTTTAGGGACTTTAAGGACTGTCACAGAAGATCGAAACAAGCGATTCACGGAATGCCTGAATATCATAAACGATGAGATTAAAAAGTTTTGCAGAATCACAACCAATGACAGACTTTATGGAGAATTAATGCCTGTAAATGAAAGTGAGCCTTTCCTGGATCTTCAATATTGCTGGCAATCTGGAAGCGGAACTGAATTTGTTGATGGCTCAAAGCCAAATTGGGAAGCAGCATTAGCTTTTTGGCTAGGCGTTGCTAGGTAAGTTTTAAATGTGATGGCTTTGCTTAATGATAATTATTTGATTCCTTTTTAGATACAAGAAGCAACATTTTGTGCCATATTTTGAGACGTCTTGCGAACTACCGATTCTTAAAGCTATACAAAAATACTCGAATAGCACAGAAACTGATTTACAAGCTATGATCTTTTGGAAGACGAAAATCGATGCAGACATGTGCCATTATACAATCATGAGATTCAAAGATAAAATTAAAATCAACGATAATGAAGAAGAAAAACGTAAACTTGATATTCTTTTAAATTCTTAGTTTTAGATTGTAGAAAGTACAAGTTTTAGGATATTAATAAAAGCAAAGTTTTAATCTTTAACGAATTTTTTGAAATTCAAAATTTAACAGGTTTCAAAAATTCAAATTTAAATTTTTGAACACTTAATTCAAATCTCAGGAAACCGTTGAAAGTTCAAACATTTATTTTTATAAGCTTAATAATCATAATCCTTTATTCAATGCATAATATAAGGCACAGAAATGAAATATTTTTGATGTTAACCTTTGTCGGTTTTAAATCAATCGCTTATATGAGGGTGTTTAAAGTAGTTGCTTGAAGTGAAAATGTAATTTATAATGAGATAAGCTTAAGTTTAACTGAAATGATTGCAAATAAAAGACAATAAACATTAAATGACAACAGACAAGCTGAATAGTTTTTAAATAAAATTTCTCTTTATTACTTGCAACAAGATTACTCATTAAAAAATTGTTGATTATTATTATAATTAATTTTTGCACAATTGAATATAACGGGAGAAATTAAGCTTAATTACATAGAGGAAAACAAAAAATATGATAGAATCAGCATTTAATTAGATTTCTATTCTTTCTCTTTACACTGTTATAAAATAATAAAGGTAGTATCGAATGAATATTAATTTTTTCATATTTCTCTTACAAATCTTTAAGAATAATAATTTTTTTTCGTCAATTTTTCTTAGTCACTTAGAAGCTCCTCATCATCCAGATTAACATCCGACGTATCAATATTCTCATCGATCTCCTCATCAAAATCAAATTCATCTAATGAATTTTTCCTCGCTTCATCCGGTACCGTTTGATTTGTGGTCACAGTCGACGGCTGTGCATCATTTAATGTTACTCGTTTAACAGATTCTACTAATTCACTAGTTGTGGCATCGCCATTATTTGACGGAGGCTTGTCTGTTTTGGAATACTGGAAACTGCCTTGAAGCTCATTCTGATTCATCTCATCCATAGAATTTCGTTCTATATTAAGTGGAATTTTTGTGAAATAATTTGCTGGCAATAATGATGGTTGTTGTGCTAGGAATTGTTGTGTTTTGAGTGAATCTTGGAATCCTGGGAATAGATTCTCGTATTGTGTTGGATCAGCAAGACTCTGACCTGCTTTTTCATTTATTTTTCCCAATTCTGTTTTCCATAAGCCCAAAACATGTGAGACTTTATCGGGAAGATATGTTCTGTAAATGGTAAGAGATGTTATTAAATTGATGTTAGCTTCCGCGTGGAACACGGAAGGTGTTTCTTTATGTCGGTCAAATTTTGTCACCCAACATACAGGTCCACCGTTTATCCAAAAGTAATGATTTATATGTCAAAACTTAGCCCTTGTGGTCTAGTAGGGCGGAAATTTAGGCGCTTTGCGTGAATTTTCTTAGTTTCGAGATGTACTGTGGGTCCTCGATTTGAGTAGATTCGATTTGAATAGAAATATTTTTACCCACCAAAATATTCGATTTGAGTAGATTTCTTTTTGTTTTCTTCGATTTGAATTGTTTACAAAACAAATATTTTTGACAAAATCTTTTCAGATTGTTTTTTTAAATATAAATTTTAATGCAACAATCGTGAACTAATCATATTGATAGAAAAATCGATAATAAAATTACAAAGTTAATTTTAAAAATTTACAAAATCTATATAAAAATAACGGTTTTAAAAAGTTAAAATTTCAAAACCTTACAAATTGTTCGGTTGAAATAAGATTTGTAAGGTTCTCATATTTTTGATTTGTTGAAAAAACATATTTATTGTGAATTTCTGTTAAAATTACATACGAATATGCTTTAAAATAAATTAAGTTGTCTAAAACACAAAAGAAAAGTTAAGAAACGAGGTAAAATGTACAAAAAATTATAAAAATTTTCATTGTTTTGATACATTTTTTTTGGACTCTCGAACAAAACATGTGATTTTGTATGGATTCCTTGCCTCGATTTGAATAGATTCGATTTGAGTAGAAACATTTTTGGAACAAAATAACGGCTCAAATCGAGGACCCCCCAGTAGTGAAAATAGGGTTTAATCTGGTGGATTAAATATAAATCAGTTATATCTTCTAATTTTTAAAACCATTTTTTCCGTGTGATATCTTAAATTAAAGGTAATGAAAATGAGAATAATCGACCATAAAAAGATTTTCATTTTATTTGGTTTTGGGTGGGTTTAAGAAATATTTATGTTAATCTTGATTAATTTTAAACCGGATTTATTGTCAAAAAATCGAAATTGTCAAAAATGCATTCAAATAGCTAAAACCACTTATGATTCATAGAAATAAATGACTTAATTTTTTTGTTGATAGTAGCTGGTCTTAATCCAGTAACACGGATTAACTAGAGCTTATTCTCCATCTCCATTGTTAATCCTGACTTATTTATTGTATTGAAATTATTTGGAAAAAATAATTGAAAATAATGGAAATGATAATAAGTAATTATTTATTGAAAACACTTATTATATTCACACATTGTTTTCACGTGTGAATCTTTTAGTTTTGTTCAGATTGTAAAATCAGTTTTTCGAAGAGATGGAGCAAGATAGCTTAACATGTCCAAAGATTAAAAAAGTTTGTGCCTGAAATTTCACATCTTCTGCAAAAAACAGATTTCAAATTTAGATCCGTGCTGCTTTATGGAAGAGCTTAATTGTTTTTGGGCAAGGTAGGACTTGCTAGCTTAATACCTTCAAACATAAGCTGAGCGAAGCTAAGCTGACTCGTCAAGCTTTTTACTTCCAAACATAAACTGAACGCAGCTCAGCTGTTTCGTCAAGATTTATGCTTTCAAATTAATTGGTCTTCCCACAAGACTTTTGATTGTGATATATAAATAAGAACTGTAATCTAACATAAGTCAAACTCGGAAGCTAGTGACTTTCTACGTAAGTCGTGTTTTTTAAACTTTTAAATCCTAGGATTTGGTTTACATCCGAAGATTAATTTTAAATCCTTACACTAATGTATGCCTATTAAATTATCAATCAGACATGTCATGAAAACTCACCTTGCAAACATAGCAGCTTCAGGAATGCGATTAGTTTCAATGAGGACATCCAAGCATTCATCGAGTTTATTTAACAGCATCATGGACATAAATGCAACATTATATTTTCCTTGTGACATTGCGCTGTCTTTCAAGCTATGCAGCATATCCTCGTCGCCAGAACTTGATGCAAGCAAAAGTAAGCCACCCAAATCATTAGCTTTAAGTAGACATTCTTTTACAAGTTCCATTTTATTTTGAGTTGTGGCAATTTCAGCTAATTGTGACCATTTTTGTGGACTATCTGATTCTCTGGCTAACTGTAATGCCTTAGTTAAATCACCAATTTTAAGTGCTAAGTCAAAGCAATGTTCAGGATCGGTGGAAACTTGTAAAGCTTGTTTCATGAAGCCTTGCTTTTCTAAGAAATGAGCAACTCGTGTACGATGTTCTTTAGGGATTGTGGGAAGTACACGATCAGCGATATCAAAATCTCTCCGCATGACAGCTGTCTGATATTCAAGAACAGACAATAAGAGACTATAGCTAGTTATGTTGAGTTCCTTATCTCCGAGATATAATCGATTTTCTTTCGGCACATAACCAAGGAGATACATCGTTCTATCTAAATGAGATACAGTGACAATTTCACCGCCAACATAATATTGAATGCGATTAACGCTATTTGTGTAAATGAAGCAGTCTCCAACCCACAATCCTGTCTTTACACTCTCATTAACTTCACCAAGAACTTCAAATGCAGCTTCAATTCCATCTTCTTCAATTGATCCTTTTGTTTCAATTGTTTGCTGAATTAATCCAGTATCGATACGAAGAATAAAATATGAATCATCAGTTGCCAAACATATTAAAGTTCCAGTTTCATTCCAATAGACATAACGTGGCTGAACTTCAATACGACGAATGAGCTCAAGATTTTCCCAATCATAGAATGTCAATCCAGACGATGTTTTAACGCCCAAAAGATATCCGCCAAAAATGCCTTAAAAAATAGGAGTGAAATAAAAAGATTAATTTAAGTAACAGTCACGGAAAAGTTAACGGAAACAAGCAAAAAAGAATAAAATAGCGTTCATGATCACCTTCTATAGTACAACAACAAAGCGGGGGGATGCGTTAATAAAAATTTAAAAAGGATTCAAGTTAGTGTTAAGCAAGCAAGCAATAAGCTAATTTGGTAATTTTTGGACATACCTTCAGCACCGTAATCTGGAGTAAAGCTTTTTCGTTCCTTAAAGTTTCTGAATAACTTTACAGCTCCACTGTTTTCACGAATTGCATATTCGCTACTTTCAAGTGCCCAAACAAATTCCTGTGCTGATCCAAATGCTTTATTACGTAAAGCCATAGATGTGTAAATGATATATTCGCCATCACCGCAAACAACAACAAAACGACCATTTGGATTATGAGCAATTGTTTGTGGATATATTTCACATGCTCCCATATCTTTAACAACAACTGGAAGTCTCTCACCGTCTTTTACTATACTGCCTTCAGGCAATGCCTTTAAATTAACTTGCTGCATCTCGCAATGTCTAGCCCAGATGATTTTACCACCGTTTATATCCATTGACATTGCCGGTTCTTCACGACCGACTTTAATGATTATTGAACCTTCATCGTAGCCAAGACCAACATTATTTGTTCCTCTCATACATGCAATTGTCCAAACACGTTCAAAGCCATAATTTAATGATGTTTCAAGACGACACGTTCCTGAATGCCAAATTCTAACAGTTCCATCTTCAGATCCAGTTAATATAATTGGTAATTCTGGATGAAATGAAACAGCAGAGACATTTTGTGCATGTCCATCGAGTGTCTGTACGCACGTCTTATTTTGGTAATCCCAAATTTTGACCAAACGATCATCAGCACCAGATATCAAATAAGGCTTGTCGCCTCCATGATAATAATCTACACAATTAACTCCCTTTTCATGTCCCTCGAGAGTGAAATTAGCTGTATTCGAGCCTAATTGCCATACTTTAACAGTTCTATCCAATGAAGCACTTGCAAATGTATTATTATCTTTTGGATTAAACACAACTTGCATCACATAATGCGAATGTCCTTCGAAAACTCTCTGACATGCCCAAACTTTCTCCCAATTCCATAATTTTATCAACATGTCATCACTGCTTGTGAGAATGAGTGGTTGTGTTGGATGAATAGCGATGCATCGGACATAATCTGTGTGTGCTTCAAACGAGTGAATCTTCTCTAATGTATTATAATTGAAAATCCGAACTTGCATATCATCAGAACCAGTAATTATCCAATTTTTTCGCGCAACAAATCGTGCACATCGAACAGGAAGGTCGCAGACCTATAGAATATTATCAAAATTAATAACTTGACTGATTAGAAATAGGATAGTCTACATACCTCAAAGTCCTTAACCATTTGTTGGTTTTCATAATTCATGACATGGACATGACCATTGTATAAAGCACAAAGCATCCATGGCTCTGTCGGATGTAAATCTACTGACTTAACACGATCTGATCTAGACGTTAAGCGTCTCTTGATATCTAATCGTAATGGCTATAATAGAGAATTAATACAATATAGTACATAAAATTTCGTCAGTTTTTCTTGAGACATTTAATGTTGATGATGTGGAATAATTTTTAAGCAAAACTTTTCATCGATTTTTTTGGTGTAATTCACGGAATATTAAGTTTGTTTCTATCTCCATCGATTAAGACATGCTATATCTCCATAACTTACCATTTTGTAACACAATTATTAGTTTAATTCACTGTAAATTATCAATTTAAATATAGACAGATAATAATTTTTTTTGTTGAATTTGTTAGCACTCAATCAGCATGTTAAAAGTTGTTATTTGACTGAATGTCTGTAATTTAAATTTTTGAAAACCGTTGCTCATTTCAAATATTTTTTGACAGTTAAAATAATTTTACAACATAAAAGAAACTAATCTTGAGTCTCAGAGGCTTACTTTTAATGTTATCATCATTTTTATTTCTAAAACACATTTTATAGCATTAGATACATAAAACAAAAAAAAAAACTGTTTTCAATATAAAATCTGCTCGCATAATTCTCACTTATCTTTCATACACTTGTTTATACTTGTTTTTTTTTTCATCGATAAAATATAGAAAATATAAAAAGGAAAATTGCATATTTTCTCTGTTATCAAAATGCTATTTCTCCACTATAACCGCAATCCAATAACTACGAAACTATCATGTCGTTCATGTTGAGATTTGCTGTTTTCATGGAATCATTAATCTCACGTCTAAATATGCTAAGGTTTTGAGTGAATCTGTCTCGACTCTTCGTCAGGAGATTCCGTTCAACTCCTGTGAATTAGAATTAGTCTATAGATGTTCAAACTATGTTGATTAGTGTGACTCGCTTACCTTCCATTAGTATCTCAAATAATCGCGTCATTTGTTGCTGCTTATCGAGTGGCTGTGATCTAATTATGTTATCACGCAATTGTCTGCCGAATAATTAATAATTTAAAGCAAGATTAAGTATGAAAAATAGAAAGATCTTACCGGAAATAATCCTCATAAAGAAGAATCAGCACAAACAAGGGCCGTGACATTGACCATTGATTTTTACAATCTTCAAAAATGACTACGTTGAGCAAGGTCGATAGGATGCGTTGCAAAATCTCTGGATGTCTCTCAGTGACTTCCAAAAACATATTTGTTTCCGGTTCCAATACTTGTCTCATTTTCTTCGTTGGGAATGCTTGAGCTGTTTTTAATTTAAAGAATGCAATACCTTACATTAATTTATTAGAATATACAAGTTAGTCTTTAAAATATTTCATTCGCTTGGCTTACTTTTCTGCTTGAAGATATACGACAGAATGTTATCCAAGGTAACACAACATCCAGATATTATCATTAAATCTGAAAATAAATTCAATTTCTAGTTAATCAGTAAAAATAATGTAGATTTGAACTCACCTAAAGCATTTAAGCCTTCCGAAATACTTTCTAAAATGTACAGGAAAACTGTTGGCTCTAAAGTGGATAAAAACTTAATATGGTCTTGGGCTAAACATTCCAACAATATATAATACGAAGTGCTAAGTTTAGGGTACTCCTGAAATAAATTAATCAAAGTTTAATGTCTCGATAATATTTAAACGGATTTTGAGAATTCAAAATTCAACGGATTTCAAGAGTTTGAATTTTTTTTTTGATAATTTCATAAATTTCAAATAAAATTCGACCGTTAAACTTTCAAATTAAAATATGCTCACCAATAAATCCTTATGCGGAATGGATAGAATGAGTTTGGCAGTGATTGACATGACTGAATCGAAAGCATTGTCCCCATACAACTTAAAAACACCTAAATTTACATAATTTCCACATAAAATTGCTTTGAGCATTAAAAAGCAAACAGAAATTCCCTTAAATCTCATTTGATAAATTTGATCTTTTGGTACATCAATGTTCAGCACACGATTTCCATAGCAGCAAATTAATTTGGAAGTTTCTCGAAATAGCAAATAACCATTTGGACTAGAAACGTCAAACACTAAACGCTGTGATCTATTTTGAACGAGTTCACCAAAGAACTTTAAGACAGGCGTCGTCACCGATGGATCGTGAGCCCAAATCTCTACGGCTCGAATCAAAATTGGTGAGTATGTTGGATAAATCCAATCAAAGAACATCATGTAGGGAGCTTTTTGATTAAAACTATAAGCGAGTCCTCTAATATCGCGTGCTAAGCCAATCAATGCACTCTTCACCTGCTCTCCCGGGTCTATACTATTCATCATTACCTGACCAATTGAGTCAAATGCATCTACAAAATAATATATTAAAATATAAGAAACAGTTTAGAGCACTTTAACTGTAATTACTTGTAAGTGGGAGCATAAATGTCTCAAAGCTAGCAACATCCTCATTTAGGTCGAGGATCAATAGACGGCCTAAGCAGGTGTAGAATATGCTTCGACATCTTGAATTCGTCATGTTTCCAGCGCCAAGGAATGAAAAGTATTCACTCTGTGAATAAATAGACACAAAGTTTATAACAAAGAAATATAGAGGCAAACAGTCAGCAATCTTACTGTATGATTAGCGAGCATGAATTGAATTTCATCGAGTTTGACGAGTCTTCGGATCAGACTGTATGTTAATGTGAGGTCATTGAGAAGATTGAGAGTTTTGCGAATAATTAGTTCAGAATTACCCCAATATTTAAGGTTTGTGATAATCTTGCGACTAATCATGCCAAGCAGCATCATAGATTCATCACCAACTCCAAGAACTTCTGCTAAACGCTTATAAACTTTCAATTTTTGTGTATGTTCATTAATGTAAATTTTTCGGACCATTTCCAAGAAATTCATGAACGCAATTTCCATTTTTTCAAACCCTCCTTGCGGCAAACGTGAATCAGTAACACTCATTAGTTGTAAAACACGAATAATCAAGTCACCATCTAAGCTATCATGCTCCTCAGTTGCTGTTGAACATATTCGTCCACCAATACAGCTTCCAAGTATATACACAAGCCATGTCAATTGATTATTAACAATTTGTAATTCTATAGAACTCGGTGAAGGCATCGATAGAATTTCTTGATACTTTGCTGCCGTCTGATCAAACAATTGAAACAATAAAGCACACGTCTTTTCATATTCACAACGTTCAATTGTTGATAATTGTTCTAATTGCTGAACTACCATTCCTAAATCATCCAACGGATCATCTAAATTCTCACGAACAATTGCGGTAACTGCGTCCAATCGTGATGTTATATAGGCTTTGACTACTTCCGGCGTGTAAGTATTTAAATAGTGCGGCTCTTGTGCTTTTACATATGGAACAGACGTAACCATTCGCTGCCATAAAGACAATAAATAATGAACACTGTTTGGCGAAAACTGCCAAATCTGAAGAGAATGAACAGTGAATTTGGCAATGAGCTGAATAGCTTCTGCATAATTATCGACTACGACCAATTCTCCAAGCTGATAATTTGACTTTAATCGAGCTAGAAGGCGACAGAATTCATGATAATTATTTGGTTCGCTTAGCCCATGTGATGTCTTTAGAATCTCAACAGCGCCAGCAACAAGACAATTCAGAAACTTGATGCGCTCATTGTTACTGAAAATAGATCGACGAATAGATGTTATTTGAACGAGACATGTTAAAGCTAAGCTCGAAATTCGAGGCGGTAGAATTTGATAGAGGTCAAAAAATAATTTCAATGAATCTTGCTCGAGTAGAGCACTTCGCCAATTTGTTGGCACTTGAACTGTCGTCATATCATCTGTTGATTCATCCGCTGACGTTCCAATAAAGTCAAAACTGAGGCAGTTCTTTGCTAGTTGCAGTAAATCCATGATTAAGCTAATAAAGAAATGAATCATTTGTGCATAAATTAAGCTACTCTTTGTGCGCAATTCATCCTTATCATCGCTGGAACTGAATACAGTTTACCACACCCCAAAAAACATACTAATAACCAGCGAAGAAGACATAAATTACGAATTAAAACAAATTGTTAAAGCCTACCCTTGTTGTGTTTCGTCTATCAAATTGAGGCTAGTACTGTTGTCTCGAGCACGAGCAAGCAACTCACAGGAGAGGAGGAAAATATCAAAAAGCTGCGTATCACGAAATGAGCATGCTATCTTACGATGTCTTGTAAATGATAAGTTTACATCCATATCGGCAATTTGATTCATTTCGCTAACAAGTTGGGATAATATTTTTACTCCAATCATGCAGTGCTCGACGCTGCCTTTAAGGAACTCTTTGACATCCTGATCAATTTGGCGAAAAATCATTTCATCTTTATACGAATCAAACCATCCATATTTGGTTATTTTTGCTAAAAGAGCTATTAATGCTTGTGTAACGAACGTTTGGAGGGACCGTGTTGCTAGGTAGTTGAGAATATAATTTCTGGAAGAATAAGAATTTTTTTATCAATTCAAATTTTTCTTCTGGTTCCAATTTTTCTCGAGAAGTTTATGAGATACTTACCGGATATCTACTCTTTGCTGTAAACTTAGTCCCTGTACATTTCTAGAAACGAGTTTTGTCAATGTTGTTGCTGCTAAAAGCTGTGCATAAGCAGAATCACCTCGATCAAGTAATAATTGACATTTATTTAATGCATCCGGATCTTCGAGAAATTCAAACAGAATCTTTTCAGCTTTAGCTCTAATCAATGGATCTGTGCATTCATAGAATTGCTTGCAAAATAGTTCCAATTGTTGTACTTCCTGCATTTTTTAAGAAAAATAAACAAAAACAAATTTTCGGTGAATGAGTCTTTTTGCACAAAATTAATTTTAGTTGAAAAATACACTTTTTTATGAGAAATATTCACATCACTCAACGTATCCATCTAGCTTATTGTTCTATTAACACAATTAAATCGCCAAATCTCTTCTAAATAGCCTAATTTGTTGATAAAATTAATTTTTCATCATTCTACTCACCATTGCAGAACTGTTTTTTGGGGTATACAAGAGTTATGAATTTTTCACAACCGTTAATCTTTTCAGGTCTATTTTGAGTTGTTGTTCCTCAAAGTGGTTGATTCTATTTGGACGGAATACACTATCTATTGATTCTCTTACTTTATCTTAACTGATTTCAATTTGTTTAAGTTTGTCTTTGTTTTTGGAATTGTATGGTTTTGAGTCATTTTTTTGAGAATTTGTACGGCTTTGAGTCACTTTTCAAGAATTTGTACGGTTTGAGTCACTTTTCAAGAATTTGTACGGTTTTGAGTCACTTTTTCAAGAGTTTGTACGGTTTTGAGTCACTTTTTCAAGAATTTGTACGGTGGAGTTTTCTCCCGACCTCCGAACAACGAGGTTGTGGAATTGTCAATTTTCCATAATTTAATTATTTACGCGTAGGAACCAGACAGCAAATATAGTTTAAAGTGCATACAAATAACTAAGGAACAGATTAACAAAGGAGAAAACTCAAAAAAGTCGCGATTTAGTTAAATTTGGAGAAACTTTTGAATTGAACAAAAAAGGTGCAAATTTTTGCACATAACCAATACAAAATATAAAACGGAATTGATCATCATCAGAATACCAAAGAACATTTAATTACATTGACAAATCAAGATCGGCGGCAGTTGTGAGGAGAATCAATTGTTTCACGTGGGTTTTTTGTGTTTTACCAACAATCGTGGACAAGAAGGTTCTATCATAACCATAACCTAGACATTGAATTTTGTTGGAAACGGATTATCGTCAATTGTGAGGAGAATTTGTCTCGCGATGGGTTTTGTGTGTTTACCCATATATCGCGGGCAAGTTCTAACAATCAATTGGTGCTGACTGGATTTCAACAAATCAACATTGACAAACAGGAATCGATCATCTCGGAATACAGCAGAACATATTAATTACAGATCACAATCAAGACATAACAAAAATTTGATTTTTCTTTGTGTATATTTGTAAATTGAACTACCTGGAATTGTGAACGGTCTTTAAATAGCAATAAGCTGATGGACCATAATAAAGTTAATTAAGAAGAAGAAGAAGAATTTGTACGGTTTTGAGTCACCTTTTCAAGAATTTGTACGGTTTTGAGTCACTATTCAAGAATTTGTATGGTTTTGAGTCACTTTTCAAGAATTTGTACGGTTTTGAGTCACTTTTTCAAGAGTTTGTACGGTTTTGAGTCACTTTTTCAAGAATTTGTACGGTTTTGAGTCACCTTTTCAAGAATTTGTACGGGTTTGAGTCACTTTTTCAAGAACTTGTACTGTTTTGAGTAATATTTCAATAAGTTCTACGACTGAAAGTCGTTTTTTTGAGCAGCACAAATCACAGAGTAATTTCCTCGAGGCTGAAATTCAAGTAAACAAAGAAATAAGAAAGGATATTCGATTTTTTTATTTCTTCTTTATTATTTATTTTAATTTTAATACATTTATTTATTTTTTTAACAACTTTCTAAATAAAGCTATTTTAATTAATCAAATGAAAAGGGAAATAACTATTCTCTTACGATGATTTTTCATGATTTTTCCAAAAAAAAAATAAACATAAAAATAATAATAAAAAAATTTACAATTAGTAAATTAACTCACTTATTTTCTATTCCATTTTGTCAGTCACTTCGTGCTAATATTTAAAAATATTCTTTTTTTATCATCATATATTTTTTTCTGTAGCTTTTATCATTTAAAGGTTTTCGATTCAATCGAAGCTCAAATGAATGAATTGTAATATAAAGTTTTATTTATCGAAAGACAAAAGGGTGTTTTTTGGGGGGTAGGGATGGGAGGTTGGTAATGGAGAATTGAAAGAATCATTTAATACAATTATCGAGTGACCGAAGAATCAATTAAAATTAAATATTTATTTAATTAGCTAACACTTTTTTCTTCATTAATCCATTCAAGTCGTAATACTAACGCCTACAAAAATGTCACTAAATTTTTACCTCATTTTTTTATACATTCATTTCGTTAATCTTATCAATCGTTATCTCATTTTGTTTATAATAAAATTAAATTTCATTTAGGATTCATTCATGTGTCGGTGATGATAGCAAGTTACTATATCTTTTGACAAACGAAGAAAAGAAAGAAAAACTGTTTTTTTTTTATTTATTTTAAATTCATTTTTTTTCTTATCACTTGATTAGGAGTTTTTCTTTCATATTGTATTATTTTTGTCGAAGTTGCGAAATTCATTCAGAAAAGAACATGTCCAGAAACCCATACAATTGCTTTCTAACTTAAGAGTCGTCAACAAGTTTTTAATTTTATTTATAATAAGATTTTCAAACATAAATAGCTCAATACTTTTAGGTTTTCGTCAAATGGCTACAATCTACTCGACTAATTGCCAATGGTTATTAAAAAATTTCCTAGGATTATTTGAAATCATATACAATTTCAGGAAGTAACTTCAGATTTATCACGTGTCTCCTTGCCAATCAAATTTTTTGTATGGACTTTAACTTAATAAGGTTCTCCAACATAAGGTCATTTGAATTGGTTTCCGAAGATCATAAAGTACTTTGAATTTGTACGATTTTTTTAAAAAGTCGACATTTTGTACTGCTTTTCATCCAAGCCAAAAAGAACAATTGTATGGTTATTATTAGTTAAGTTGCACAGTTTTTCAGACACATCAAGTCCCAATCAATCTCACATCTACGACTCTTATTTTTTTTTTTGATTCAACATTAATTTATATATACGAAGAAAAAGAAATTTTGTTGTTTTTTTTTTTTCATTTTTCAAAGTTAATTATTTTTTGTTTATCATCTTTGCTGTTGCTGCTGTTATATATATCTCTTTTTTTTTTGTTTGTTGAAGCTATAATCCCGATTGTATAAGTGTGAGTAAGTTACAATATGCAACAATGTCTAGAGCAGCAACTGCTCGATCCACCTTTACTTTTCTGTCTTTGATCTGAAAGGAGATTGAAAAAATTGATAATGTTAAATAAAATAGTCAATATGTGTAGATGATGATAAATTAATTATTAAGCTTGAATGTCGTTCGTTTGCAATCTAATAAAGTAGTGGACATAATCGACCTTTGATGTGAATTTGTGATAAGGCGCATTTCCACATTCAGATTTATTGATTTCCCTGTGATGTGATTCTACAAGGAAGTGTGCATAATATGAAGCCAGTTAAATGACGTCATAATATTTATTATAAAACTGCGGTAAAACAATTGAAGATTACCAGTGAAATAAATCAATTCAAGGATATAATATATAGTCAAGGTCGTCGCATGAATATTACACGACATTTATCAAATTGTCCATAAAGCAATGCTTTGCCAATTATTAGCGATAAAGTGTTAGAATTAAATTAGCAAATAGCAAAAATATGCAAACCTTGTGAGTTCGGTTCGGGTAAATTATCACGTGGAACTAGATGCATTACGGTTGTTTTCCCTAAAGGAAGTCCCAACGCTCCTAGAGTAACATTGCAATGTAAGAATCGGCCTTGATAAATAAGTCTCAATATTTCTGCTTTGTCAACTGCTTCATTCTCCCAATCTATAAAATTAAATAATATATACACAAGCTTTAATAATCTATATTATTGATGGACATCCAAAAAGAATGCTTACCTTCTGGCCATTGATCAAAAACAGTTTTTGCTATTTCTCCCGCAGAATCTGATGGACTAAATAAGAATTCTTTTGTTTTGCCGCTCACTAATATCAAGCGTAAATTAATCTGTAAAGACACAATATAAAAAAAAAAAAATTTATTGATTAGCACTGAGTGGGATCGAAAGGTCGTTCTTTAATTATGGATTGATTATTATAGACAAAATCAGCAATAAATTAATTTCAAAACAGAATTATGTCATTAATTGTTGTTGCTACTGTCTGTGATTATAAATTCTTTTAAAATTCATGATAAGACTTTCGTGCTATAGCTACGTAAAATGTTGTAGAAAATCATGTAAAATCGTGTTTTTGCAAGCATTATTCGTTACTGTCAACGATCTCATTATCAATGAAATACACACATAAGGAAGGAACGAAATAAAGAAAGAGAATACGAAACAAAAATGATGATGATTAAAAACATATGACTGCATCGGCTACAACGTCGATGAATGTGAATGTTTAGAAGCTTTAAATTAGGTCAAATTCATTTGCTTTTTTCTCTCACTCACTCACTCGGACTCTTTTATTTGGTCGATTACATCACATTTTTCAGTAAGCAACAATTAAATCGTTAAAATTGATATTGAAGAATGGACAATTTCCAGTGAGCAAGTTAGGAACGCAATGCTGCTGCTGCTTGCTTGATTTCTATTTTAATTCACAATTTTTTTTCTTTTTTTTGCAGTAAAGTTTCACTTTGATTTTTCCGTTTTCAAGGTTTTAAAGGTCAGAACATTTTCAGTATATTTACAAATTAAATTACATTACATTTGCAACTCTTTTCGTTTTTTTCGTCGATTGCACTATTTTTTCACTTCTGTCGAGTTTTATGGCTCTCATTTTGTCAGGTACGGAAGACAAGCTAACAGGTTTCGACATTAGTCAAAATATAAACATTTTTGAGGTGTTATTTAATGCACAATATTATTTTCGGTTGTGTTATCTCCTAAACTTTTACTGATTGGTTGCTTCGGCATGGCTTAAAAATGTCAGAGTTTATGAAACATTTTTCTGTGACTTACACAGAGTTACAGCAGATCGTGTTGATTTTTTTTTCCTTTCTAAAAATATTTGTGATAAATCAAGTCAATCAATTTCAATCTTGTCAAAATAGATTTGATTCAACAATTGACTGATGAGTCTTGGGTAATTAGGAGTTCATTGTAAGAATTTACATGGGGACTGTACACAAGTGATAAATCATTAAGGGAATGGGAGTTTTGAATCTTTTTCATCAAGCTATTCTCTCAAACTGTGCCTTGCGACACTCTTATGCCCAACTTAATTCTTAAAAAATAGAAAATGGCAAGTTGCTTGCATTAAAAATGGTGTTTTGAGCCAAACAAAAGTTTTTGCCGCGAATCTTTTAGGAAAATGGCATTTTTTATTGATTTTATAACACAAATTGTCTTTAATTTGTGAGTTTGCGAGGTTGTTTAGCAGTTTCTCAATTCCAAAGCTCTCCAGACACACCTGAGCTACTTTAACAACCAAAATTGAGGTCAAAAACAATTCTTTTGGATATAAGTGTGCCATCAAATCTTCAGAATTGTGTCTAGCATGTCTAGTTTTAAAATCTCTTACATAGTAGCTAAACATTCTCTGCCTTTGACATCATTCACGAAAAAACCCAAAGAAGGATTTGAAAAAATGCTTCACACTTGCTGTGCAATCCAAAAATGCCTCGCATGCTTGCTGTAAAGTTTATTTTAAAATAATCTCAGCGTACGTAAATGAGTACATATGATCCAATTTAAAGTGTAGAAAAAAATATATATAAAATAACATAAGAGACCTCCTTAAAGATACTTAGATTCGTCGCGTGTGTGTATAAATAAGAATTTGTATTAATCAAAATTCATCTTTTTTTTTCTCCACATAACGCGTACTGCACTTTATCGATTTTGGATATTTTAAAAAATGTAAAACAAACGGAGCAGCTAAAGATATTATGTATGGAATATGAATATATGAGTGCAATGGGAATTGTGTGTTATGTTTGAAGAGGTACATTTGCTGTTGCCTTCTTTTTCTCATCTTAATTCACTTCCTAATTCACATATACACCAATCTAATTTCATAACAACAACCATTATGTGTTATTTTTGTGGCTGAAGATTGCTGTTGGTTCCACAATAATAAATAAAATATAAAACAGAACGTAGTAAGAAGTAAGACGAGTCAGTTTCAACTTTCTCATGCTTCAATTCTAAAAGATCTTTCTTTTCTTCATTCTGTTATTTTAGTAGAGCACTTAAAGGTGCTCTTAAATTTTTAAATAGCAATTATAAGTCGTACAAACAATAAGAACGAATGGATTTATGTTCGTAGCTCAAGAATTGCGCAAATTTTTTTTTCCGTTCCATTCACTCATTCACAATTTTCAAATTAACAAAAAAATTATGGTGAAGCGAGGCTGAATCGCTATATTCACACTGAATTAAAGTTCACTTATATATTAAGACATTAAATAAATTATCTTCTATGCTGTCCAAAAAAAAAAGAAGTTGGTCTATATTCTCTCCGTTGATCCGTTAATGGAAAATGATCGGAAAATGGATACTTTAAGTAACAAAAAAAAAAAAAAGAGACTAATAGCACTTAATACCCAAGATATCGGGACTTGTGTGAATACGAAAATACACATAGCGAGTGATGAGATATGAAGAAAAAGAAATACAAAAATATTTTGGTGCATAAACTTGCTACGTTTTGTAATATATGTAGACAAAGCAGAAGAAGATTATTATTATGATTTTTTTTTTCATATTTCTACTATGTTAAGGTATGGATGGTTCCTATATAGAAGTACATTTTGGTAATTTTCTTTTGCACAACATTTATTTTTTTTACCTTGTCTGATGGAATCATTTTTCTCCCTTTTGCTTTCTTTTCTTCTCGTCTTGTGTCTTTTTCCTACTATTGATTGTATTGTCTGGATCCAGAAATATTTTTTTTTGCACTTTATGAACTTTTATAAATTTTATTTTATGGCCTTATTTATTATTTTAATGTGTTTCTTAGTGACGAACGAACGACTTGAAAGGAGGAAAACAATATACACTATTTTATTTATTTATTCATTCATTCGTTTGCTCTTTTCCTTTTCAATTTACTATATTTAATATTATTATATTATTATAATATTTAAAATTGATTTTTCAGCATTTTCAATTAACACATCCAGTCCAATTTATGCTGTATTAAGCCTTTATGGATATATATATATATTTTTTTTTCAACAACTACTTGCACTGGATCTTTTTTTTACACAATTGTCTTCTTTTAATAATAACATGGCGAAGAAAGAAAATTTCAAACCAATTTTTCAGCACTTTTCCTCACAATTCCATCACTTTTAGCACTCTATTTCCCTATTCTCCTGTGTCTTGTGCATTGTAATCTCATTTTTAGGTCTTTCTAATCAACTATCAACAAATTAAATGCAAAATAATGAAAAATGAATTTAGCTCAACTATTTTCTTCGCCTTTCTGTGTATTGTCTTTTTGTATGTAGTAAGCGCGTTTGTCTCTAGCTAAGGCGAATTGCCATTAATTGCTACATCCTTCTATACTCGTCGTTACTGTCTTATAAACCTTTACATTTATTTATTTTAAATCATATTCACACAAAATTTTCAATTTTTTCTGATTATTTTTTGCACTTGGTTTCTTTGTTTACAAATAAATCATAAAATTTGAATTTTTGAAAGACGTTTTTTTTGAAATATTAAAGATTTTGGTCATTTTTCGAATGGAGCAACAGTTTTTAAGAAGAATATATAGTATACGGCTCTTATTGATTAACATGCACATGAATATGAGCATTTAATTAACTTGTAAGACGTTTTAATATTCAAAAGTTCTTAACGGTTTTAATATTTTTGTATTTTTCGCCCCAATTTTATTTGTTATTATTCAGCTCTTTAAAATATACAACATTGTGATTTAATTAAAAAAGGCTGCTTTTGCGCACATTTCTGTTTTGTTCTGTTTATATTTGTGATAATTGACAATGTCGGAATCTTGGGATGGTGAGTAACCAGCAAAAAAGACACTAGAAAGCATTAAAAAACATTAATATTTATCTTGTTAAGATCTGCGTAAAAAATCTAGGAACTTGGAAAATGCCATTGACTTAAAGCTAGTCTCCCTTAGTAAAATATGCTCTGGGAATGTAACAGGAGGAGAATCGAGTCCATTAATATCAAGCGAATTTACATACGATACAATTAGTGTCGAAATTAACGATATGTTGGCAAAACTAAGTGAATTGAATGACAAAATGACACAAATTAAGGCAACTGGAAATGCTATGATGCATACACAATCAAGACATCGAGATATTCTTAATGCTTATCGAACAGAATTTAATAAAATCACACAAAACCACAACATAAATTTGGAACGAGAAGAGCTTTTGAGAGGCAGTGGACTTTTAACGAGCAATTCGTCAACGAACTCACTCAGCCGTCGTGATATGTATTTAAAAGAAAGTCAACATATATCAAAGTGAGTAATACATGAACACAATTGATTCTGTTTCTAATTGTTTTTGTTTTTTAAGTTCCCATAATATGGTAAATGATCAGATATCCATTGCAATTGAGACTCAAAAATCATTAAAATCACAACGCAAGGCTTTTAAAAAGATCCAAAATCGATTCAATAATTTGGCAAACGCTTTTCCGAGAATAAACTCTTTAGTTCAAAGAATTAATATCAAAAAACGTCGTGATTCCTTAATCTTAGGACTTGTTATAGCTGTTTGTACACTTCTTATGTTACTTTACGCATTTCATTGACTGAAATATGAACATAGAGGCATCACACTTTTAATTATCAAATAATTATCTAACCTTTTATCATTTATCTTCCTTCCGAAAGAATCATAATTTATGTAAAACAATTTATAATAACACGAATAAAGTTTAATTTTCAATAATATTACTGACTTATGTTTTAACGACTTTTTGAGATTCAAATTTTATGTTTTTTCAGTAAATAAATTCAAAACAAACAAAACGAGTAAAATCGAAAAATTAAATAAATTAGGTAAATTAGTGCTCTTATCAGTATAATTGTGCTATTAACCGCTCCAGGAACATATTGTACACAGCAATCAAAAAGAGTTTGATTAAAAAACACCTGTAATCGACATAAATTTGCATAATTTATAAACCATCAATTAATTTTTTAATAACATTTATATTTTGAAAATTACAGATTAAAATGTATAAAGGCACAACTTTAAGTGATACGATTCAAATATTCCCGCACTTCTTCGTCCGTGCATAGAAAAAAAACATCATTCAGACTGTAAAATTTTCACGAATAACGTTAATCTGAGAAAAGTTGTAGTCATCGCAAGTTTTAGTGATTTTTCGCAAGAGATACAAGTGCTTAACTTGAAAGTTTGTTATAATGTCACTCATTGAAACAGAAAATGTCTATTTATTCATTCCAAATATCATTGGTATGTTAATAATAATGAATTTAAGAATCATAACATGAAATACGCAATTTTTTGATTTTTCTTCTTCCTTTGAAAAACTAAAGGATATGCAAGAATCGTCTTAGCAGTAGTGTCATTCTACTTTATGCCAACAAATTATGTGATTGCAAGTTGGTGCTATATCATTAGCGTTTTATTAGATGCATTAGATGGACATGCAGCAAGAAAATTCAACCAATGTGAGTAAAAATGTTCTTATCTTGCATGAATGACTTTATTTGTACAGTAAAAATCGATAACGCTTAGTTATGTCATAAACAATCAATTAAACTGGATTATCATATATTTATTTAGCCACAAAATTCGGTGCTATGCTGGATCAACTGACTGACAGATGTGGAACTATGGGTCTTCTTGTTACTTTAAGCTACTTCTATCCAAAGTACATGTTTTGGTTCCAATTATCTATGGCAATTGACGTCGCATGCCATTGGTTCTATCTTCATACATCACTGCTTCAAGGCAAAACTTCACACAAATTTATTGACATGAACGAAAATCCAATTATGCATATTTACTACACAAATCGTACAGTTTTGGGCTTCATGTGTCTCTTCAATGAACTCTTTTATGCTGCTTTATATCTCCTTTATTTCACTCCTGGGCCAATATGTAAGCAGCTCATTATTAAGTTTAACATTTTCATGACTAATTATTGATTTATTTTGTAGTCTTGGGAGTTCCATTCTTCAAACTACTCGCAATCGTTTCTGCGCCTGTTGCAATTGTCAAAACATTAATATCAGTCATTCACGGTGTCGTTGCTTCAGTCAACATCACAACAATTGATACAAAAGATCGTGAGGATGCAAAGAAGAAGGACCAATCCAAAAAGAGCGAATAAATGCAATTACGACGTGAATAATCAGACTTACTTCTTGAAATTTACTCAATTTAGATGTCTTCTTTAATGTTGATGTACTAGTATTATATTAATGGGTACAATGAGAGCCAAAACAAATGAATATTCCATCTCGTAATTTTTTATTCCATTTTTAATTTGTATTGAGCATAGTTTATTGTACCTGAATCTGTCAATCATCAATCGTTTGCGTCTTTTTAGGGAAATTCTTGTCAGATTCTTGCATTATTTTTCGTGCGAGATTCAACTTAATTAATTTACGAATTTATCATGTTATTTAGAGATCAAGTCTCTGTGGAGATTCAAGACTAAAGCTGTACTTCAAAGCAAATGATTGTTTTTATTACTTTATTTATTCAGCGTTGGCCAAAAACCGTTAATTTAAAGTAAAAAAAACTAGCGGATATTTATTGTTTGAATTAATGGAATGCTTCCAGTGGAACGAAAATAAATTTATAACGGAAATTTCATATTTAAATGATTGGAATAACTCCAGTGGAAAGCAACTGAAATTTTAAATTATTGGAATATTTCCAATAGAAAATTTAAAAACAAAAATAACGGAAAAATGAATTTACAAGCCAATATAAATATTTATTTGATTGAGAATCTGACGAGACTTTCTCAAAGAGCAACTTCCTTCTTTCCTAACTCATGACAAAGAAAACAATCTCATATTTGCAAAAGAACAGAGATAATCGACAAGATAAATAAAGAAAAAGCAATTCTTTATTACATTAACAAAGAGAATTCCTGCGAAAAATAAATATATATTTTCGTATCTAAACTATTTAAATTCTATTTATAATATAAAGTAAAAATTTCTTGCTCGAGATTTGCAAATTAATGAAAATTTATTCTTATTCTTTTGTTAATGATTATAAATGTGTAGTGTGTAGACAAAAAGGGAATTTAGAATTTGAGGTGAATGTGGGTTACAAAGTAAGCCAAAGGAAACTAATTAATTCATTCAAAAAAGAAAACAAATTTGTTTCACTAACGTTGGTTGACAGTTCTTAGTGAAATGAAATAAATAGCTACTTAAAGAAAAATAATTATTATTACTGATGCATGTTGTAGCATAAAGCTTATCCAAAATTTTATGTGGCTGAGAAGATAGGAAAGAACATGAATTGTAGCAAATATTTATGTGTGTATAAACCACTGAATTAAATAAATGAAAAAAATAAAATGAAATGAAAGCAATGAAAATTTATCCCTTTAAACTGCTCATTCCGGCACGCATAATTTCGTCGACGAGAAGCAGGTTGGTGGCAATAACGGTACAGGAGTTGAGGATTTGCTTCTTTACAATATAATTGTCAAAGATTCCCAAATCAACAGGTTTACATGGTTCGCCAGTTGACAAATCAAGACCAATTGGATCAGTTGATAATTCAGCTTCTTCCTGTAATTTTACAATTGTATCTTGAGAATCAAAACCAGAGTTGACTGCAAGAGTTTTTGGAATAACGAGTAATGCATCAGCATAAGCTTGGATAGCTAAACGAGTCTTTCCTTTGACAGTTCTAGCATGATCACGTAACTTGAGATTAGCATGAATTTCAAATGATCCAGCGCCGGGAATCAAACATTTGTCATCAAGTGTATTGTTAATAGCACGAAGACCATCACGAACAGCATCCTTGATTTGATGTAAAGTATGCTTGTTTGGTCCTTTCATCAAAATTGTAACAGATTGTGGAACTTTGCAGTCCTCAACAAAAGTATATTTAGTTTCGCCCAAAACATGCTCGTAAACGACACCAGCAAAACCGAGATGTTCTTCTTTGATATCATCAAATGAATTCAAAGCAAGTCCTCCGCACGCTAATGCCAAACGTTCCATGTTTCTCCTTTTAGCACGTCTCAATGCCATGATACCTTCTTTTGCCAACAAATCAAGAGAATTTGGATCGATGCCCTTTTGATTAATTACAACAAAACTCTTGTTTGTGCCGTCACACAACTTCTTCTTTAATTCGATGACTTTTTGAACACGTTGGATGATGAAATCGCGTTCAGCAAGGACAAAATGTTCTCGTTCTTCAGCTGTTTTGTAGAAGAAACCTGAATTGACTTCTGTCTTTTCATATTCCATTGAGACATTACATGTCAAAATGTAGGCGTTTTCTAAGCGTTTAGGCATATCAGGATGACGAGAACCGTGATCCATAACAATACCTTTAACTAATTGAGTATCAGTTGCTGACTTGTGCTGCATTTCCATAATCTCAACCATATGAAGATCAACTGACTTGTCATCATCCTTCTTAATCGTTAAAATTGCGTCTACGCAGACGTCAGTTAAGAGATCAGCTAATTGATTATTCAACTTTGTTCGTAATGCTGTTCTGGCAATATCCTGCAAGTTCTTACGATTAATCTCAACGGGACGTTTCATATCATCAAGAATCTTTAATGCTTGTAGACGTGCTTGATCATATCCCTCAGTAATGATTCTTGGATGTAATCCTTCAGCAATATAAAGCTCTGCTTGCTTCAAAAGCTCTCCAATCAACAAAACAGTTGATGTAGTTCCATCGCCAGTAATGTCATCTTGTGCTGTACTTGCTCTAGCAATCAAACTAGCTGTTGGATGTTGAATTTGCATCTCATGCAACAATACATTTCCATCCTTGGTGATTTTGATATCTCCAGCACCACTTACAAGCCTGAAATAATCAATAATTATATTATTTTCTAGAACATTCTGGATTTTATAACCTTAATCATGAAAATTTGATTTCGCAAAGTATATAAAAAGGCATTAATCTCCTGAAGTTATTAAGTTGCTAGGATATTTGGACCTTATTAATATGATTTACATTCATCAAAAGTTGAGAATCAACGGATTTAACGAGAAATTTAACATTACATTTTCATATGCAATACTCACATTTTCAGTGTTCCTTTTGGACCTAAATTTGTTTTCATCACATCCTGGATACCTTTTGATGCCGTGATATTGACACTAAGTGCCTGAGCAGCACGAGCAAACTCAGCTTTTGGATTGAGGAGGGAAATTGCAGCCATTCTAATTAGATTTCTTAATAAAATTCAAATTTAAAGATTTGTGACTAACGCTTAGAAAACAATGAAGAACTCGTGAGGAAGTCACTGTGTATTACAGCGCTTTTTTCGCATGACTCATTATCCGCAAGCTTTATGCTCAATGTATTATGTTTATAATGTGTATTACATGCTTAAAGAAGCTACTATTATAGGAAATTGACAGATTAAACAGCAGAATAATTTATTGTTTAAAATATCATTAATTCGACCAGCAGATGATTAAAGAGGTAGGACAAAGTGAAGACAATAGCTTAATAAGGCATAAAAGAACTGCGTAGATGACTGCGGCTCGATTTCGAGAGTTGGGCAGTTATTTTTCTATCAAGAACTACAGTACCGGCATAAAAATATCGAATTTTCTTGGAAAATCGAATCGAACGATCATAAAATAAACGATAATAGACTAATAAGTGTGTAAATAGTCTAAGTGATAAGAATGACACAATGAAACAGTGCATAAAAGCATAAATTAAGCATAAAATTTTTTATCTCGTCTTTTTCCAACCAATCACTGAATGATGTCACAAAAAATTACATTGTGAGTGCCTAGCCAAGAAAATTAGTACAATAAGTGGATAGAACTCGCATAAAACGCGATGATTTAGTGTTAATAGCGCATCAACATATTTATTTCAATTTAAACTTTTTAACGGATTTTTGAATTTCAAATTTAATGTTAATTCATGATTACTTACCTATGATCATTTTCTCATGATATGTTTTGCACTCAATAGCTTAATTAAAGCTGAACTAATGAAATAATTAAGATTTTATAAACATTGAGCTTCGAGTAACATACAAACATTTGTAATCTAATAGATAGCTAGCTCTATAAAGTAAACAAAAGTTTCTTCAAGTTTGAACGGTTTTCAAAAATTCAAAACAAAGTTTTCAAAACAATTGAGGTTAAAATTTTACAAAAAATTGCTCTCGCGAGAAACATTTAATTGAAGCATATTGAATGTGTTTTAAAGGATGAAAATAAGAAAGTAATGTGCATAAGGACCACATAATATTGAAAAACATAAAGAAAAGCATGTAAACATTGATTTTAACAGTTATCAAGGAATAATTTTACAAAAAGATACAGTAAAGATCCAGCCAAGCCAAAGTGACAAATTTATGGCATTTGTGTTGACAGGAACAGGCGAATGATATTGTGAGTACTGCCCAGCCGAAAAGTTTAGTACATTGAGGAAAAGAAAAAAATTGAAACTTGAAAAGGATGAACTAAAACAGAAAAATGGATTAATTAAGTTCTAATAAGGTGTTTTAATTGCTTAAAATACTATAATCATAAACTTTAGATTCTAAAGAACATTAATAGTGCGAAAATATATAGTGGGAGAGTGTTAAAAGTGAAGAATTAATTTTATAAAACTTTTCAATTTTTTATTTTCATTTTTTCTGCCCAAAAAGAATTCTTTTTTCGTCATTTCTGATTCCTCTGTATTTTTCGATGAATTTTTATGAATTTAAGTGTGTAGAATTTTTTAATGGCTTCAACTAATGAAAGTAACTCACTATTAAGCAGTTGTAATGATAAGTCAATGAGTAAAAAACATTTAAATGAGCATGAAGAAACAATAAAAAGTGATCAAATGGCATCGAAAAAATCATTATCGAACGATGGAGAGGTGAGTAGTGAAAAAATATAAATTTTCTCATTTTTCTCCCATGAAAATGCATTGAAATCTTGAAAAATATAGTCATTTTATAGACAATAAGCAGCAAATCAAAGGGTATTTGTGGAATTTTCATGACGAGACAATTTTTTCATGTCCAATAATTGCACATTTCTTATACGAAAAGAACAAATTGAACTTTTTTTCGCCATATTTTCTTTATATTCTTTCTTCTTATTTTTTGTATGTCGGAAAGTAGTAAGTCCACACGTTGAATTTCATTCTAAATGACTCTGTCAGTTTTTCATCGGTCAATTTGATGAAATTTCGCACTAATCAGCTTTCTTCAAACGTTATATTATGTGTCAAAAAATGAATAATAAGGAGATATCTATTAGGTAGATATTAATGGCTGAACAGAGAGGAAAAAAATGAAAAATTACTGAATTGCGAGACAAAAAATAAAGTTTAAATCAATTTTTCCATACAACTTCCGATTTTATCTAAACCATAATTATTAAAAAATAAAAAAAAATTCACAATGTGGTCAAAGCTGGAAGTTTAAAAACAATTATTCCCTACGAAAAAGATATATTTTTTTTTCTTTCTGTAGTCACCAGAATGACTTTACGAACAAATATATACACACTGAAGTTCAGACATATACATTAAGAAAAGGAAAAAAATAAAGCAGATATGAAGAAAACGAAAGAAGAAAAAAGTTTTATGTGTAAAATAAAATATGAAAAGAAACTTATCACACTACTACAAACTAATTAATGCGATCTTCCAAAAAATAAAAGAAATATCTTCCAAAGATTGACAATTTTTTTCTCTCCTCAAAAATATAAGTGCGAGCACAAAGTCGTCCGAGTATCAATGTATTGCAAAAACAACAAAAAGAAGATGCAATTATCATTTTCGCATTTAAAAAAATTATATATTTATATTTCACATCTATTTTATTTATTTATTGATAGGAGCAGATTGCTAGTATGGATGAAAATGATTTAAAGAATTTATTGGATGAAGCATTGACATATAAGAATCCACGAGATGCAAATGAGAAAAGTGAAACTTTCAAAGTAAGTCAGATGATTGCATCATTTCTCTTATCAATTTGTCTGTAGATTGTATTGTCTAAACTTCTTCTTGCGTTTTAAACGGCACCAGAAGTCCTATGATGCAGCATAACCCCTTTTTATTATTTTTAACGGACTTGTGACTTTGCAATAATTTTTTTTAAGGCAATCACTGAATTGGTTTCATAAAATTTTTTTTAACCTTTTTCTTTAGAATCGATGAATTATGAAAGAAATTTTAAAAATAAAACGTGATAAAACTTTTTTTGCAACAATCTCATGAAATTGAACTGTCACACAACTGTCGCGTGTGTGTCGTCACACAGTCAAAATTCAAAAGTCATCATTGAGTGACTTAAGTGAATCATGAGATATTTGAGGAATTTACGTCATTAATTTAGGATTTTTCTTGTACTTGAGCAATTAATTTCATCACGATATATTTTCATGTATGAACAAAATTGAGCAAACAGTATTCTATGTTGTACAACATTCGTCATGTCAATTGAGTTGTGTTTTTCGCCCAGTGAGTGATTTTTAATTGCAAACAGCATTGCTAGCATTTTAGTGACGATAAATATTGCACGAAAAAGTAATAAGAATGTTAAGAAATTGTGTTGCGCAACAGTTGAAGAACATAGATCGCTGTCGCATGACTGTCACTTCTGATTTATAAATTAAAGTGATATTTGGTGCCAGCAAAAATGTTAAATATCACATGAACAAATGTGCTATGCTAAACAGTTTAGACACCACAATAAACCACAAAAAAAAATAGTATTTATAGCATGAAATATAAATTAATCTGCATATTTAAATTTTCGTTTTTTTTTAAATTAAATTTTTTTGGCTTATTTTTTGCATGAAATTATTACCAAATATAGCGTTTACTTCAGAATGTGACCGAAGAGGAAGAACATAAAAGGAAATTTGAGAGCAATTCGCTTCATTGGAAGGCACAAAGCAATTCACTACAGAATCTTCTTGATGAATCACATTATCAATTACAAAATCATCAATCTCAAATCTCTAGTAAGAAACATCAACAAAGACGTAAAAATTCCACATCTGTATCGACGAGACGATTAGAAGGAGGAAGTTTACCAGTTGACATGCATCATTCATCGGCCATTCAATCACCACCAGATCAGCCATTCTTATCAGAATTCAAGAACAATAAGAAGCGTAAGGAGAAGCAACAAGCAAAAGATACTGTGATTGATATGCTTGATATTGAGACTGACGATACTAGAAAATCATTTCAGAAATGTCTGGATCCAAAAACTAAGGATGTGAGTGCCAAATTACAAAACCAACAATAATTTTTTGATACATAACTAATTTAAATGTATTTATTTATAGACCACAACATACCAAGACGGCATGATTGAACTGAAATCTCTTCATGCAAACCGCGTTGAAATGGAAGTTCAAGATCAATCATCTTCCAAATTCACGACAGCTAATAGCACGCCAAATACAATAACGACAATTGCATCATTGATGACGGGTAATCCAATTCCAACGATCATGTCATCTAAATCGCAAACAGTAGCATCGACAAGTAGTGTCGATCAAGTCATACCATTTTCAACGCTCGAGAAACCGAAATCATATCAACAAGCCCAAACGATGGATTATTATAATCCATCTACAATCAATCATAGTAATAATATTCCTCTGACTGGAGGTGGCTCATCAAATTATAGCTCAACTTCTTCTGAAAGAAAATGTGCTGGCGGTGGAGTTATTGATCAGCAAGCATTGCAATTGCCATCTGGAGTAGCCGTTAATAGTGTCATGGATCCCAAAACATTTTCCTATCCGAAATTCAAGACAGGGGGAGCAACTGTAAGCTTGATTAATTCCTCAGCGCATTTTCAAAGGTGCTATTTAGCACGCGAGTTTTGTCTGTCCAAATAGCTTTGGCTAAAAATATCTAGAATTTAAATATAAAACGTTCGTTATCTGAACTGATTTACAAACTTTATTCTCTTTTTTAGCGGAGAACGAAAAAGTAGCTTATTAAATCACTTTGTTTGTTCTTGTGATTTGATCAAAAACTTTTTAACAAGATATTGTAGAGAGCCCGAGCTCTTTTGTTTTATTAGCTCAGTTTTATCGAGTTATTGGACGATAAAAATAGTTTTGAAGCGTGGAACCTATCAAATAAAGTTTCATACAGTGTAACCTGTTACATTGTTTTCCAGTACCTCTGTAATATTTATATAAACCGTTAACATTTGAATTTCAAAAAACCGTTGACTGATCAAGTATTTCAAAATACCTAAATTGGTTATTAAAAATTCTCTATTTACTTTAATTAAGCATTGTTAATTATTTGGCATGTACAGTATAAACTTTATTAAGGGTATCTTAATTTTTAAATTAATCTTTTGCTCTTACACCTTAAATTTCTAATCAAATACTGATTATTGAGTCGAGAATGCGCTGAAGTCCCTCGATCAAGAACATGAGGACTTTTGTAATTTTCTTTCTAGAATGACAGCTTGCGGCGAATTTTCGCACAAGTCGATATTTCTTTAGTTCAATCCCCATTCCTTCTTCATTGCTTCCTAAACTACTTTATTTAAATACATACACATATATATATATATATATATATATTCTAAAATCTAGATAGTATCAGTGAAAATGCGCTTAATCTGTCCGTTTGGCTTATAGATTTTTCCATAAAAAAGAATAGAGAAAAAACTAATTATTCCATTTTTTCCGTACCTTCTTTTTAACCTTAGCGTGATGATGTTAGTTCATTAATTCAAACGACACCATCTATCTTACCAACAAGTCATTCATCCACAACAACAAGTAATTCAAAGGATAGCAAAGCTTCTAAGAAGCGTACAGCAAAATCGGAACGAAATGAAAAGAACATTAATGTTCAGTCGATTGAGGGTTATCGTGGAAACGATACTCTTGAGGAATTGCTTACTTATATTGATGGACAGCATAATAATGACGGAAAGGGTCAAAAGAATCATCCAAAGAATGGTATTGTTTCAAATAATAATAATAATAGTAATTTAAGTAATAATAATAATAATAATAATAATGATAAACAAGCAAATGAGCAATTGTTAAATGCTGATGATAAGAAGAAGAAAATGGTCTCAAAAAATAAGGAAAAGATGAACAAGTTGAAGAAATCTAATTCAATGGATGAATTATGTTCAACGGGACGTCAACAGGAGAAGGAAAAGTCTTCTGTCGTTAATTGTGCCGCCGTAGAATCATCATCATCATCATCAACTGCCAATAAAATTGTTCAAGACGTGACATTACGTTCAAAGAATAATGCTAATAATAGTAATTCAAATAGTAACATGACCAGTGGTGCCAAAAAAGTTGAAAATAAAACGGATAAATCACAAACGAAACGAAATGAGCGAAGATCATGGGGCACTGAAGGTTTATGGCCGGATACATCAGCAGCAACAAATAATGATATTATTAACTCATCGATATCTACAAATACAGTCGTCGTAGCCGCAACAGGTAAATCCTCAGCAACCGAGAATCAAGATGATAATCAGGAGAATGAGAGTAGTTCTAGTTCGAGTTCAAGTGGAGTTCATAATCTGGACTTTATAACTTCTGATCCTATCAATACGACATCTAATTTCGAAACGATAAATCCATCAAGCGAAGCCGATAAATTTCAAGTGGTAATTAAAAAGAAGAAGGTAAAGAGAAAATCTAGCGAGAATACTGACTCAAAAAGCTCTGTACAAACGACATCGAATAATCTTCAAAGCTACGCTATGCGTCGTGACGGGAATTTTCGAGCTGGGACCAAATCGAGTACTTCAAATAGTAATAACAACAACAACAATAATAATAATAATAATAACAATATGGGTGAAAACAGTCGTGCCGATAAGAATAATGCAGCAAATAAGAATCCATCGAAACAAATGAGTCAAGATGCCAAACAAAATTCAATTGGTAAGAATCGTAGGAAATCCACTTCCTCAATGCCAGACGAAGACGGTGAATATTCTGACGGTGGCGATTCCGTGCAATCATTGCCAATTGAAACGACTAAACCTTTATCGTCACTTCTTTCAGCTCCAACTAATAACAACAATACAAGTGCCGAAAATTCAGGAAAAACGAATAGTAAGAAAAATAATAAATATGATAATGCATCAAATATCGCTTCAAATCCCGTCGTCGTCTCACAAATATCGCCTTCGCAACAACAAATTATATCCATTCAACAGCAACAACAAAAACCAACAACATTCTCATATGCTGATATCGCAAAAACAAACACAAATAGAACGAATAATAATAATAACAATGTCATACCGGCATCAACCGAAAAAATGTGGCCTTCAATTTCATCATCTTCATCATCAACCCACCAACATAATAATAATAATAATAACGTTAATGATCCGTTTGCAATTTCTAGTTTTGATGCCATCAGCAGTAGAGATAATAATTCAAATAATACAAATAATAATAATAATTTAAATAGTGTAAGCAACACTGCTACAAACTTATCATTATCTTCGTCGTCAGCAACCAAACAACAACAAGTTATAGTAAATCAGCAACAACAGAAATCGACACCACAATTAAAGAATACGATGTCGTTCCCAGAACTAGTCGAAAGTAATAATAATAGGAATAAGCAACTAAATAATAATCCATTGGATCTGACATTCAATGGAGATGCTACACAGACTGAAAAATCATTAAATGGATTGGAAAGAGCCTTCGACAACAATAATAATCCTTCGACAACTGCAACAACCTTCACCATAACACATGATCGTCTAAATAATATTAATAATAATAATAACAACGCTAATAATGCTAGCAAGATATCATATTCTCAATCGTTATTGGAAAATCACAATCAGGAGATTGATGCAAATGGAAATAACAGCAGCAACATTAACACAAAATTAGAAAATGCAATAACTGTTGCAACAACAGTCACGTCAAATAACAACAGTAGCAACAAGAATACATTGACAAAGTCAAAGAGTGTTGATCACAACAACTTATCAATTGAACATTATCCAGCATTAGAAAAGACAAAGCAGACATTGAGTGATGTTTTATCGAAACCAATTGAAAGTTTATCAAATAAAGTCATGAAAGTTAATATGATTAAAGTTCAGCATCAACCGCAACAACAGCAAATACAATTGATACAAAACAATAATCCGGGTGTAAACATGATGAGAGCAACTGTTGAAACAATAAATGTAAAGGATGATAATGGTAATGGCACGAAGAAAAAGAAGGATAAATTGGCTCTTAGAAAGAGTACTTCGACAGTTTCGACATCAACGATGTCATCGAATCAACAATATTCCAATAATCTTCAGACAACACAAATTAGCAACAATATTATTAGTAGTAATAATATTCATCATCATAGTCGTCCAGCAGTCATAATCATGAACGACTGCGAAAAAACAAGCGATGGTGAGCTTGGCATAACGTTTGGTTTTGACATAAATGAACATTTATTATTTGGACATCATAATGGTGATGTAGTAATGGCTGATATGGATCAAAGCGTGGTAGAAATGAATTCAACTAATAAATATGATAAAATTAAAAATAACAGTAATTGTGATATTATGAATACTAATTTATCAAGTAATACAATTAATCTTAATAATAATTTAACAAATCAATCGTGTGGATTCGAAATTTACGAGAATTTCATTTCATCGCCGCCACAAAGTGTCATTGATCATTCACAGCAGCAACAACAACAAATGATACATCAAGTTACAATCATTCAATCATCACCCAAAATAAATTCTAGTAATAATAATAATTCGGTCAAGGAGAATTCAACAATATTATTGGACACATCAAATCAATCATTAAATGATTTAGGATATATGTCATCATCCCTCATTACAAACTCAACGACATCACCTGCCAATCAAAAATTATCAAATGATATGCAACAGCATCCGAATAGTGATAATGTTAATCAATATGAAAACGAGTTCGGTCACCAGACATCTTCTTATCCTAATTCTATGGATTTAAAACAACGTATGAAATTAGATGAATTAGTTTCACGATTTGTATCACCTGAACCTGCAAAGAATTTTAATTACGACGAACTTGTCACATTTGTTAGTGAAGGTAAATATCCCTATTACTTTATTGAGTCGCAGTTCCTTAATTTGTTGCAACTGTTGCTTTTTTTTTGTCTCGTTTTAGAATGGACCAAAGTTGAGAGGAACGGTGTTTACTTTAACGGTCAGTAGTGACATAATCGAGGATTGTTCATCATATTAAGGAGAATAATAATAAAAAAAAAATCACTTCATTGTTATTTAAATAGGGCTTCAATAAGAAATATTAACAAGAAATTAAGATTAAAAACCATAAAAAAAAACTTTAATCAACGTAAAAATGTAGAAATTAACTTATGAAATATTTCATCATGCTAGTAAATACTCTTGGAATTTTCTTCGCCTATTCAGGATAATGTTTATTGATTCGGTGAGTAATTTGTTTTTATTGGATTACATTTGGCATTTTTTGAAGTCACGAGCTTTTTCATTTTGATTATTCATGCTTATCGTGATTCCTGGATAGAATTTTCTAATTTTCGACAATGAAACCTTTTATGCGGCTGCTTGTAGAGCATTTCATGTAGCTTTAAATAGTAAATTCTTGGAAAAAATGCCAAAATAATCGAAGGTTACAAATTTTTTATGGCTTCTTCAAACTGGACAAAAGATTAAAGTCGATCCGATTTGAAATTGGGCTGATGATGAAAACAAACGAAATCGGAAGTTCATGAATAATTTACAATATGTCCAACATTATAAAAGTTTCTTTCGTATGATTAATGAGCTATATCGTCTAATAAATCATTGAATATTGCAAGAATGCTTAAAGCGATTTGTTCAAAATGGACATTTATCACATAAAGGTCGTTTAGGCTTGCTTTTAGATAGAAATTTGCTATCAATCTAAGATTTTTATGCAACATTAAAGTTATATATCTGAAGGCTTACATAAACAAAGTCTCCGAAATCATCACAATTAGGAAATATCAAATTAATCTCAATAATGCTGGCCACTTTATTAGTTTGATGTTTCATTGGACCTTAAACTCCAACCTTCACCCAAAATTCGACTTTATTTGCTGTAATTACTGCTAATTAGTACTGAACATTGTCATGACAACATGAGAAAAATTGTGATGTGGACAACAGCTTGACTTTAAAAAATGCACATTTGACATGACTGCCTACATTAATTTATAGCTTTGCACTTGTTTTGTTATTTAAATGTTAATGTATTCTTATTTTCTCTTCACTTCTAGATGATGTAGAACTATATCATAAAAAAATACTAAATTTAAGAAGGAAACGAAATTTAAAAACAAAAAAAAATAATAAGAATGTGTCCGAGAGTGATTTAACAAAAAATATGATTCAAACTAGATTTGAAATCTAAATGATAATGAAAAAAAAAAACTATTTGAAAACTAAAAAATTGAGAAAAAACTTACTTAAGAAGTGTTTTGTGCATAAATTAAGTAAACATTCAAAGGAAGAGTTGGAAACATTTGAAATAAGGATTGTGCGAAAAAGATGAAGATTGAAATCAGAATGGTTAGAAAAGGATATAAAAATGAAAATAGTTGGTTATTACATATAAAAATTAGCTAGTTCTTAAAAATAACAATAACTTTGAAGAAAAAAAAAATCCTTTAAGTAAGTAATAATCGCTAAAGTATGGTGCAACGCGTATTAAAAATAATAATTATTATCATGTGTAATTGTGTGTTGTGCTGTGTCAACAAAAAAGAGCAACGAAAGCATCTAAATTCTATTGCAAGTAGGAACGAACTCATGGATTGAGAGTTATGCATCCTTTTTAACGAAACATCAAAAATGAAATATGGAAGAATAGTCAGCATGAGCTCATGGATTTAAGCAAGACACGTGAAAATGTGATTAAAAAATTTGAAGGGAAAAATGTACGAAGAAAAGAAAAACTGACATGTCGGTAATGTAGATTTTAATTGATTTTTCATTTTATTTTAAATTTGCGAGAAACTTATAACTATTAAGTTAGATTTATTCTCTCTTATCTCTGTATCCAATACTTTTTTTACAATTACTTTATATGTATGGTCATATCTTGTTGTAAATTCTCTTCTTTATTTCTGCCAGAACGAATGTTTAAATCTTAAGATAATCTTCAATTTGTAATCTACTTTACGAGTAGCATTTAATTTCCCACTTTCGACAATTATTTTTTTTTCATAAAACAACAGAATCATAAAATAATAATAATAATAATAATATTTTATATAAGATCAATTGATTGGGCTTATGAGAATGGAAAACAAATAAATTTGAAGGATGTAATTAGAATAAAAATGCTTTCTTCTTTTTAATATTTTTATTTTTCATTAATAATCACATTTATTTATTGATGACACTAGTTGTCAGTGCATTTTGTGTAGCTTTTCATGCAATATTCTGCGTCAGTGATGAAAATGTGATGAGTATTTTAATTAGTAATGTCTTATGTGACGAGGATTGAGCAGTTTCGATATCTGAAATTGACAGAAAGATGCAACTTTAATGAGACAATTGGCATAACTCAGAATTGTACACAATTGATTGTAAACAAATCTTTCTCAAAATAGCTAAGGTACACTTCCGTCAGTGCTAAGACCTTGAAAAGAACAATTTATTACACAGCATTCATATGTTATGCATGCACTAATGTAATTGTCGATTTAAAATGCAAATTGAGAGTTTAAAGAATTCATCGCAATTGATTTAGGGATTTTTAAACGATCCTCAGCAGCGTAAATAGATTAATCGAAAAAGTAGAAAAGAAAAGTTAATCCTTGTCTCAATTTCAGACAATAAATTACACTCATTAAATTTTCATCGTGGCTAAAAAATCATGATGAATGAATATCCGTATGAAAATACGCAAAAACACAAACAATTGCCATTTGGCATCAATATACATACTCGGAATGATGAATGCAGTATGCAAATGAAATTAATGATTATTTTAATTATAATCTTTAATTTCGTGATCTCTTAATGAATTGGTTTTCATTGATCATTGTTGAATGCAATGATGCAATGCAAAATGTGAAGGTCTAAATTGTGATAAGAGATTATTTTCTCTGTCTTGCAGGCGTCGTTACATTGCATCATCAATATAATAGCTCTTGATGCTTGAAATAAATGAAATCTTTCTTGATAATTGTGCGAAAAAAAAAATTTCCAAAACAGAGTTGTGACTCAGTCTGCGGCTTCATTTTTTTTTTGCTGTCCTTTTCTGTCTGCTCTTTTCGTAGAACACATTAAATTTGATTAAATAATAAGGATATGTCTTAGCTAGTGATTGTAGAATTTTAGGGTAGATCCAAGGACATGCCTTTTTTGCTTACAAGTGAACAAGTAACTTAAAAGCTAAAGTGATTGGTATTTATAAAGTCAGTAGAATGCAATATGGTTAGGATAAGATTCTCTTAGACACAAAACATTGATTTTTCCAGTACTTTGAAATAGTTTTTAAATTGTCGTTAGAGAATTTATTGCTGCAGTTTATCGTAAATGTTGTGAGCATTGTGTAAATCCTTGTCATATCCAAATGACTCTTTCGAATGATTCGGCCTCTTGTAGGAAGCGAACCCACGTTCTTATAAAAGTAAGATTTACAGAATTATGGTCTGTTGCTTAACCTTTCGACGTTAAAGATGTCTTACTTTTGTAGTCGCAGATTTAGCTTTACATTATGGGTCAATACCAGGGACCAAAATGAATGAAAAAAATCTGTGATGAAAAACATCATTATTTTTGATGATGAAAAAAATTATGATTTTTTTCATTTACGTAAATTTATACGTAAAATTTCATCACGTAAGAATCATTTTTACGTAGGATTTCATCACGTAAAGCAAAAAATGCAATAAAATCACACCAAATGAATTAATAGTGGTAAATAATAAGAACAAGAGATAGAATAGATTAGTTGCTTAAAAAACAAGTTCATGCTTGCTCAAGTTTGCTTAAAAAACTTGAGTAGAAACATTTTATTCGTCATTTTTTGCTTTGCGTGATGAAATTCTACGTAAAAATGATTCTTACGTGATGAAATTTTACGTAATAATTTACGTAAATGAAAAAAATTATAATAATTTTTTTCATCATCAAAAATAATGATGTTTTTCATCACAGATTTTTTTCATTCATTTTGGTCCCTGGTCAATACCCTGGATATCACTTTGCTCAGACACAGCACACTTGTCCCAAAATCCAAGATTTTACTCAGTAATAGTCACTTAATAATCATCTCTTCTGATATTTGATAGAACATACATCACTGTATTATTTCTAAAGATTACAAGCACTGATAGGATTGAGGTGATAATTGAGAATAAACGAATTAAAGTTTGATCATTTTTTAGCTAGAGATAATTCCAAATAGCTTAAAAATAATAAAGTCGAGCAAGACAAAGTCGAAAAGTGACAAAGCTTTAGATTCTTTTCAAAAATATGAATTTCATTCAACAACTCTGTTTTCCCAACAATTTTAAGACACATGACACAACCTTTACTTGTTAATTTATAGTCACGGATGATACTAACTGATGAATGCTGTGAATGAGTCCATTTTACTTTAAAAAAAAATTAGTCATCCGAATTATAATAAATAAATAATTTAATCCGCACGCGATGTAGATGTCCATAAAGGAAACAAACAAATCATCAAATATAAATTTAAAGTTAAAACTCAGCTGCAAAATAATAAAAAAAAATTCTTAGGTACTAACAATGTTGTTAGTTGTTGCATAGTTGCATATAATAATGGAAAGACGAATGGTAAAGAAATCTTATAGATTTAATGAATATCAAAAAAAAAATGAAGAAAATTAGTTATTAAAAAAAAAATACCTACCTTAATTAACAAGAAATAATATTGTCATAAATATGTAAATAAGTGGATTGAATATATGAACATTTTGAAGGTAAAAAATATTGTCATTTGAAGAAAAAAAATTAAAATTTGTTATTGTTTTAAAGTAAAAAAAAAAAAAGATTTGCAATAAACTTTGACATGTGTTTCAAAGCTAGATCTCAATATGATCCAAACATACAAAAAAAAACTATCTAATAAAAAAACAAATTAAATGTATGAATTCGAAGATTTATGTTAAAATTGATTGCACAAAAGTGGTGAAAATGGACATGAGACAATTAATGTGAATGTTACCAACATCATAATTACGAAATAAGATACATAACCCTTTAAAATATTAACGACTGATGAACATTTATTACACGCTTATGGACATTTAAACTGCAAATTCATAGCAGACACTCATTTATGTATTAATTACCAAAATCATGAGGTTTTTTTTTTTCATGTTAACATCCAATTTTTAGCTGTGAACTTTTTTTTGTCTCAATATTGACACTTCATCGCCACTATCAAACCGCAAACATGCTACATACGAATTTGTGTGCAATCAATTTTAACAAGTGAGATGAAAAACATATTAAAAAAATTATAAAGGGAAACAAAAATTATATATTGTACTATGAATTTGAAGTTGTTTTAGTCATTCTTGGAGTTTCTGGATAAGTTTAAGTTTGAAAAATTGGCAGATTTTACTTTATACGGGGTTAGACTAAGTCAAACCTAGGTTTGATATCTTTGATTTTAAAGGAACCTTAAATTTAAGTCGAAATTTCTGGGTTAAGGACCAATGATTGTTTATCAGACGATTTGGTTTGAAAGAGACTATGTTTTATTGATACTAAAGACTTCTCAACGTTACAGATGGTGAAAATAGAGGATAAAAAATGTAAAGGCACTGTCTTTGTTGCTTTTGCATGTTTATTGCAAGAATTGTTGAACAAGATTTTTAAAACTACGTTTTATTGTCGCTACTTTAACGAGATTATTAATAGGAGTTTTGGAGCTTAAATGAAAATTAGCTTTTATTTCAATCTTGGATCAAAATAAACTTCGAAGTCAAAGTAAATATGTCCAAAAAGAATCAAAAATTAAAAATCGAATTTTGATCATGTTTGATAAATTCTGATCAAACGTGATTTTTTGATCTATTCCACCAGTATCCTTGATTTCGAATCGTGATTACTGAATCAGTGTCGACTTGTTAACCATAAAAAGCAATCAAATTATTTCATTGAAGGAACATAAGACTTTGCTAGATTTCTAAATTTGGCATAAGATCAGCATGTTGCTATTCTGAATTTTACAATGCTTTAATGTGGTTACAACCTGATTCTTAAATTCTTTAATTAATTTTAACAAAAATCCGCTTTTTAGATTTTTTAAAATTAATTTAAATGTAGAAAAAATCTAATTATATTCAATTCTTAGAATTAAAAATGCGTGCTTCATTCTCAAATGCAAGCCATAAAAGTTTGTTCTGAGAATCTAAAAATAATTGCTTTCAATAAACTCTGAACAATTTCAATATTCAAAATTGCTTCTACGTTCGTAAATTTTCAATAAAGTATAAACATTTTCACCAAAAACTCTGCCAATTATTTTTTCAAACAGAAACACGGAAGCTCGAAGATATAAATTCAATTGACTAAAATTTAATTTCATAAAAAAACAAATTTGAGAATTTAAACAAACAAAAAACTCTAAAATGGAAATTAAAACCTTGCTCACAAGATGAAAAACACACAAAAAATGACTTTTGCATAATTTTATCCTTAACCTCCTGTCATGCATAAAAAGAAACAATAAAAGATGATAAAAAACAGTTGTTTTGTTTTAATCGATGCAAAAAATGAAGATGAATAAAGCCACTGAAAATAATGTTTTAAATTGAATAATGAAAATAACATTAAGATCAATGGTATTTAATTAAATGTTGAATTAGTAATAACAAGAGAATCCGTGACAACACAAAAACATAAAATGAATAATTGAATAAATGCATTAAACTCAAATAATTTTTTTCCTATTTTATTTTTCATAAACAAGGAAGAGTGCAATCTATAGATATCTACGTATTGTTCAACTTCTGTCTTAATAGCTGATAAGTACTTTTGAATGAGCAATTATTAAAGTGAATTTGAAAGTAACTCATTTTAAAGGAATTTGAAGCTTATTAAAGATATTTGAATTGATGAAATTTGTCTATCGATTTTATTAATATATGGAAAGTAAGTTCTAAAAATCATATATATAAATTGATTAAAATTTCAAAATATCATTAAGTCACAGATAAAATATTCAAAAGACTTTACAGGACATTAGGTTAATAATTTCAAGTTTTAGAAAGTCAGATCTAACCTAATGTCGATTGTTGAAACAGTTACTTTAAGTTCTATTCGTAGGGGGCCGTTCAACATGTTACAATTCACAACCCCCCCCCCCCCCCCCTGAACGTTCATAATTTATTTTATTTTGATAATTTTTTATAGGTATTATGACTGTATTTTAAAGTCTTGTAAACCAGTTTTCTATTGATTTGTTACTTTAGATAACAAAAACTATGTATTGCTTAGCTATCAAAAGTGATCTGGACATTCATAAATCATTAAAAAGGTGGAAAATTTAAAAAAATGTTTTTGGTGTGAATTTGTAAACAAATTTTTAATTTTTTTCGTGAACGTGACCCCCCCCCCATGTTACATTTGTTACAATTTTTCAAACCCCCCCTCCCCCCTAAAATGCGACCGTAATAAGTGAACGGTCCCTAGTGAAATTTCCTGCACTTTTGTTGAAAAGTTGTGGTCAAAAAACATTCAAAAATACAAAATTACAAAATTTTTCTTTAATTAATGCTGTTTGATATTCCAATATGATTTTAATAGATTTATTTAACGTATACTTAATACTTTAGAACTGTTTAAAAAGCTTAAAAAAGCTATATAAAGTTTGAATTAGAGGAAAATTTCGTTTTAAAAATGTCAAATATTTTTGAACACAATTTTTCAGATTTCGAAGAATGTTGTCCTATGTGGCTTAATTGGTGTACTTTCGTAATACGAGATTCAAAGTTTCGAGAATCAAGCTTTGTTTTTTCTCACCACTGATTTATAAGACAAATGATGAATCGATTTGGACACTCTGCATTCAAACAATACGAGTTTTTGGCGCTTAAGTATACAGCCACATCATCATAGATATGTCAAGAAAAAATTGGCGACACATTGAATTAACAATCGTGCCAAAATAAGTGTCTCGCGCCAAACAAAAAGTTCTAGAATGACTAATTGTGAATCGAGTCAAAAATGTTGACGATAATGATATTTTGAAATATAAATTGATTTTTCCTGCAATATCAAAAAATTAAAAAAATCAAAAATTAAGTAAAAGAACCATAAAATAAATCAAATTTTTCGTATATTACACAATAAACTATTTATATATATGTAAAGTCTATGAATTGTCTCTTCCAAATAAATATAAAAAATCTGACGCAAATAAAAAAGAGTTAAAAAGAATAGAAGGAAAAAAAGTAAATTATACATACACAAAAAATAAAATGAAATGAAAAAATATACTAAACATAAATGAAAAAGTAAAATAAAATTAAATAATATATTAAAAAATTAAAGCTTTTGCTTTTGATGATGAAACAAAAAAAAATATAAA